TGTCAATGTATAAATGACATATAGCTACTCGCATTGTAGTTAAATATAAGGTTCTAGACTGTAGGTTAGAATGTATATGTCCCTTAGAGAAAAACGAGTTTGTTACCAAACGAATTTTAAAGAATCTCGTTTGCCAAAGCTGGATCAAACAACAACCAACCGAGCGCCAATATTCTATCAACCTCTTGATCAAACATTTCTTGAAGAAACAGAAGCAATGATGATCGGAGAAAACAATTTTTGCTGAATATTTTATCCATTATAATCAATAGACAACAGTTTTGCACAAACATACTGCACCAAATTTAATTGCTAATTAGTCAATTCCTTTTAGTCATTACCTTACCAATAAAAGCGATGATGTTTAGTAAAAGGGACGATATAATCATACCCTTATCATTAGCTTTTCAGGGATGACATACATTAATTGTCAGTCGCTGTAACTAGTTATACTTATTATTAGCTATGTACCGCATTTCAAGTGACAAAAAATCGCATTGTAGTTTAATATTAGGCTTCTATAGACTGTAGAATGCATGCACATGCATCTTAGCACGTTTGTCAGAATCGTCAAATTTTCTCCCAATGGAGAAGGCTCAGTTCTTAGCGGTTCACAGACAAAGACTCTGAAGCTCTGCTTTCACTTAACCGATTAATTTTACTGCTGACTTAAGATAACTGCTGACTAGATGAGCCTGCATGAGGGAAGAATTTATTTCGTTGGTTTTGGATCTACGTGCAAAGTTGCTTTAAATTTAGTATAAATATATACTCTTAGTCTGTCATTCTGTGTAAAAGTCTTTGAATGCCTTTGTTCGGCTGAGAAACGGTGCAGAATTTTTTAAAGGCTTTTTTATGGAATTTTAAGTTTAAACGGCTTCGGGAATTAGATCGTAGCAACCGAAGAGCCGAAGCCTGGCCTGAGTACCAGAACCAGACCGAGGCCCCTGAAAACTCCCACGGTCCTTGTCTCAACATTCCAGCGGAACACTTGAACATACTTACAGTATATAATAGACATCTATAAATAAACCTAAATTTCTGCTGACAACTGCATGTTCTGAACACCTTACTCCGTCTTCTGCCGCACAAGAAATTTAAATCATATCTTTACATCAATAGGATATATGGCCACATATATCGAAAAACATTACACGGTTAGAGCAGCGTGTATAAGAACTATACAAACTATTTTTTAATGTCTCTTTGCAATTCTTCCGTTTTACAACAATGAGATTTAACGCACAAGTGCATTTATTGAAATCACTTTGAGTGTCTTTGACTATGGCTTGTATGGGTTTGATACTGAAGTTGCCACTTTGCGTCCCTACTTCGTACGTATAAAGAGTAAAACTACCCTGAATCCTAGATACCATCACACTGGTACCATGTGTAACCATGTATACCCAGCAGCATGCATGCAATGCGTTAAATTTGTAGTTCATGATCAAGAAATTAATTCAATTATTTCGGCCATTCTCAAGCCAAATTGAAACCAAACGTTATTCCAGGAACTCATTAGAAATTACTGGCGCCAGCACCCGCTGTTTTTGAAACTTGTTTCAACTTGTATTTGCCTGTTATTGTTCATATACTTCAAACACAACTCGTTAAAGACACAAACTAAAAAGTCGAAAGTAACTTGAAAACCAGTTCATTGCGAGTTGAAAGGTGCTGAGCATATAGTTGGAAACTATAAATCATTAAACACTATCATTTCGCTAAGGTAAGACTGAAGTTAATGGCTTAGTTTAATTATTTTAGTTAGTAATATAGTTAAGTTGATGACAGACGACAATTACGTATATAGCTACCTCACACTGGTTCAATCTCAAGAATCCTGGCCTTAAAGATACATAGAGAATGCCCATAACTGTCTTAAATCTAGTTTCAAAGAAATTATGAAATAGTTCTTCTGCCAAAACTAATCAATAGGCCCTACTTTCGTGAGTGTATGCAAGGTGTTATAGCCATGTTAAACAATTTCCTGTACTTTCGATTAACTGAATCAGGGATTCGAGAGTTTAAACTATAAGAGCCCGATATTCAATCTCATACATATGTGGTATAACAACTGCCTAAAATAGAAAAAACACTTCTCGACGTTTCGACCTGAGGGCCTTCGTCAGGAGAGTTAGTATGTGTTACTCACTAACTCTTAATTAACTAACTTTTAATTAGCGAATTTTAAATGTCTTGATTTGACACTTTCTCCACTTTGTACGAATCTTCCCTTATAAACAGTAAAATTCACCTGAGTCTTTGAGTAAGGTATTCTATTATGGCGGTCATTCCGAATTAAAACCAAGTTATTGCTGATAAACCCGCCGCGTTAGAAACTTGTTTGAACTCGTATATTTCACAATTCATTGTCCATGTTTTCTCAAACGAAATCTACGAATGACCTGAACTACAAAATCGAAAATTACGTTAACGCATGAAGTCGCAAACCAATTCAATATGTGTCGTATAATAGACATCTATAAATAAACCCTAAATTTCTGCTGATAACTGCATGTCCTGAACATCTTGCCCCGTCTGTTACACAGGGAATTTAAATTATATCTATATATCAATAGAAATGGCAACATATATCGAAAAACATTGCTTACACGGTTAGAACGGCGTATATAAGAACGAAAAACTATTTTTTAATGTCTCTTTGTAATTCTTTCGTGTTATAACAATGAGATTTGATACTGAAGTTGCCACCTTTAGGGCCCTACTTTGTACGTATAAAGAACATACACAGCATGCATGCTCTGCGTTAAATTTGCAGTTCATGGTCAAGAAATTAATTCAATTATTTCGGCCATTCTCAAGCGAAATTGAAACTAAACGTTATTCCAGGTACTCATTAGAAATTACTGACGCAAACACCCGCTGTTTTAGAAACTTGTTTCAACTTGTATTTGCCTGTTATTGTTCATATTTTTCAAACGCAACTCGCTAAAGACACAAACTAAATGAAGTCGAGAGTAACTTGAAAACCAGTTCATTACGCGTTGAAAGGTGCTGCAGCCTGTAGTTGGAAACTATAAATCATTAAACACTATCATTTCACTAAGGTAAGATTAAAGACATAAGTTAATGATTAGTTTAATTTAGTTAGTAACACTGCGTTAATTTGATGACAAACGAGAACGACGTAACTGAAACTATATAGCTATCTCACTCTGGTTCGAAATGAAGAATCCTCGCTTTAAGGTGATCTAGAGAATGCCACTTTGGAAGCTATGGATACAATGCAAAGCAATAAAAATTTATCGCTATACAACCCACAAGAATATTAATACAGGATACAATCTATTTCCTTAATTATGAAAACTCCAAAAAATCGCGTCGCGTTGCCAAACGCGTCCTGAACGAGAAATCACAAAAATACCTGCGGCCATGCAGTTGTAGCAAGCCCGTTTAGCTTAAACGGTGAATAAGTTTAAAATAGAAAGCAAGTTTATCGTTTTATTTAACAAGCGAACTAAATGTTTTTGACTTTCACACAAAGATACTGTCTACAACTATACTGACATATTCAGTGCATAGAATTCAAGTTGACTTATTCAAGAGAGATGTAAGCGTGCATGTTATTTAATTTTCACTCAACCACCCTTATGCGGGAAAACATTTTGCCATATTTGGTCGTAGAGAAAGGACAAAAATCGACATTGCTGTTGCATGGTAATTGAAAATCAAGTCTATTAATATTGAAGAACTTACAGGTTGGATGAATGAAAAGCTGTATAGACTAAAAAAATACTCTGAATCCTAGATACTGAGTCACCAAGGTCCAGGTATAGCTACGTTAAATTTGTAGTTCATGATCAAGAAATTAATTCAATTATTTCGGCCATTCTCAAGCCAAATTGAAACCAAACGTTATTCCAGGTACTCATTAGAAATTACTGACGCGAACACCCGCTGTTTTAGAAACTTGTTTCAACTTGTATTTGCCTGTTATTGTTCATATTTTTCAAACGCAACTCGCTAAAGACACAAACTAAATGAAGTCGAGAGTAACTTGAAAACCAGTTCATTACGCGTTGAAAGGTGCTGCAGCCTGTAGTTGGAAACTATAAATCATTAAACACTATCATTTCACTAAGGTAAGATTAAAGACATAAGTTAATGATTAGTTTATTTTAGTTAGTAACACTGCGTTAATTTGATGACAAACGAGAACGACGTAACTGAAACTATATAGCTATCTCACTCTGGTTCGAAATGAAGAATCCTCGCTTTAAGGTGATCTAGAGAATGCCACTTTGGAAGCTATGGATACAATGCAAAGCAATAAAAATTTATCGCTATACAATCCACAAGAATATTAATACAGGATACAATCTATTTCCTTAATTATAAAAACTCCAAAAAATCGCGTCGCGTTGCCAAACGCGTCCTGAACGAGAAATCACAAAAATACCTGCGGCCATGCAGTTGTAGCAAGCCCGTTTAGCTTAAACGGTGGATAAGTTTAAAATAGAAAGCAAGTTTATCGTTTTATTTAACAAGCGAACTAAATGTTTTTGACTTTCACACAAAGATACTGTCTACAACTATACTGACATATTCAGTGCATAGAATTCAAGTTGACTTATTCAAGAGAGATGTAAGCGTGCATGTTATTTAATTTTCACTCAACCACCCTTATGCGGGAAAACATTTTGCCATATTTGGTCGTAGAGAAAGGACAAAAATCGACATTGCTGTTGCATGGTAATTGAAAATCAAGTCTATTAATATTGAAGAACTTACAGGTTGGATGAATGAAAAGCTGTATATGAGTCACCAAGGTCCAGGTATAGCTACGTTAAATTTGTAGTTCATGATCAAGAAATTAATTCAATTATTTCGGCCATTCTCAAGCCAAATTGAAACCAAACGTTATTCCAGGTACTCATTAGAAATTACTGACGCGCTAACACCCGCTGTTTTAGAAACTTGTTTCAACTTGTATTTGCCTGTTATTGTTCAAATTTTTCAAACGCAACTCGTTAAAGACACAAACTAAAAACTCGAGAGTAACTTGAAAACCAGTTCATTGCGAGTTGAAAGGTGCTGCAGCCTGTAGTTGGAAACTATAAATCATTAAACACTATCATTTCACTAAGGTAAGACTGAAGTTAATGGCTTAGTTTAATTATTTTAGTTAGTAATAGTTAAGTTGATGACAGACGACAATTACGTATGTAGCTACCTCACACTGGTTCAATCTCAAGAATCCTCGCCTTAAAGACAATATAGAGAATTTAGTTTATAAAGAAAATACTTTTTCGATATTTTTGTGAGTGAATGGTGTTATAGCCATGCCATAGACAAATTTATTTAATCTTTAGCTAACAATTACCTGTTTAACGGCGACATGCATAAATAAAGTTAGGTGCGAAAACAATTTGAAATTTGTAAAAGATTAAAAAGACATTTAATGCTGCGGCAAATTTCGCAAGCACTTCGGCATATGTAGGACCTATCGCAATGTGGATTTGATTGAATATAGACAGGATACAGAATATATTTAATCATGTATTAAGACAATGTTTTAAAAATGTATTAATGTTTTACCCTACTATAGTAGCGTTCGCCAGCATCGAGAAGTGGGGTGGCACATATTTATACTCATAATCATAGAAATATTCACTGACACGGTAGCTAAAAACTGATGAATTTGAATTAAAAGAAATGAATAATGTAAAACACGATGCGTATAAATAAGTTAGATGCGAAAACACTGGGTTTATAATGAAACTCTACTGTATCTGTAAAAATCAAATTGAAATTTGAGTAAAAAGATATATTTATATTAATTAATACAAATTTGGGTCCTACATGCTTCGGCATATGTAGAACCCATCGCAATGTTAATGTGAATTTGTATTTGAATATGTCCCCCCACTTATCAAGCTGGTGACGCGCCTGCCTACTAAAATAAAGTTTGCCACTTTGCCACAATGTAATACAATCTTATGTGGTTTTGCTTGATATTCTGAAATATCCAGTTAGAGCCGGGAAAATGACAAACCATATACATACTGCATCTGTATATATATAATAGCATTATAGGCTATATGTAGTGTATTCGCGGTATAATACGAACCCCCCTTTTCAAAGTAAGATTGCCCTAAATTCTTAATCTGTGTCACCATGTCTATACCTACAGTTAGCACTAATTTCACATAAGAAAATCATGATCAAGGAAGTTATTCTATTATTTTGGCGATTCTTTAAGCGAATTGAAACCAAAAGTTATTCCGGGAACTCGTTAGAAATTCAGTACCCACTGTGTTAGAAACTTGTTTGAACTTGTTTTTAATTGCCCATTCATTGTCCATAATTTTTCAAACGAAACCTATACGAAATACACAAACTGAAAAGCCTGAAAGGGCTTAAGTCTAGAACCAATCCGTTACGCGTTGAAAGTCGGGAACTTTATACATGTATAGGCCATATATAAACTGTTGAATATCATCATTTTGCTTACGTGAGCTTTTAGGAGTTTAGACTATATGGACTACATTCATATTTCCGGCTTGCACTTTTTCATATGAAATATTTAAAATCATGAAAAAAATGATATGTTAATTCCCCCGGTTCAGGCACTCGTAACATCGTGCAATGGCCAATGCGTTGAAAGACAAATTTTGATTTGCACCCCCAAATGTAAATTATATAGGATATGCATGCTGCCCCGGCTCGCTGGCTTCAGATTTGCTCTCTGCGACAACAATCAGTTATCATATTGCAGAAATAGAATTTGTAGTTTTTGATACTTATAGCATTGTAGCGTTTTACACTACTGACTACTTGCATTTCTAATTCAGTCAGAAAAAATTTTCAATGGCAGAATCCTCTTCGACTTCGTATGCCGGACAAGCAGCACAGAATGTGGAGAAAGGTGTTTGTGGGGTTAGTTTAGCTTATGAAAAACTGCCTAAAGGTCGTAAAATTATTTTCAAAGTTAGTACCACAAATATACGCGTGGCAAAAGAATTGTGTAAACTTGCTGGATTAGTTGTCGTCGGAAGTGTAGCGATTTCACTGGGTGCTTTGTACGTCTACGCCAAGATACAACCATTACTTCAAAAGGCTATCAATAATACCTTCGGTGTAGAAAATGTTGAAAAGATCATACCAAATTGTCTTTATGTTACACTTCGTTGTTCAACAGACGAGATATTTCTCAAAATTCTTGAAGATTACAATTCAGGAAGAATAAGAGAACGTTTGAAAGATGAGGTTTCGCAGGTTGGAATTGAGGTGGAAGGATTGATGGTTGAAATTGAGAACATCGAAGAAGTGAACAAAACAAAGGAGGAAATATACAAAATGAGGTATGATTTAATACAACAAGAACAAAAATTAAGGTATTGATAAATTCGAAAAAAACATGAGTTTGTGATTTGCTTCGAACAGGAAAGCTGTAACGATGACAGAAGGTGAAGAAAAAACAACGAAGGAAAGTTATTCGCCTGCTGCTGGTGATGGTGAGCGGGAATTGTCTACCAGCGACAAAGAAGGTATTTACAGATATTATATTATTTAGAGACTTATTATACGTAGTATATAATGCAAACTAACAGCCATGCAGTGACTTTAAACCACGTTCGAAATTTTCAGTCTTCGCTACTTAGGTGCTAAAAGGCCTTAGAACAACTGCTTAAAAAAGTGCAGAAATTTTGCTTGGGTTAGGATATATATCTGCGATTCTGACAGTGACAGGATTGTAAATTATTAAGAAAAATTACATTTCGACCCTGTTCACGTGCCAGTCACGATGCCTGTAGGTAACCACGTACGAAATGCAGATTCTATAATACGTGCCATTGAACATCACCATTTCACTGGGTCTAAGTTACGTTTAAAGTTCATAAATTATTGAATTCTAGTTAGTAATAGACAAATGTTGCATTGCAATCAGAACTAAGTAAAGGTTAGACAATGATGATTTTTACCTTAAACTTTTGATATACTTTAAAAATACAAAGTTATGTCTAGTAAGTATATTACTCCATGCAACATGCATTTTCTGCCTACAGAAAATCCTAACAGACAGGCGAGTACTCTCAAACGTACTCAGTTTCTCTTGAAAGCAGAGGGGGGTCGATGGATATCCCTTAAGAATACTTTGCATCCGTTGTAGAAATATTTGGGAATTATAAAGAAATGGCGGGTCATGAGGCAATGACAAGAAGAAGTTCTTCTGATAGTAAAAATGGTAAACATCAAACGAGGGAAAGTAAGTGAAAAGCAATCATTCAATTCTTCAAGGGCGTAGGAAGCACCCAAAGATTTGGGAGGCACCAGCTTCCACGGGTACTTTTGGTATAAATAAAAAGGGCAGCTAAAAATATGTATAGGGACGGTTTGATTGCCAAAGCTGCAATCCCTGTGCCATTTCCAATGAATGAAGACAAATATGTCGACTTTTATGACTTAACCAAGAACGTTATGAAAAATGCAACTTTTGTATTCCGGCAGGAATCTAAACAATGCCTTAATACTGATCCTTACTCAATACTGATTTTTTGGGGTTTGGCAATTTTTCAGACCATATTACACAATGTCCTTCAAAAACTCATCGAATTTCAATATCACAAGGGCTTAATGTAGCAAAATGGTTGAAAATAGTTTAATATCATTGTTTTCTAAAGGTTTCCAAATAGATATTTCTGAGAAACATAGCAATTGGTTGACTGTTGGCGAACTAATTTGTTCGATCCAGAAACCAATAGCAATCTACGTTGACGCAGTTGTTAAAGATCTCCACGAAAAGCTCTGTGAAGATTTGTGTTCTGTCCCTGACTGTAGAAACTCTCAAGATTGCAATAAGAAGACGAGATCTAAAGATCTTTGTGATTCGTGTAATCAATGGTATACAAAAGTCACAGTTGCACATAAAAAGGGCAAGAATCCGTCGTGGCATAAGAACTGCGACTGCACAAAATGGCCACAAGATTACTGGGAGGTGGCCAAATTCTTCATGTCAACACTTGGATCTAACAAAGATACCGTGAAGGATGCGCAATCCACAGACCTGTCGTCTCTTCTCAATGTTCTCGAGTGGATGAAGGACGAGGCATTTCTGGGAAAAAATCGAGTCAAAGTCGATTTTGTAAGAAAACTTCGAAATGAAGTGAGAAATATCTGGGCACATGCACCAAGACAAGAAATGACTGATGAGGAGAAAGATAGGAGTCTGGCGATTGCCAACGATATCCTTGAAGATCTAGTGCCGATATTTCCGAAAAAAGAACTAATAGAAGTCAAAAATTGTCAGAAGCATCTTGAATCCTTGAAAAGCAGCGGAATCACTACGAATATTATCGAAAGTGTTCTGCGAAGCTTGGTGCTACAACGCCGCTTGTTAGATACCATCAAAGAAGAAATCACACAAATGGGAGACGAGCGTGCATCTGACAAGACCACGATGGAAGAGCATGAAAGAAAGCTGAAGAAATTGGAAGTTGCATTGAAAGAATGCTCTCAAAGAAAGTCAGATTTCGAAAATCTGAAAACGGATATGAATAAACAATTCAAAATCTTTCAAAAACAACTGAAATCGTTTTCTGCTATTCCTGAAGATATTCGTGCTGTTTATGAGAGTCTCCGTGATCGACAAAGAGAAGAACAAAATCTAAAGAGTAGCTTACAGAACCGAATGCCAAAGTTCACTGGTCGCGAAACAGAAATAAAAGATGTCATTTCCCTTCTCATCGACGAAAGAAAGATCGTTGTGTCTCTTCATGGCGGACCTGGTTTTGGTAAGTCTGCCATAGCAACAGAGGTGTCCCATATACTAAGCGACAACCACGACATCACAGTTTTTTATTCTGAACTAAACACCGCAACCACTGTTGATGAAATGATTCGACAGCTTTGCAGCGATGTTGGTGTAAATTACGAACGCAATGATCCAAAGTCTTCGCTAGTTCTCTGGTTGAAATTTGTACAAGCCAAAGTTATTTTTATAATGGATGGCGTCGACAACCTGCTTGAAGATAAGAATCGTGTCCATTTTGACAATTTTATCAAGTTGATAGGAAAGAATCAAAATTGTCAGGTGATTACAACCTCAAGAATGGATTACTTTATTCCCGAATTCTTATTCGGTGCGGTCCATGTTAAGGAGATGGACGATAAGGCGTGTATAGAGCTTCTTGAAAAACGATGTTATCAGGATGATAAGTCGCGGCAAAGATTGGCTAAACTATGCGGAAACATACCTCTTGCTATGTCCATTGCCGCATCTCAAGTTAACTGCTTTGAAGAATCGAAAGAATTTTGGAACCATCTTGAAAAAGAACCAGTTGAGACTTTAAAAGATCCCATGAGTAACCAATACGTCGATCGAGCCATAAGATATTCTTATGACAGGTTGAATGATGGACAAAAACGGAATATTGTTCGTTTGGCTGTTTTCGACGGAAATTTCAGCGAAGAGGCTGCTGGCGACGTGATTGAAAACGATAAGTTTATTACTCAAATAATTTTGGAGGATCTATTTCGCATGAGTTTGATTAAAAAGCCAACTAAACACCGATACTCCATTCATGTTTTGATCCAGCATTTCTTAAAGAATCAACTAAAAGGTGAGAAAGAGAGAAAAGAAAGAGCGCGTGCAGAAGTATTGATGATTAAACACTATCTCAAGTTGGGACACGACCAAACCAAAAAGACGTACTCCAAAGATGGTTACAAACCAAACAGAGATGCTTTGAAGAACGAGGCGCACCACATCCAGAAAGTGCTTAAAATTTGTTACAAGCAGGATGTTTCCTCTGACATCCTCGATTGCCTTGCAGAGAGTGAAATTTACAACAACTCAGCCAAATTCTTTGCACTTCTCGCCAGAACCATTATTCCTAGAAACATCGTCCAAAACTTTCTTGAACTCTGTGCTCAGTTGGCTGAGGAAAGAGAACAACAAGCAATCAAAATAAATTTCGACTGTTTGTTGGCAGGTCAAGCGCGCCGGGAAACAATTGGTAGATCTGATGAAGATTATGAATCAAAGATGGAAAAGCTCCAGGAACAGTTCGAAGCGAATGAAGATTTGAAGCAAGACAAGCCACTTTATGCACATTACCTTTACCACCAAGGAAGGTATCTAACGCATCAAGCAGAGAATCTTGAAGATGAAGCCCGCTTAGAGAGACAGATTCAAGGTCGTGAAAACATGGAAAAATCGTTAAAATTAAGAAACATGTTGAACAATGCCCCAGAAGGAATAGCAGATAAGGCGTTCGCGTTGCTTCACGTCGGAAATGCCTGCAAGATCATTTCCAAAACAGAATCGTTTCTTAAAAAAATGGCGCAATCAGAATCATCGTCGAAACAAGCACAAGAACACTACGAAGAAGCTATACAATTATCTGAAGATAAACTAGGTGACCACGAGCTTACAGCAGCCTGTTACAAGTCTCTTGGAGATCTTTTCCTAAGAATCAACCATCCTGAAAAAGCAAAAGAAAATTACACCAGAGCCAAAGAAATGCGAGAAAATCTGGGTCTAGACGCCAGCAAAAGACACGTTTCTCTTCTCAACAAACTTGGCATATCTCTGACGAAACTGAAACAAGCAGATGAAGCCATCGAATTATTAGAGAATGCTCGCATGATGGCCGAGGAACTGGCTGATAGCGATGAGCCAACCTTTTGCAAGTCAAAAGTCTACGCCAGCCTAGCTTCAGCCTACAATGCAAAGCAAAAGTACTGTGAAGATGCTGTTAGTTATGCCAAGAAAGCGATGGAATTCGATGGTATGGAAGAGTCCCTCGGAAATTACTACAAGGAGCTTCGGGAAATAGCTGATTCAGAGATGATGGATACCACTGACTGACTCGTTTCTTTAAATCGGAAGGAACAATTTTTGAATATTTTATCGATTATAATCAATACCAACACAACCGTATGTTTGCACCAACATAGTGCACCAAGTTTAATCAAATATGGACGTCAGATATACCATCGTATTAATGGAAAGCAGTTTACAAAGACACACTCAGATACGTATCACAAATTTTACGCAAAAATTAAACGTTAATACGTCTAATACTCAGGTACTAGCAGCCAGAACGTTCACTCGAATCCACGCTTGAACTCAATAGGACATTCAGTATTGAACTCACTCAATAGGACAATAAGATAAACGAATTAAAAGGAATAAATTACGTAATAAGAAGAGACCAGGGACGTAGCCAGACCTTAAAGAGGGGGGAGCCGTGAGGCTAAAGTTTCAGCCCGTCTAACCAGTCTAACTGGGCCGAAAGTATTTTTTAATAACATGGAAAGTGTCCGCCCGGGCTGGATTTATGCTACGTGAGAATTATTTTAAGACCAGGCTGAAATTTCACCCCGGTCTGAGTTTCTAAAGGCTGGTAGTAGACCTATTTCGATTTTTCGAGCGCTTTCAAATCTTGAATGACAATAACTTGACCTTTAAGGGACTGTGATTGCACATAAAAATGAAACAAACAAATGCAAAAGCTTTGTCAAGGCGATTTTTACTGCCCGGGTCGAATTTTTTTTTACGATTGCATGGCAACAACTGAGTTTCAGCCCGAGCTGAATAAAACAAGCATACTTGAAAGACTGAGTAAATTTAATTCTTCTTCATTAAATTAATTCATTTTGAAGTAAGTATATATTAACCGCGGCCCCCACCACTCCCCCCCCTGGCTACGTCCCTGTCAAGAGACATTAGCACAGTCGTATATCAGACACACGACACGTCTAGATCTAAGAGACGCTACTCTCACAATTCACTGAAGCGAAGCTCAAGAGAAAGCACCTCAAACCTCTGACGGTAGAGATTATGAACTAAGAACTACTTTCAAGAGAAAAATCTCAACAACGAAAAAGTACCCGCGCCGCGTTCAACCATCTGATCATCTTCAGCAAAGACGATAGGAAAAGCACTATATATAAAATATTTATGCACACATGACTTTACATTTATCGGTAAAAGGGATGGTATATATATTAATAATTATTGGTTATTGTGTTTAGCAATGCCAAGTAACTATATGACATAAATTGCACATAGTATATAAGCTTCTAGACTGTAGAATACGATGCTTAACATGTTGGTCAGAATCGTCAAAATTTTCCCGAGGGCCCGTTTCTTTAGCGGCCACGAACGAAGAACCTAAAGATCTGCTTAAAGTGCTTTTCGCATGCACATCAATTAATTTTACGTAAGATATCGCTGAACGTACGAGCCTGCACAAGTGGGAGAATTTTCGTTGGTTTGCACCGACATCATGTAGTGTTGTTTGAAACTTCGCATTAATGTAAAAGTCTTTTACACGTTTGTTTAGCTAAATAAAGGTGTATAAAAGGTAACTCGCTGTGAATTATCAAGCCAAACAAGTTTCAGAAGTATGATTGTAGCAAAGACAGACTAGTCCCTAGGCCTTTTATACGCTCCTTTGGTAAAAAGAAATCCGATAAAAGCCCTGAGTTCCAGGACTATCTATCCCCTGACCGAGGCTTCAAACTTTTTAAAAGATCTCCCACAGCCGAACTTCTAACTATGTAACTAAGTTTGTTAGTGATAATTAACCGCGTATCACGATCCTCTTACCCAGATCTTGCTGCGCACTTGACCTGGGTACGAGGCTGCTCGTATAAGGCTGCCCGCGTTAGCTCATTAAGACACCTCGTTGGCAAATTTTAACGCAACTTCACCTATATTCCGACACAATATTTACCCGCATTACCGGCACATATTACATTCGGTATTCATAATTTCATAGAATAATAAATTTGCATCTCCTTTTAAGATTCAGCGATTCATACATGCTACTTGCTGTTGAAATATTACCTCGCAATAAACATAAACCCCAGACTACAGCTACAATATTTCACTCATACTACACACAGCTTTTATCCCAGTGAAACAAAAGGCATATTGAAATATAACTGCACACATAATGCTCCTACCTGACTTGCTCATTTGACAGCCAATTCTATCCGAAATTCGATGTTCTTAACGCTCAGACCAGCGACGAACACAGCTTGATTTATATTCCTCGAGTTCAACAAGAGAACTTCCTGTTTATAACGGTGTTTTAGAGCACCCGCAGCGGACTTCAGCAAGCCTTCACAAAGTACAAACGATAAGCTGTTTCCGACTGAAGCTTCCTATTTGCATACGTTTGCATATGTAATCTGATAGGAATGACAGCGCACACAAAAGGTTTGATGTATTGAGATTAAATCATGCATGTTTACACAAGACCTGGCCATTGTTTTAACAACACGTGTAATACCAGAGTATATTACACGTCTACTTAATAATAACAACTTCATCGATTAATTTCAGCAAATTACAGCAAGTTTAAACTAATAGTTTCGCTTTACTCAGCTGGAAATATATCAAAAGCCACTAATTTATAAGCGTCAAACAAGCTTCAGGGGATATTATTCACGGCATGATAGATTGAATTAATGCTGATATTTTGAGACTCCTCGTTCAACGCTGACAGATCAATTACGATTATGATAAATCCCACGTGAGATATCATCCCGTGGTTTATTGTGAACTAGACCGGATCATATTACGGATAAAAACATAATGAAAAATTCTAAAAAACTTCAAAGCAGTGATATAAAAGTACAGTTTTAATAAACGGATACAAATCACAGATGTTCTGGAGCAATGCTTGGCACAATTCTGAGAGGACAGATTCACTGAGTTAGCATTCAGCAAATTCTGGGACAAAGCTAAACGCCAACCTGCTGTTATCATAATATTAGTCCTCAAAAACTAAGCTTGGGTTCACTTAATCACTTTTGCAATTTACTTCAAGACAAACTTCAAAACTCGTTATTCGATAGTGTTTCGACATTTTAAACGGCATTGCTGAAATTTTTTTGCGATAATTAGGTTGTCCGGGCTTTCCGGGGTTATTTGTGTCTGCCAAGTATCTCTCAATACGCCCGGAACAGGAAACCAGAAGGGAAGATTGATCATCGATTTCTAGCTGACCCACACTCTTTCCATTCACGATATTTCCTGCTGTCTCGTTGAATATTCCAACCTTGCTAAACGATGATGTTCCTAGCAAATTTAGAAAAATAAATTCACACGGGGAACAGTCGATTGTCAGTCCTACCATTACAATCCCACCTTCCTCCCACAGCCTTTTCAGAAGGATTTTTGTCTTCATTTTCAACTTCATTACATCTTCCCGGCTCAACTTACCCTCTCGTCTTCATTCAAACGGTGTTTATCCTCGCGCAACAAGTCTCGCAGCTTCACTAAACTTTGAATGCCTTCCTCTCGATTAGCACGAGCCTTTCGAAACAAAAAACACAGCGGTAAGTACGGCTCAGCATTGCGAAATCCAGTATTTACCTACAGCAGATGGCAAGCATTGAATACTCAGAGCATTACCTTCTGTAACGTCGCCTGTTCCCGAGCAAGATTCTGTTTTAAAGACGTCTCTCTGGACTTACACTCCAGTTCTAGTTCCTGAAGATTGGAAATGTTAGTAGCCCAGTGGCAAAAACGAATGTGTGATTGAAATTTACACAGAGGTGAGTCTTATTACGATACCTTTAATCGCTTGGCATTTTCTCTTTTAAGTGTAGTGAGATTCTCTTGAAGGCGTTGACATTGCTGTTCTTGCTTTTTGTAATTGGTTTCTGAAGATCTCACCTGATTGTACAGCGCATGCTCCATCTCTTCTTGCTTCGATACACTTTTCTGAAAATGAAATGACAATAGTTTTTCCAGTAAAGATGATTTCTTATTGATCCAGTGTTACTACAGGAGGAAACCTAAACTAAACAAACTTTATTTATACTGGATAGCTCTATCAGTTCTAAACTGTTCTTCCTAGAGGTCCAGTAAGGATCATCTCGTATTGATCCAGTGTTACTACAGGAGGAAACCTAAACTAAACTAACTTTATTTATACTAGATAGCTCTATCAGTTCTAAACTTTTCTTCCTAGAGGTCCAGTAAGGATCATCTCTTATTGATCCAGTGTTACTACAGGAGGAAACCTAAACTAAAACTAACTTTATTTATACTGGATAGCTCTATCAGTTCTAAACTGTTCTTCCTAGAGGTCCAGTAAGGATCATCTCTTATTGATCCAATGTTACTACAGGAGGAAACCTAAACTAAACTAACTTTATTTATACTGGATAGCTCTATCAGTTCTAAACTGTTCTTCCTAGAGGCTCAGTAAGGATCATCTCTTATTGAACCAGTGTTACTACAGGAGGAAACCTGAATTACGGCAACTCTATCAATAATGAAAAATTATTAAAATCACCTGTAAATGCCTAATGGCGTCGCTATACGACAGTTTCCGAGTATCTGTCTCCGTGTCCACGCAACGATCCTGCGTTCGTGTCATCCTCGTGCGATTTTTGTCCTTTCGTTCTCTTGAAAATTGCTCCAAGATCGTTGTTCTTTTCCCCTCTGCCATCTGAAAAATAAACGTTTGTATGATCCCAGATCCCCGTAAAAGTTTTTACTACAGTCAAAACTCGCAAGTTCACTTGAGATGAGATTTGGAATTCGCAATCAAAAGCATAGTATCGTGTCCGGCAAAATATCACCTTTTGTTTCAATTCAATGTTTTTTCCTTGTTCCTGGCGATCCAAATAGTCCGCATAGATACGTGAGTTCTTCTGTGCAGTCGAATTGTTTTGCAACGAACGACTGATGTCCGTCATCTTCCTGCCCTCTGAAGAAAACATGACAATTTAGGATCAAGTCAAAACTCAATGAAAAAATGCTCCCAGTTCGTGTTTGAAAAGGCCGTTTGACCTCTTCATAGATCATGAAATACACATTTAGTTTACTGAAGGCTGAGTAACGCGAATTCAAAGCTATACAGCCTATACCTTCTCGTATTTTCAACGACAATTTGTCATTCGTTTCATCTCTATCTTGACTCAATCTTCTCTTACTTCCAACAAATCTCCTCTCGTGATATCGTCCAAGGCTAAAAAATTGATGGGAGATTTAGTGATAACAATAATTCCCAATCGCCGAGACGTTTTCACTTCTAAATTTATCGGAATCTTGTGCTTCAGCCGTCCAGGTGTTCGGTAACCTTCCGTTCACTGACAAGGAAAGCTCTATATACACGCTAAATTCTGATCCGTTTGGCTGAGCACAGTTTAGAACAGATAAAGCTATCCATTTGCGAAGATGCAAAGATGCTTACTTTAGTTTATCTTCCAATGATTCCCGCCGTTGCAAAGTTTCCTAGAACGTTGCCAAAAAGGATTTTAATCTAGATTATACCTATAAGCTATGGTGTGTGCATGATTGCATGTTGAAATAAGAAACTAAACACACTGTTAACAATTAGGTCGCAAACTAGATAGTGTACAGTATAATATGTCAAATTACCTCTCTTTCAACGATTTTCGCGTCTTTTTTGAGCCTGCAATGAAGAAAATATAACAATTGTTAAACTTATCTAATCTCATCATGTCAAAGACATTTGTATCTGACTGCATGTAGACTCACGTTTTAAAATTGGTTTCCATTGTTTTTCTCTTGTGATCTTCCATGGTAGTGGCTATTGCCAGTTCTGCTAATCTTTTTGTCAGATTATACTCTTCCAGCTACATTTTGGAAACAAACACATTAACATTTTGCAAGTTTGTGTGTAAGTTGAAAAAATCTGAAATACATAGCCAATTCAAGATGATGGAACTAACCTCTTTCAATCTCACTTTCTGTTCGTATTCCTTCGTTAAGTTCACAACTTCGTTTCGTTTCAACTCCAACTCCTTTGCAGTTTTCTCATACTGAAATACCAGGTCATTTCTGCAATACAGTCAAAGATGAAATGTTATATGTCGCTGAGAGAGAGATCCGTACGGTAGATGTACATCTGACAATGCAATTAACTTAGCTAATCAACAGTTTTACTAAAGGCTTTTCATCTAAATGCAACTATTACTTATTCAGATATGAATTACTTTTGTTGGCATGCATTCACACCAAATAACATGTCAGATTAGAACATGATATTGAAGGTATATATATCAGCATATAGTTTACTTTACTTCATTAATAAATCTTTTCTTGTTAGCTGTCTGTTGTCTAAAGCTTCTGAAAGACTTTTCTTCCTTTTTGACTTTGAATCCTACATTCGAGAAATCAAAGTTTAAGAAGATTCTGATTGTAAACTACAGTCATTTTCGCTCAAACTACGCTCGATAGGTGCAGTGCAAAAAAAGCACATCTTATTGTTACTATATTTTCATTCTACATCAGCCAGCAAATAACATGAGCTGAGGTAAAACATGCATCCTCTGGAACGGCTCAACTAATTCTTAGGATTACGATACATTCATTACACTAGTTTTCTTTACCAAAAATTCTTCTACAAGATATTGATGTTTGGCATCCTCCATTTCCTTGATGCTTCCCTGCAATTTCATCTCTTCTACTTTCTTCTTATCAAAAACATCTATGAAATAGACAAATATAGAGCATTGATTCAAATTCTCAGCACTGCCATCAAATTCATGATGCAGATCTTCTCAATGCAGAAAGCAAATATATATGCCCTCACCATTGTCATAATTCGCCATAACACGTCGTAGTAATCTTTGCTTTTTCACAATATCTCCTTCGATCCTTTTCAATTTTCTCTCCTCCTGTTTACGTTGGAGGAGATTATCCTATACACAAAAAAAAGAGCGAAATTCTCATGTGTAGTGTGAACTTGGGTCTTAATTTAACTTCATATGAAATGCAATTAAACCTGAATAACTTTCATCTTCCTGTCCAATTCCTTCTTATTTGTGGCTGCAATTTGGGTGACAGCTTGAACGCCAGTTCCTTTTGGTAATGGTGCAACATCTCCTTTTATTTTGTTTGAGCTTTGTCCACCCAGTCCTGTGTCAACCTTTGCTTTTACAGACCTGAACAGTTTTGACATAATAATTGTGTTTCAATTAAGCAGTATAAGTACAAGCTCAGATTTTAGCTATATCGTAATTGCTCTGTCAAATCAATGTTAATCATCATAGTTTAAAGCCTTGGTTTAGTCGTTCATATGCCTCTGACAAGGTCCTGTATTCTGTCTTATTTACAGACCACAAAATCCAAAGTTCCTTGCAATCATAATCTAGGTGAAATGTTTGCTAATTCTAGTTTGCTTATGACCTGTGAATAAACTAACTCGGCACTGTAGATATAATTATCACGATACAATACAATCTCAAGAAGTTCCACCGTGATTAAGACAGTCATCATATACCTTAGAGATGTTTCGAGTTGTCCACTGTTTTTTTCATCAGGACTTTGATTACTCGACATATTCCTAGGACATAATTATTATCATAAAATACCACATATCTTCAGTCCATTAGTTTATCAACGTACTGCATGATGGCAGATGAACTCACTTCAAAAAGTTGACATAGTCCTCGGCGTTAGGATCGCCTACTTTTGACGAGGGCGTGTAGAATTCGTATCGTTTGTGCAAGACAGGTTGCTTCTCGAACGGTAAAACCATATTCCTTTCCGATCGTTCGTAAAATAACAAATTGTGATTTCTGTTTTAATGTTCGTTTAGTAATTTGCAACAATTATTGTAGTTCTAGAACAGTTGTTATGGTAACTTGACTTGAAAACCACCCCCCGGTAATAGTAGCAAAATTCGGGTGGATCGTTACCCCCCTGGGAAATAAGTCAATGAGGAAAATGCGGGGAAAATATAGCATGTTTTCTACACGAAAGCAAAGCTTCAACTATGGTATCCCTTGGTTACAAGTTTAATGTAAACACCGAAGGAATTAAGACATGTTCGTGAGAAGGGTGACTAGTTGGAGGGTGACTTTGGGGAAGGGGTGGCCCTATCAGGGACCGCGGAGCGTTTTTCGTATTGCTGGGGCTCAGAACCGCGCGCCTGCTAGAAAATTTTGAAATATAGGTCTCTGAAATCGTCGCAAATGCCACTCAATTTAAGGATTAATGGAAAATAATAGATAGTATGTAAAGTTTCCAGCATGTTTGGCGCTCATAACAAACATTAAACAATATAACCATGCTTTGGTTATGATGTCAAATATTTTGATATGGATAACCACGCTGTTTTAATGGTCAAATGCTTGTCCTATGTAAAGTTTCCAGCATGTTTGGCTCTCATATACAAACATTAAACAATGTAACCATGCTTTAGTTATGATGTCAAATATTTTGACATCGATAACCACGCTGTTTTAATGGTCAAATGCTTATCCTATGTAAAGTTTCCAGCATGTTTGGCGCTCATATACAAACATTAAACAATATAACCATGCTTTGGTTATGATGTCAAATATTTTGACATGGATAACCACGCTGTTTTAATGGTCAAATGCTTCGGTCCTATGTAACGTTTCCAGTATGTTTGGTTCTCATATACAAACATTAAACAATATAGCTAACCATGCTTTGGTTATGATGTCAAATATTTTGACATGGATAACCACGCTGTTTTAATGGTCAAATGCTTGTCCTATGTAAAGTTTCAAGCATGTTTGGCGCTCATATACAAACTTAAACAATATAACCATGCTTTGGTTATGATGTCAAATATTTTGACGTGGATAACCACGCTGTTTTAATGGTCAAATGCTTGTCCTATGTAAAGTTTCCAGCATGTTTGGCGCTCATATACAAACATTAAACAATATAACCATGCTTTGGTTATGATGTCAAATATTTTGACATGGATAACCACGCTGTTTTAATGGTCAAATGCTTGTCCTATGTAAAGTTTCCAGCATGTTTGGCGCTCATATACAAACATTAAACAATATAACCATGCTTTGGTTATGATGTCAAATATTTTGACATGGATAACCACGCTGTTTTAATGGTCAAATGCTTGTCCTATGTAAAGTTTCCAGCATGTTTGGCGCTCATATACAAACATTAAACAATACTGATAACCATGCTTTAGTTATGATGTCAAATATTTTGACATGGATAACCACGCTGCCGGGTTTTTTTAAGACAAAAAATACGAACACTGTTCACAATTTTATCTTAGCGAAGTTTATTGATTATGCAACTTCATTACATATATATTTATTTGGATTTCAACAAGTGCTCACACGTATACGCTTGGAAATAAGAAAATAATCTTGCTATACTGATATTTTAACACTTGCTGAAATCCTAGAAAAAAGCCTACTATATTCTAATGTTAACAATGCTTAATGCTCTAATTTTAGCACAAAATTTAGTCACTCTTACGACCTATTTGAATCACATGAAATGTTCCAAAAGGTTGCAAGGAGATCCCAGTCGTTTCTTAGATGCGGGATCGTGGGCAGTTGGCTTTCAATGGCTTGACGGAGAAGTAGTTACAGCATTTTGAGGCACGAGTGTTATAATAGAAGTAACCACAGCAATTCCAGTTGGCTTTCTTGCTGTGAACCTTACCACAGCAACAGATCTGGGAGGCTGGGTTGTATATTTGGTTGCCGCAGTCTAGATGAAAGAGGAAATGAACGCAGTTGTTTATATAATGACTTTTGTAAACATCTTTCAAGTAATGTTTGAATTACAAGGAAAGGTTTATATATAATGATATCAGCAAATAAAGAGTTTTTATCCGTTTTCTAGCACAAAGCTTTTTGAATATATTGGTTTGTTGTCAGTTAATGGTACGCGCTTAAATTCTTACAGCGTTTTCAAAGAGGCTTTCATGCTAAATGCTTTGAGCGAGGAATTAAAAAGTTCAGTCAAAAATGAAGAAGTCTCGGTGATTATATACTGCCTCTTGTTTTTTTCTTTGAGAGAAACACAATTGCAAAATGCCACGTTATAATTATACTTACAGTAGTATGGGCAGTATGCGAAGAAATAGTCACATTTCCATGCTCCTCCGGTTTGACAAACACTAAAGTCAAATGAAATTATTATTTTTTTAATTGTAAAAAAGTAAAAGAACAGGGGCCGGTTGTATGAAAGCCGGATAGCGCTATCCACCGGATAGTGATTTTTTCAACCCTTCTAAAAATGCTTGAATAGCTATAAGATTTCAGCTTTGTAGCCAACTTTTGTTAAAGAGGATCCTCAATTTAGGAAAACTAAGATTTAATCAAAGTTATACCCAACAATGGGCGATTTTAAAGCGATTGAAAAAATCACTATCCGGTGGATAGCGCTATCCGGCTTTCATACAACCGGCCCCAGGTTCTGAACTAAATTAACTGAAGTAAATAAACTATTTTCAAGGCTCTAGACTTTAAAGATAATTCTGTGTTCATGCTGAAGAGTCTGCTACAGCCACAGGAGAAACTCAACAGTCAACAAACTCAACAGTTTATCTGTTCTGAGCAGTACCCCTGAAAGGTCCCGAAAGAATCATCGATGACTCATTGATCTAGTATTACTGAAGAATTACACCTGAACCTAACTAACTTTTTTCATACCAGATAGCTCTAAATATGCATTCATGCACTCACCTTTTTTTGCAATAATTATTTCAGTAATTGACTTAACACTTAGTCTGGTATAAAGTTACAAAGAATCTTGGCTTACCATCTCATACAGTTACATCGAATAGCCACACCAGGCTTGTACCAAATGGCAATACCCCAGTGACAAACTACAGTAGAAAAAGTAGTTACGAAATATTGAGAATCATTGTCATAATATTTTTTTTAATATACAGTACATGCTGGGCCGTATAGATGAGCGTCTTTGATTGTAAGTTCCTACTTCATATTATATTATAAGTTCTTACTATACATATGCCAGTTCTGACTTACGTTAATGAGAACAGAACATTCAGTCTTATTTTTAATGAACGTACTTATATTCATGGTTATTGGGGGTGGATTATCCAGCCATCAAACCCCTCCCCTCCCCTCCCTCCCCAGGGTGTTTGCGCCCTGGTATGTGAAATGTGGTCGCTATAGTGTTAACTTTTTATCTTAAACGTGTTTCCCACTGTTTTTACGTCGAGTTTGATTTTAAATTTTCAACTTACATCCTTTGTGTTTCTCAGCATCAGAGTCCTGTTGAACTAAAGCAGTAGTTTGACTTGCTTCATCTTCGACGACTATTTTCTCTGGTACTGCGGGTGTTTCCTCAGCAGCTGGTGCCGGTGCATCGTTTGTCGCAGCAAAATCTTCCATCTCGTTGCCAAATTCGTCTACCGTAAGGAAACATTGATATCAGTTCAAACGATGAAACTAAGCGATTGAATTTATCGATACTGGCTCGGCCTGCATCGGCCTCTTTATTCTGATAATACTAACAAAACACGAGAAACTTTGAGTAAAGTAAATTCATTTACTTAACTCACCTAGTTTCGCTGTTGCAAAGCTTACTGCCAAGAAAAGGCAAAGAACTACGATTGCTTTTGACTCCATTTTTTTTCTTAAACAATTTCTTCGACTATACAGTTCAAATTCTTCCTCTCCTGTTGAGCTTCGCTGAACCACAAATGATGCCGAATGTTAAATTCGGGACCTTTTTATGATGTTGATGAAGAAAGAGGAAAAGCGACACTTCAAAACAAAGGCTTTAACTCTGAGGAGTCTCTTGCAAAGTAAATAAAGACAAAACCTTTACAACGCAATTAAGAGCTTTTGTTTGCTCTCGTGAAAGGTGTTTCAACGTCCCGGGATTTTTCGTGCATAATTCTTGGTTCGCTCTAAAAGCATCAAAACTGTTGTATAAACAAACGGCCTTCACAACCTCGCTTCAAACAGACCTTTGATAAACGATATGAATAATCAGCTAGTTTGCGTGCTTCAAAGAGAGTACCCTACGCAAACACAAAAGTCTTTGCAGAGACAAATATAATATTCCAGCCAGTGACCAGCATTCTGGCTGCCGCCGATAAGTGAATGGCTCGCAGCTATAATTCAACATTATCTGTATTCTAGCTCTCACCTGTTTGCTGTTGCAGTGGAAATTAAACACCTTCCTAGAGGTCCAGAGTAAAGATCATCTCTTATTGATCCAGTGTTACTACAGGAGGAAACCTAAACTAAACTAACTTTATTTATGCTGAATAGCTCTTTCAGTTCTAAACTGTTCTTCCTAGAGGTCCAGTAAGGATCATCTCTTATCGATCCAGTGTTACTACAGGAGGAAACCTAAACTAAACTAACTTTATTTATACTGGATAGCTCTATCAGGTCTAAACTGTTCTTCCTAGAGGTCCAGTAAGGATCATCTCTTATTGATCCAGTGTTACTACAGGAGGAAACCTCTAAACTAACTTTATTTATACAGGATAACTCTATCAGTTTTAAACTGTTCTTCCTAGAGGTCCAGTAAGAGTCATCTCTTATTGATCCAGTGTTACTACAGAAGGAAACCTAAACTAAACTAACTTTATTTATACTGGATAGCTCTATCAGTTCTAAACTGTTCTTCCTAGAAAAAGCTGAATAAGTAAAAAATTGTAGCTATATCGTTAAGCTATACACGCATATCTACTGTGCTACATGCATATCCTATCCTCCCAGAAAATATTTTTCAGTGTCAGCATTTTTTCATAGGCGATTAAAAAAGTCTTTGTCCCGTGTTAATCCATGCCAGCGCTCTTTCAAACTGCTGAGCATATTTATACGACCTTCCTGCGTTTATATCGATGTTGTAAAGTCTTTATACTTTTCGTCTATAATACTCTTTGCATTGCACAGTCATTAGCAACTCATGTAAATACATCTAAACTTGAAAAAAAAGCTTTTGTTCAGCTGATGAGCATGGTTGCATTACTTATAGAGTCACGATTACAATGTTTCTTATCTAAATACTCAATGACATTGTTTAAACTTTATGATAACCTTTAAGTTATAGTCTTACTAGTAAAAATTTGAAATTCTACTTCTATTGTGCAAAAGAGTAGCTAGGAACAATGAAGACTAAAGCAATGCGTGATATATTTTGTTGCTACAAAGTTAAATATGCATACATAATCTAATGCCTCATCTATGACCATTATCCATGACCATAATCTTTGCAATCTTTGCGTATATTTTAGGTCGAGAGCGGATGTGTAAGTATTACACAGTTATCGTATAAAAACACTAATTTCTTGACTTTTAATTGTCAGTGAAACATATAGCTTCAATTATAAAAGTATATATAGTTTTTCATACTATATTTGTCCACCATAAACAGGTATATATATGCTCTTATATATAACAATTGTTTGAGGAATATTTGAAAAAATAGAGCGCTTTGGTGTGTTGTTGTGTTGTTGGTGATGTTTGACAAAACATTTACCTAAAACTGATTTTAGATTATCAACTAATTTGAAATACTTCAACTTTTTCACAAAAGCTGATGCTTAATTTGCATTTAAGATTCTACAGCTTGAGGCCAGTAATTCATGAAGGCTTTTTATATAGGCCAAACGCCCTTCAGGCTTCAAGCTTGCTTCAAACAGGCCTTTGATAAACCATATGGACAATCGGCTAGTTTACGTGCTTCAAAGAGAGAAACTCTACGCCAATAGAAAAGCCTTTGCAGAGGCGAATATTAGATATTGCCAGGGGCGAGAATTCTGCCCGATAAGTGAATGGTTCACAGCTACAATTCAACATCTATACTATCATGTAGCCGGTGATGTTTGACAAAACATTATCTAACATTGATTTTAGGTATCTGAATTGAAATACTTCAACTTTTTCGCCACAGTTGATGCTTAATTTGCATTTTTGTATTGTACAGCTTCGGGCCAGTAGTTCAAGAAAGCTTTTTGTATAGGCCAAAGGCGATTATGCATGAGTCAAATATCCATCAAGTTTTTAGGTTCGTAATCAGCCAAGAAAAGATTAGGCTGAAAATTGTTTTCAACAACACGATTGGTAAATGTATGAGAACCAGGCGTCGTTTACATGCACACCTATACAACACGTTTAAACGAGCATGCAGACCTTGGACAACGGATTTAAACAAGGTTTTTTTAAAAAGAATAGTTATAGCAGTGTATCTATAGTACGGTTCCCTTACAAAGACTTTGTGTCTTTATAAACCAGTATTTCAACACCAACAAAGTGTTGGATATCAGAGAAAACATACACGAGACAATTGACTATAAGAGTGGAAACATTATTGTAAAGTGTGAGGATCAGAAGTTATAAGGCTACAGCTAGCGCCTAAAGCATATTAGACAATCCAATCCAAAAGTGGATTATCTATGCCTAAACCAACTCATGCAGTATTTCCTATTGAGTCTTTTTTTCACTAAGATGTGTTTGTATGAGCCAATACTCAATCATCGGATGTAAAGAGACTGTTTGAAAGAGCAAGTGTCTTGTATATAAAACGTTTAGTCATATAATAAACGTCTTTGTCTGAATTGATAACACAAAAGTGTAAATGCTGTTTGCATAATATTAATTCCAAGTGGATTGTCACCCTTATAAAAGACCGCAGGGATTCAATCCCAAGGCATATACATCCTTAGGGTGGTCAAGATATCAATAGTTTTACGAGCAAAGCTTCTTAGTCTCAAAACTCAGGCAATCATGTCTTCAAAACTTTTTGTTTTAATGTTGGTGGTTTCTCTTGGAATGGCAATAGCTGGTAAGACAAAAGAAATAGTTTAGTTTAGTTTTCATCTTGTATAGTAAAACTGGATTAGTGAGAGAGATGATCCTTACTAGACTTTTAGGAAGAACAGTTTAGAATTGATAGAGCTATCCCGTATATATGTTAGTTTAGTTTAGGTATCCTTCTGTAGTAACACCGGATCAATAAGAGATGATCCTTACTGGACCTCTAGGAAGAACAGTTTAGAACTGATAGAGCTATCCAGCTAGCATAAATAAAGGTGGCTAGTTTAGGTTCCATCAATAAGAGATGATCCTTACTGAACCTCTAGGAAGAACATGCAGTTTAGAACAGTTAACTTATTATCATGATCAATGATTTAGATGAGTTTGTCAACGAAGATGAAACTAAAAATGAAGAGGAACAAAGAATGGTGATGGAAGACATGAATACACAAACCTCGACTGAACTCGTTCAAAACGACGACCCTGATTCAATAAAAAATAAAGGACGTAAGTTGACGATGTTATATAAAATTTTTAACGATGTGAAAAATGAATTCGGACTCAGGATATTGCGAACTGTATTTGTTAAACGAATTATGATAAAATTCTTTGTTGTTATATTTAGTGTGTCACTGGGGCGTTGCCGTTTGGTACAAGCCTGGATTTGCCATTCGATGTAGCTGCATGAAATGGTAAGAAAATTATACGCCACATCGTCATGGTGAATGGATAACTTTTCGGTTTTCTCATTCGTGCTTGGGCTGTTCTTGAGGCAAACTGTTGTGCAAGTGTTTTTTACCGTGAATTCTATGTCCTCTATGGAGCAATCATATTGATTTAATTTAAAACCATAGCGGTATTTACGAAATTTAATGGATCGAGTTTTCCATTTCAGCGTTTGCCGAGTTGGTGGAACGTGGGCGTGTGCTTACGAGTTTGCCTATTGTCCTTACTATTGTAAGTATTGTGAATTCTCTTTAAGTACCTTAAGTTTTGCATCACACCGGATGAGTCTGTAACTATCTCTTCATCTTTACTGTGTGTGCACTGCTGGTCAGAAATGGCTGAAAGCAAATGCCGCTTCTATTGAACCCCTGTCGCTATAGAAACAACCTGCATCCTCGATGATTAATCTGCTCTGCTCCGCTCTGAGCTAAAGTAAAGATGATGTACTTTGTTATCAATAGTGCATGAATGCATGAGTAGCTTTTCCCCGAGCGGAACTAACACACTTATACTTTTTTCAATGCAGATTGTGGAAACCAAATCTACAACCCTTTGAGTCAACTCTGTTGCTGTGGTAAAGTTTACGATAAAAAGCCCAATTACTCCTGCTGTGGTTACTTCTATTACAGTAGACTCACATCGCAATGTTGCAACTACTATTCTGTCAAGCCCAAGAAAGCTGTCTGCCCACGCTCCAAGATCTAACCTGTCGACGACCTGCAGGAACAATCGAAATACAAATCGCAGCTATATCTTCTCAGAAATTAGTATTTTAATAGTTGTTCCTAGCCATCGAGTAATACAACGCAGATCTTATAAATTGTACTTTATGCATAACATTGTTTTATGAATATTTTCCTTAATAAACTAACTCTACAGTGTATATTTTGCTGTCTTTCATCTTAAACTATAATCTTGTCAATCGAGAGCAATACTGTGTTTACTTTACAGCCCAGGTTACTGCAGAAGATGGTTATATACCAGTTAGCCCAATTAATATCAGTCATAGTTAGGAAGTTCAATAGACCTTATGCATAATGACGTAACAAGCCGTGACACCTGCAGGGAATTCTGGTCTTAGTAGTCACGGCGGGAAATTTTGAAGTTTGGATTTTTCGCCGTGACTACGGAAACCAGGATTCCCTGCAGACGTCACGGCTTGATACGTCATTATGCATAAGGTCTATTATAGGAAGAAAATAAGTTAGCAAGGAGAGTTTACACATTTTTTTTTTCTCAACCACAAGAGTTTGATGAGAGTTTCACGAGAGTTTGATGAAAGTTGGGAAGCGAGACTTTACATGAGTGTTTTCTTAACTATCATGCCCTGATCAAACGAGAATGAGTTGAAGAGAGTTAGCAAGCGAGAGTTTACATGAGTGTTTTCTCAACTATCATGTCCTGGTCAAACGAGAATGAGTTGAAGAGAGTTAGCAAGCGAGAGTTTACATGAGTGTTTTCTCAACTATCATGTCCTGATCAAACGAGAATGAGTTGAAGAGAGTTAGCAAGCGAGAGTTTACATGAGTGTTTTCTCAACTATCATGTCCTGGTCAAACGAGAATGAGAGTTGAGGAGAGTTAGCAAGCGAGAGTTTACATGAGTGTTTTCTTAACTATCATGTCCTGATCAAACGAGAATGAGAGTTGATGAGAGTTTATACATGAGAGATTCTTCAACTATCATATATATCCTGAATAACATACAATGGCTTGCGTTTCTACCAAATGTGGTGAACCCTTCTGATGAAAAACCGCAGAACTTTTTTAGAAATGAGAGAGACATTTTGTAAATTTCTAACGTTTATTCAGTATTGTTTTTATCGTAAACATTTGCGTACGTGCAAAGAAATAATTCAATATTGTTTAGACTGAAAATTATAAATACACTGCAGGCATTTCTACAGCATAGAGACAATTAAATGACTTCGTTAGAGAAAGTCTTGAATGCTCGCGAGAGATCCAATTTAGATTTTGGAACGTGGGCATTTTGCCTTCTTGGACTTCACAGAGAAGTAGTTACAACATTGGTTGTAACGGCGATCATAATAGAAGTAACCGCAGCAGGAGAAGTTGCGATTCTTGCTGTAAACTTTACCACAGCAGCAAATCTGGGTGTAGGGATTGTAGATTTGGTTACCGCAGTCTGTGAAAAGCAAAAATAGAATAATTATAATTTATGATGTATGAAATAATTTGCAGTTTTGGAACCCTTAATAAGGGTGAGGACATGAACCACTGTGGACCATAGCTTATTATGACATTATATACAGCAATCAAACTCGATACATTGAATTGGTTTATGTGTTCATACTTACAGTAGTACGGACAGTAAGCGAAGTGATAACCACAAGCCCAGTTTCCACCAGATTTACAGACGCTAAAATACACAAAATAATATCATCAATATTGAATTTATACTACATAACAAACATAGGTCTTTCCAGTCATCATCGTGCAGAAAGAAACTGAATATATTGACCTACCATCTCATACAGCTACATCGAATGGCAACTCCAGGTTTGTACCAAACGGCAACGCCCCAATGACAAACTAGAAAACATCAACGAATTTTATTATCATTCATTTAACAAACACGGCTCGCAATATCAGTGCGAATTCATTTTTCACATCGTTAATGACTTAAAATACATTTATCTACTCACATCCTTTATGTTTGATTGCATCAGGGTCGTCGTTTTGAACGAGTTCGGTCGAGGTTTGAGTGTTCATGTCTTCCAACACTACTTTGGTTTCTTCATCATTCGATGTCTCTTCCTTCTTAGCTGTTTTAGTTTCGTCTTGTTTAGCAGTTTCATCCTTTTGTTCAATCTCTGCGTTATATTCATTGTAATCATTGTACTCATCTAGAATTGAAGAAAAACGTTGCTTGTTGATACGAATGTTTTATGCACTCCTTATTTATTGAATAACGCTGTCTATGAACTGCTCTGCATGTCCGTGTTCCTCGTTGGTAAGAATCAACTCTTATTAATCCAGTGTTACTACAGGAGGAAACCTAAACTAAACTAACTTTATTTATACTGGATAACTCTATCAGTTCTAAACTGTTCTTCCTAGAGATCCAGTAAGGATCATCTCTTATTGATCCAGTGTTACTACAGGAGGAAATTCAAACTATATAAACTAACTTTATTTATACTGGATAGTTCTATCAGTAAGTTCTAAACTGTTAGACTGTTAGAGGTCTAGTAAGGATCAACTCCAATTGATGCAGTGTTACTACAGAAGGAAACCTAAACTATTTACCGAAACTAACAGTTTAGATAGGGGCCATGCATGCGCAGAGACCCAGTAAGGATCATCTCTTATATTGATCCATGCAGTCCGGAGAAACGAAATTAGCTTTACGTTATGCACTATCATTTTCTAAACTACTTTTAAGTTCTAGTAAGAATGATCTCTTATTGTTCTAGTGCTATAGTTGATAGAGGATACTAAAAACCTTTGCGAGTTTTCGTTTGCCGGTTCTCCTCAAGAGCTCAAGAGAACGATAAATAAACCTAAATTCCAGGCTAAACGAAGCAATCAATGCTTGGAAAAACTTACCTGTTTCGGCCATGGAAAGTCCAACCAAAAGGAGGAATCCGAAAACAACAAATAATTTTGAATTCATATTTCAAAGTTCTGTCTTCTTTCTCTGCAACACTGTATCACGACTGCAGCTGATACTGAACTGTCAGATTCGCTGCTTTTATGTCTATGAACTGCGTGCAATTACATAAAAGAGCCTTGCAGCTCAAAGACACAAAGAATGGTGTAAACTTTGCAGGTCTTTTGAATACCTCTAAGCCTTTTGTGAAACACTCGTCATCTTCCTGCGAATTATATTTATGAAACTAATGAAAGCTGAAAAACATGCAAATTCCTCTTAAAAGCGAGAGCATGCATGCATACACTTTGAATTTCTTCTCGACATATGGGTTATCATAAAACTGAAATATCACACGCAGGCTAACATAGTAATTTAATAGATAAGAGATGCCTGCGGAGGAGGCTAGTAACTTAGTTAACTGCATGATAATTTAGTTAAACCATATCTATGTTGAGGCATAGATCTGAAGTACTGCATGCATGTGATGTGTAAAAATTCATCGCCGTTTCATTAAATTAGATACTCATAAGAAATGTGCTGCATGCATATATATGATCGTCGTTCTATATTGTGAAAATATTTTGAGACTAATGAAGTAATGTAAAATGACATGTATGACATTATTACATGAGTTGAGATTAAGCTAGACGTGAATGGTTTTTGCTTTTCGCCTTTTGGCGTAAAATTACTGAACTTGTTTTCAATATTTCGGGGAGGTCGCTATCTTTATGCAACCTGGTGTAAATAAATGCGCTATATTACAGCTGCATTAAATACAAAAACTATGCAATATTTTGGCAACGAATCTCAGAATATGACGTGCATACCTAGTAAACTCTTGCAAGATATCATTTAGGAGCAATATATAAAAATCTTTGTATCGTGAAATACCAGAATTGAAGCATTTCCGATGCATGTTGAAAATATTGTTCCTCCCAATTCATTCCTAAATTTAACTCACTCGCTTTGTGATTTTAAAACACCTTTATTCTGTTTGTAGCCGAGAGTATTTACTTTGTAGGATGTGATGAAATGGCGTCATCAGAGTTAAGACGACAAAGAACACGTTAAGTGCAGAAAGAACAAACACAAACGATAAAGAGGTATGGAACTCAATAAGTTTGAAAGATGGATATATAAATACGGTAAGGAAGGACAAGAGACTTTGACAGTTTTTACAAAGAAGAAAATTAGATATCAAGAATTGTTTTCAAAGCGTTTTGTTTATTTTACGAATTATTTATGTGGGCTGGGACTCGCTGCATGCAGGTATAAAAAGAGTCCGAATTCGTTGTGAACATTATTCGAACTTGTGTCGACGAGAAACAGTTGAAGAAAGAGTTGGAAAGAAGACTGAAAACGTTGGACAACATGAATTCAAGATTGATTTTCGCCCTCGGGTTTCTTCTAATGGCTGGCCTTGCTATGGCTGAAACTGGTAAGTGCGTGATCTGCACGTGATGATCTTCACTGGAACTAATTCTGGAAATTCTGGACCTATATATTCGTGCATAATATGAGCTGAACTGTTCGCGCAGTTAAAGACATCCACACTGCATCAAATAGTACTAACAGATAATCCCGAATAAGTGACCTCAAGTCAAATTAGAGCAACTTAAATCTCTGAACTTAGAGTTATTCAGGATAGGTTTCGACTGTTTCAATAGAACTAAACCAACCAGAAATGAAGAAATAGATATAAGCGAAGTATGCTAATTCAGTTAAGTTCCTTTCGCTAAGAAAAGACAAACTAATAAACACGTATTGTGTAAGAAGAAGATAAGGAAATCCGTGATTCTCTGCATAGGTAATCATTCTCATGCAATTAATACTTGTTCTTTTCTTCACCACTAGATGAGTACAATGATTACAATGAATATAACGCAGAGACTGAACAAAAGGATGAAACTGCTAAACAAGACGAAACTAAAGCACCCAAGAAGGAAGAAACATCGAATGATGAAGAAACCAAAGTAGTGTTGGAAGACATGAACACACAAACCTCGACTGAACTCGTTCAAAACGACGACCCTGATGCAATCAAGCATAAAGGATGTGAGTTGACGATTTTATATAAAATCTTTAACGATGTAAAAAATGAATTCGGACTGATATTGCGAACCGAATGTGTTGAATGAATGATGATAAAATTCGTTGATGTTTTCTAGTGTGTCATTGGCATGTTGGCGTTTGGTACAAACCTGGATTTGCCATTCGATGTAGCTGTATGAGATGGTAAGTCAATATATTCAGTTTCTTTCTGGTGATAACTGGAATGACCTATGTTTGTTATGCAGTATAAATTCAATATCGATTGTATTATTTTGTGTATTTTAGCGTCTGTAAACCTGGCGGAGTCTGGGCTTGTGATTATCACTTCGCTTACTGTCCATACTTCTGTAAGTATGAACACATAAACCAATTCAATGTATCGAGTTTGATTGCTGTAATGTCACAAGAAGCTATGGTCCACAATGATTCATGTCATACCCTTAATAATCCAGGGTTCCAAAACTGCAAAATATCTTCAGACATCGTGAATTAAAATGATTTTTATTTATACTTTTTACAGACTGCGGTAACCAAATCTACAATCCCCACACCAGTATTTGCTGCTGTGGTAAAGTTTACAGCAAGAATCGCAACTTCTCCTGCTGCGGTTACTTCTATTATGATCGCCGTCTACAACCAATGTTGTAGCTACTTCTCTGTGAAGTCCAAGAAGGCAAAATGCCCACGTTCCAAAATCTAAATTGGATCTCTCGCGAGCATTCAAGACTTTCTCTAACGAAGTCGTTTAATTGTCTCTATGGTGTCTCTAGAAATGCGTGAAGTGTATTTATAATTTCAGTCTAAACAATATATTGAATTATTTCTTTGTATGCACGCAAATGTTTACAATAGAATCAATACTGAATAAACGTTAGAAATTTACAAAATGTCTTTTCTCATTTCTAAAAACGTTCCGTGGTTTTTTACCAGGAGAGTTCACCACACCATCACACGCCGTCGGAGGGGGATTTTGGGTCCCTGCAAAAGCAGGGCCGTTTGCAGGCAGATTTTCGGCAAAATGATTTAGGGCAAATGTTTTCTTTAAAAAAGCGACCGGGTGACCGTAAAATAGTAAAGCAATTCACTGTATTAAAGTCTTGTATTATTCTTCAATGACAATGTCTTTCAAAAGCATAAAATGGTTTCGACTGAGTGCGATGCCTGACAGGCCCTGACTACCAGTCGCTACGCATAGCTCCATACTTGGTTAACAAAACCTTTTGAGTCACGATTTACGATCTAATAAAACATTGTTGAGCTCTAGACTTCACTGTTGTTTGTCGAGTCGTTCTCCTCCAAAGCCTTCTTTACTACGGCAAATCCAAGTGGGATGGGTAACCATAAATGATACGTTCTTAAAGTGGTTGCATGTGTTTGTATTGCTCCTGATCCATTTATTGAAGACAGAACACCACCTAAGATAGAAACCAACTGACCTAGCATATTCTGACCTCTGATATAATCATGACTAATCATTGTTGAAGAATGAAGGAGATCTTTTAATGCACAATACCTTGTTTCTGGGAACATGTCTTGCACTGTGGATAAAATACTTGTGATTGGTAAAATTTCACTAATTTGTTTGGTGGAATGTGATCTGCTATAAATTTTTTATGGCTTCGCTTGCCGCACGAGTGACAGCCGTACCTTCTGCCTAAAACCAATGTTTTTGGTATTTATGATGTAGGCAGGATTGATGGCATATACCATACATGCAAAATAGTAATAATTGATGGTATTGGTCAATTATGGTGAATGTTGGTATCGATGGTGATAAATTAGGGTAATGATTGATTGCAACAATGAATAATAATGATTATTGGTGATGATCAACCATGATTGATGAGGGTGGATGATGATGATAGATGGATTGTGATGATCATTGATCATGGATAATTACCAAGAGTGATGATGATAGCTAGTGATAGATGGTGATAAATGACAGTAGATTATGCTGATCAATTGATTGTATCCACTAATCATGATCAGGTTAAAACCACTCTATACCAACCTAACAAATAAATTTTTCTTTTTGCAGATGACTTTGCATAACTTTTACCAGATGCAGGCACAGACACTCTTGCAAATGCTCCAGGATGAAACAAGTGACTAGGTACAACCTGGCGTAATTTTCCACCCAACAAGTTAAAAATCACCAAGCTACCAGCACCCCACATAAATATATGCTCATCTTTTTTATCAAATTCCAACTTAAAACGTTTTTCGGGCGCGTGATGCTCGTTTGCTAACAGTTTTGACTTTTTTAAACCCTCGCAGGAAAGTACAAAAGTGCTGGAAGCAAAAATGCCTGATAAAGTTACTGAAGCAGCACCACAAACCAGCACCATTCCCTGTGGTAATTTACAGCTAACTCTGACTGGTTTAAAAACGAAACTTTGCATGAAGCCAAGAGCAAAAGGAAAGCTCATTGCCCCGACGGCCATCGCTGCTAAAATCTCTTTAAAGTTATAAAAATTGTCGTGTTTTTTAGTCGAAGTTTTATCCATTTTTGAACATGGTCTCTTTATGATCAGTGTTTATGGTGGGTTGATTAATATTTAATACTTGGTGTAATATTTTTATAGTCGGCTCATATATCATAATAATATTGCTCAATGCTCATTATTGCTGGGCCAACATTTACCCCACAACAGGCACAACTTTTAACCAAGGACTTTAGGTTACCCATTCCTTCTCAAGGCATGTTACAAAAGAAAGCACAGTCACAAGGTAGATCACAGGAAAGCTCAGCCCAACAAGCAATCCTGCTTGTAGGATTTAACAAGCACCAAACTGAACAATGTCAAATCGTTAACGTACCATAATTGCTAATTATAAAATGTTGTAAAACGTTCACCCGTTCGGCAGAAAACGACTATCGTCTATCAAAAGGTATATTAATGAAAAATGTACATACACTACATTTTAATGACTATAATTTTCAATAATTTCAATACAGAGCAAAGAGCTTTGTTTGCAAGACAGCTGGAATTTCTTGATGCTATAAAAAGCACAATATAATTAAATACTTAATAGGATCCCCTGAAACGATACCATCATTCATGAGTATGCAAATATTATAAACAGAATTTAAATGTGGCGAGGTCGTAAGTTCATTCGCTGTTACTATTGCTACATCCAAGGTCAAGGAGCTTACAAAAGTCGCTATTTTTCCACACCACATTCAAAAATGTCAACTGAATCGAAAGACAAACATTATCAGGCATCGACAAACACAAAAGGAGAATTTGTTCGCAAGAGTTCTCAGTTTCATGACGAGGTAACAGCAGACGGTTCGAGCGGTTTCAAAGCGGAAGCCAATCGCTACCATTTGTATGTGAGTCTTGCTTGCCCATGGGCGCACAGAACTCTCATAGTGCGTAAACTAAAAGGTTTGGAGAATGTGATAAGTTTGAACGTGGTGGATTGGCTCATGGAAGGCAAGGGCTGGAAATTTGACAATGAAGGTATGTAAATCTTTGGAGCAATTTCTAAATGCTATGTCAGAGTGATGTTAGAAATATTTTGCATCGTCATGTTGATAAATTCTGTGATGAGTTAAAACCAATTTACTTATTGGTTATAAGGCTATAATATTTTCAATACCCAAACGAATTAACTCTGGCGCGACCAAAACATCTGCTAATATTGTTTTTGTCGTATTGATCATTAATCATTATGGTGGTATCTGTTATTGGTAGTGACAAAGTAATATTGATTTATCACAAACATATTTATATATTAAATCCTAGAAATCGACCTTTTTGTCTGAGAACTTGTACGTCCTTCCATGCCAGTCCAGAATCCACGAATATAATCCAAATTTTAATCTTAAATCTGACCCTAACCCCAACCTAAGTATTAACCCTAAAGGATTAGGTGAAGGATTATATTTGCGGATTCTGGACATGGTATTACTACGACCAGTATTCGTGGAAACGCTGACTAACAGCTTCGTACCAAACAGCGGCAGAAACACGCCACTTTATTGCAAATATGCTAACATTGGCATCCAGCTACCCATTACCCAAATACCCCTGCGCGCTCGCTTTCCTAGGCTGATCTCTATATAGCACCTGAATGCAGCAGTCCGTTTCGCGTGTTCACACCACTGTAAAAACGGATGAACTGGTGTCCACCAGAAGAAAACTTTCGACCTTCCCCGTGAAAACGTAGTCTTAATCTCTTACAGGAAAGCCAGGAACAACGCCAGATACTGTGAACAACTTTGGTTATCTAAGCGAGGTGTACGCCTTATCTGAACCAGAATACGATGGTCGATGGACAGTGCCTGTTTTGTTTGATAAACTCCAGAAGAAGATTGTGTGTAATGAGTCCAGTGAAATCATTCGCATGCTGACCAGAGAATTCAACGAGTTTTGCCCGACTTTAGAACAGAAAGAGCTGGACCTTTACCCGGTGGAATTGCGAAAAGATATTGATGAAATGAACGATTGGGTTTACCCGTAAGTATGTTTCATTTATCCTCATCATGAGAGGAAAATATAATTGAAAAACGTTCTTGATATCTTCCGTAGGAATATCAATAATGGTGTTTATCGTTGTGGTTTTGCGACCTCACAAGAAGCTTATGACAATGCCGTTACACAACTCTTTGAAGCTCTCGATAAAGTATGTTTATGTATCTGTTGAAAGTTGTGAGAAGTATTAGCGGTGTATTTAACCAGCCCTCTCATAAACCTGAAGGTGCATGTGAAGAACAGTTTAGAATTGATATAGAAGTTAGTTTAGGTTTTCTTCCTGTAGTCAACACGGAATCAATAAGAGATGAACCTCACTTGGCAATCATACATTTTTTGTTCTAAGCTTGAGGAAATTTTATCAACACGAAGATTCCTGGTCGGGAAACAATTCACAGAAGCTGACGTTCGTTTGTTTACGACTTTGGTTCGCTTTGACCTGGTGTATCACGGTCATTTTAAGGTATAAACTTGTGGATGGCTTTGAAACTTTTTCTTCCGAGTAGGAAGACCAAGAATCGTGTTTTAGTTATCTCCGTTTAACCCGTAGTTTAGGTAAAATTGGCCTATATAAAGTTGGCGTACTTTCTCGGAAATTATTTCTCGGAACCTCTCCTTCATTTTTTCAGTGTAACAAGATGAGAATAATTGATTATCCGAATATTTGGGGGTATACCCGCGACATTTATCAGATTCCTGGCGTGGCAGAAACGTGCAACTTTGGACACATCAAGAAACATTACATGGTGAGAGATCAGATATCATGGGACGACTGAAACTCTAGCTTCATTTTCGATAGATTTCGTAGTTTATCCAGCGGTATTTATGACTACTCAACTAATGGTAACCTTAATTCTGTCTTCTCTAAGATATATCAATCATGATCCGATTATTTGACGTTATTTGAACTTTGACGTGTAATAAGATGTTTTTATTTTAATTATTTCTAGCAAAGTCATCGCAATATCAATCCGCACGGGATCGTCTCAGTTGGACCAGATCTTGACTTCTCAGCTCCGCATAGGCGAGAGGCTCTTGGCCAGTAAAAAACAGTCGAACACTTTCTAAACATATACAGTACCGCTCAAAACCTAACACTGCGTTCTCGTTCCATTTGCGTTTCGTTTGCGTTTCGTTTGCGTTTCATTTGCGTTTCGTTTGCGTTTTTTATTTCGGAACGTGTTTTCTGTTTGGGTTTTTTCTGAGCGTTTTTTTTCCTGAGCGATTTCAAGGCACGCAATCATATTTGAACGTAGTTATTACAAGGCTGTATTTATTAACTTGGCTTTTTTAAATAAAATAACCCACTGACAATCTTCTTATCTTCACAAAGAAAGCATATTCCCAAACTCTTGTCGGAGACTGTCTACACATATATATACTCAATACTAGTGATTCATTAACGCGATTAATTATTGCTTCAATTTTGGGCGCTGATTCGCATGATTGACACATTTAGATTATTATCAATAGGATTATAGGAGTTAAAAGACAAGGGAGGGACTGAGTGCGAGAGAGAGAATTGAGACCGCTGTTGTGAGAGGGAGTGTTTTTGTATTATCGAGAATATATCTTTTAAAACCCGAATCCGCTTCGTCTACTCTAGTTGCTTATACCTTCTAGTAAGGGTCAATTTACTAAACTCTGTCAATTTACCAATATTAGTAATCCTTTCCATCTTTGGTTAATAATTTGCACATCTGTGCTTCGATTACAAATATGTCTATATAGTTATAAATTATTGTGTGCTTTCAAAGTCGCATTTTTGCAACTTTGCAACGTTGTCTTCAAGCAGTAGTACCATTGAACCTAAAAGAACTATTGAGTTCAATGAGTGGTACTTGTTTTATATCATTTATTTTGTTTATTAGATTTAAATATTTATCATAAGTGTCTGATTGGTTTTGGAACATAAGAAAAGTTTGAATCAGCATTTGCGCCAGGTTTTGAAGAAGTGACTAAACCCATTTGCCTTGCTTCGTAAACCTATAAAAATAATGTTAATGGTTTGCATAAAGGTGATGGTACTAAAGCTATCTGTCAATGTCTCTTATAATTGATGTAATGAGAGGGTTGATTGGTTGAGAAGCATGTTTCTAGAACTGTGTGGAAATTCATGGAAATTTATAATGATGCCATATAAATGCAATTTTATAATTTTACTATTTTGTAACAGAAAAGTATCAACCAGTTTGATTTCTTGTGAGACATTTGTGAGCAAAAGAGACTAAAACATAATTTATGAATTGATAGAAATCAAAGTGTCATACCTCAATCAAAAACCTACTAATCGCCTCAAAATATCCCTTGCAGTGCCAGGTATCATTGTGTGTTCCACTCTCAAACGTTTCCAGTTTCTTCACAGTGGCAGAGCAGCTCTGAAAATAATTGAATATCCTTGTCATGTACAGCATTTGTTTCCTAGCAATGCTTGGTAAATACTACCATCAATCCCAGGGGTTAAAACCTGACAGAAATGCAAAAGTGCATTGCAAGCTAATTGGTGACATGAAACACTGACATATAGTATTGATAACTTAACTGATAGCACTCTTCCACTGATGAGTAACTCATCTGGCATTAGAAAAAGTTAAACACTAAAGTAGGTCACAATCCTAAACCAGTCAGAAACTTTGTGTACATACAATACTCCAGTGCTTCTGATCTCTCTATGCTGTACCTCATATAGTTTATACATCATCGCAGGTGGCACCAGCTGATCCTTAGAACCGGAAAGGAACAAAGATGGTGTTGTTATCCGGCGCATTTTATTCAATGAATCAAACTAGAGGTTAAATAAAACATATTATTACTGATCTCAAGTTGAACTGGATGTGTATTATATTCAAATGTGAATGGTTTAACAGCTAGCAAGTCACCTGATTTCGGAAACAAAATATTGGGAGTCGATTAAGACCATTGATAAGTTGGTCTGCCATGTGAGGTATGCTTGTGAACGAGTTTTCAACAACCATAGCAAAAGCCTTGTCCACAAAATAAGGTAGGGAGAGCAAGTGGATGGCCACAGCTCCGCCAAGGGATCGACCGTATATTATGATCTTTGTACTGTCTATGTCTTTGCGACCCAATAAATAATCCATTGCTGCCTGGGCATCGAAGATGAGACCTATGATAGAAAATGAAGTTGTTAGAATCATCCAATGCTATTTTGAGTCTATAGATATATGATTCTACCAGAATAATTCCACCTACCATGCTCGCTGGGTGAACCATCGCTCCGTCCATAACCTCTATATTCAACTAGGAAGACATTGCAGCCACAATTTTTGTACAAAGCGTGACTATTGATTAATCGATGACCAATGTTCCCGGCATTTCCATGTAGGAACATCACAGTCGGTGCTACGGCTAACCGAGGTGCCGGTTGCTTGATCAACATCACATTAATCCTAATGCCATCCCTTGTCTTCAGGTAAAAGTTCTCAAAGGGAAGGCCAAACTTGTGCGGAGTTTGGACAAAAACACGCGAAGATTCAGGCTGGTCTGGAAAGTACAGCAAGGCATCTTGGTAAAAGTACAGTGCACCAAGAACGGCTGCCATTAGCAATAGGAATGTTGTTATTCCACCATACAACCAGTACAATAACAGCAAGGTTAACATTGCAGCACTGCACAGCCGCCAGAAACGTTGAATTATCAAAACTACAAGTCTTCCAATCGTTTCTATCGTCTTAAAACCAGTCACCGAATCCGGCGGAGTATTACTTTGCCTCTTGCTGGCCATATCGGAATCACTCATGACCGCAAACAATGACAGCAAATTTTAAACCCCTTGAAATGCTTGATACATAAAACAGCACAATGACAACTCAGAACAGGACTTTTCCCCTCGATCAACACAATTTTCACTGCCAAGAAGTGATGTTTGAGCACGGATACTTCCAGTTTACATTTTGCTTATGTTTTTAGAAAATAAAAAACATAGGAAAGGCGTACAAAAGCAACGATTCCAAGATGAAAATCGCCCTTATAAAAGGACAGGTATAAAAGCATTGTTCGCCATATTGATTTTGACCGCGGACTCCAGGAGGACTGGGAAGCCCTTCTCTTCAGTTCTTCACTGAGCGAATTTTTTTTTCACAGGCCAAAAAATCAACGTAAAGCTCTGGTTTTTATGGGTATTTTGAAAATCCAGATTGTCTCATACCTAATTAAAAAAATACTCATTTCCCCAGCGAGAGAGATGGGTTTATCCATCCTTTAACATAAAGTTAAAACGTGGTGAAAACGAATCATATTCCAGGATACATTTCATGCAACAAATCTAGTACTTAGACACAAACACATTTGTTGTATTCTGCGTAGCTTTATTATCTACCATTTCTTTGAAATTGTGATTTATCATTCCCGGATCTCCAACCTGTCCTCGTACCATTGCTATAGTTGTTGTTCCCAAACCTCCCACCAGTCCTTGTACCATTAGAAAATTTATCAGATCCTCCATTGCTACCATATCTACCAAAGCCATTGGAGCGAAATTGATTTGTAGAACCAAAGTGTCGACCATTAGATTGAGGGTAGTTGTTTACCCGAGCGACTAATTCAGGAAGCTCTCTCGCCTTTTCTAATATCACATCTTTTGGATTGGTCCAGGATGACTAAAAACGAAACAAAAGTTTTCTAAAGAAATACATAAACAGGTCCAGATCACAGTACACATTGCAAGAACACATATTTAGCCGGTTTTCCAGTTTTTGGAGAGTTTCAGGAGCCTTATCTATGCTCGGAAGCAATTACTAACCTCTATTTCTGGGATCAAATTGCTAGGGACATCGAACACCACGCCCTAAGGATGAAAAGTTTCAGATATTAGAAAGATCGTCGATCACTAAGTGGCCATCCGAAACCCTAGTATTTGCTTGAGTAAAAAAAACACTTCCCACAGGCGAATGAAGCAAAAACCATCATATGCAACCACTGGCGTAGCCAGCATCGATAAGTGGGGGGGTCCATATTCATATATTCATGTAAACAGACTGTAAAGACAATTGATTTGAAAAGAAATTAATCCTGCGTATCACGAATATATGAATATGGACCCCCCCAATTATCGTTCTGGCTACGCCGCTGTATGCAACCATTAGGAATCCTGCATAAATGTTGCAATACTTAATTACATACATAACGATCTTGAGACATTATCATGCCCTTGACTTCCGGTTTAATCTTGGCTGAGAGGCAGTTTTCAATCACCCTCCACATGTAAGCAGTTGACCGTAACTCCATCTTTTCTTGTTTCAAAATGTATGTCGTGTAGCCCTAACACAATGAAAAATATGAATTACTTCCCAGTTCCCTTAAACTTTCTTTCACTTGATCGACATGCAACAGCCATTGCAACAGAACTGTTGTGGTTTAGGTTTGAACTTCAAGACCCTTATATGCACCCCCTTTCTTCCCCCTTTCAATTTACCCCTCGGACTTTCAAAGAAGCGCTGGCATAAACGTTGGCCATCAGCTTAGGACTAGAGACAAAGACCCATGCTTCAAACGTAGTTTACTTACCTCTTGTGAGGAGAGTAATGATCTTGACTTGATCTCAGTCGTGCCAGAGATGTGAGCCAAGGCTGCTGCAACAGCATCAACTGCGCCACGATCCTCTATCAAAGCTTCAGCGGCTTCACGGAAATATGTAAGAGCATCGGCTGGAACTTGCTCTAAAAACCTAAGGATCATCTCGTATTGACCCAGTGTTACTACATACAGGAGGAAATCCAAACTAAAATCTAAACTGTTCTTCCTATAGTTCCAATAAGGATCATCTCTTATTGATCCAGTTTTACTACAGGAGGAAACCTAAACTAAACTAACTTTATTTATACTGAATAGCTCTATCAGTTCTAAACTGTTCTTCCTAGAGGTCCAGTAAGGATCATCTCTTATTGATCCAGTGTTACCACAGAAGGAAACGTAAACTAAACTAACTTTATTTATACTGGATAGCTCTATCAGTTCTAAACTGTTCTTCCTAGAGGTCCAGTAAGGATCATCTCTTATTGATCCAGTGTTACCACAGGAGGAAACGTAAACTAAACTAACTTTATTTATACTGGATAGCTCTATCAGTTCCAGTAAGAATCCAATGTTACTACAGAAGGAACACCTAAACTAAAATTCAATCGTCTTTACTGTTTACCTTTTAGCATCATCTGCTGAAGATTTGATAATATCTTCCGGCTGAGGAGCGCCGATTCGTTTAAACCTAATGCCCTGTACAAAAAGTCGAAGAATTACAGTTTAAACGTAGCGTGCACAGGTTAATTTAAAAAATGTCACTTAAATCTTTAATGCAACTTACAGCTTTCCTCTCAACCATTTTCAGCAAACTCTCCTGATTGTATTTGTAAAATATGATACAGACTCCAAGACGATTTGCTCGTCCCGTTCTGCCAGCTCTGTGAATGTACGCGTCAACATCCTTAAAAAAGAAATGAGACGTTGCTGTATGAAAATAATATTTATATTGTAAATATAGAGAGTTTAAGGCAGGATTGTTGCATGAACCTGCCAATAGTTGAACAAACATGCATGAACTCCTAATTTAATCGAGTCTTTTTAAATATTCGGGTCGTCAAGTTAGCTTGGAATAACTCAAACGAGTTTGCCTGGATTTGGCGGTAAATATTTCGGACACAAAAGCAATTGTCAGTATGACAGTATCTATAATTCAATTGTGAATACAAACCTTGGGTGGTTCACATTGGACAACCAGATCAATTTCAGGAATATCCAAGCCTCGGGCTGCCACATCAGTCGCAACCAAACATCGAAATTTCCCTTCACGAAATCCTTTCAATGTGAGCTCTCTTTGTTTCTGTGGAATGTCACCATGAAGTACTTGGGAATCCTGCATGAAAAATATCAAAAAATCGTCTAGTTTGATTATGAAAACGGAACACAGCATTGATGCAGGCAGATATGTGATTGAGCAGTCACCTGTTTAAGTATAGAGTTCAAGACCAGTTCATTTGCCTCATTTTTTGTCTGGGTGAAAATAATAGTTCTTCCGTGTGCTCCACAGTAGACCTGGGAAGAACAAAAAATAGCTTTGTAAAAACACTTAAATTACTGGCGAAGTTTTCAGGAATATGATATACATTTGTTGGGCTTTGCTTAGCACTGTCAATGTCTCTATAAACATTTTCTGTTGGCTGGAATCTTTCAATTGAATTTCAGAAAATTTGACAATCACTGTATGACATTTACCTGGATAACATCACCAATTGTTGCTGCTCGTTCGTGGTAGGGACATTTGATTGCTTTGTGCTGAAATGCAAAGCAAAGATTTGAAATAAAAAACAACCCTCTGGTTGATAAAATGTGTGGTAATGATGGCTGTAGTGGTGTGGTGGGTAATTCTGGTGTTCCTCACCTCAACTGTCAATGCAGCCTGTTGTCTTTCATTTCCAATTACGTCAACAATATGTCGATCTTTTGTCATGTATTTTTGTGCTGTTGTTGTTACCCAGTCCGGAAGAGTCGCTGAGAAAAATAATGTTTGGGGTTTCTCTGCGCTATCTAGAAATAATATGAAAAAATGATTTTAAACTAAAGAATCAAGATAATTTCTTGTTGATATAGATAGTCTTGATAAGTAGTTGTAGTTTAAACAAAGCCAGACACTTAATTTTGGTGGAATTCTAAAATATTAAATAACCTGCAGTGTAGGAGGCAGCAAGAATCTCCTCCACTGAATCCTGGAAACCCATATCAAGCATTCTGTCAACTTCATCCAATATACAGTGTCTTTAAAAAAACAATCATAAAAACTTCAAAACAGGTGAAAAGTAGACCATAACTAAGTAATGAAAAATGATAGCAAGATTACAAAACTTACTTTAATTTACTCAAATCAAGAATCCCTCGTTGCATGTGATCTAATATTCTTCCAGGTGTCCCAATTAACACATCCAATCCTGAACGTATGGCCGACTCTAGAAAACAAACGAAAACTTACAAAACAAAGTACTACCAAGCGCTGGTCTATAAATTTTATATCACAGTGCTAAAACGATTTTCTACCTTGAGGAGCATAAGGTGTTCCACCATATATACAGTAAACACTCAGACTAGTTTTCAGTGCATCAAATTCATCACTGACCTAGAGCAAATAAGAAATGTATGAAATTATGAATGGTTATGGCAAAGGTACTATAATTGATAGTGGATTCAAGTCTAACCTGCTTGGCAAGTTCCCTAGTTGGTACCATAACAAGGACCTAGAACATTAGAAAGATGTTGAATTTAAACAACTGTCTTTATAATGATTATCTTCATCATGTTTCTTCGATACTTACAACTGGAGCTCGGCCCCTTTTGGTTGCAAGTTCATTTTCCTGAAGACGTTCCATTACCGGCAACGCAAACGCAAGCTACAATAATATTGATAACATGCAACAAATATATTATTATAATTGACAAGAAATACAATAGTCTAGACATCCTGCAGTAATTAGGATTAACAATGCAATGATAAAACTCACCGTTTTTCCTGTTCCAGTTCCTGGAAATAAAAGAAATTTTTAGAAAACTAAGTGGCATAATAAACAAAATCAATAAGTCGACATACTTGCTTTTCCAATTACATCTTTGCCTTCGTAAATCAGATCAAATGTTTTAGCCTGGATCGGGAACAGATATTTGATGCCACGCTCTAATAAAAAAGCCTACATTAGTTATGAAGGCATATTTGGGGAAAGTGTAAATGTTTTCAATGGTGGTACTTGTACCTTTCAACTCTTTCCTTGTCTTTTTACTAATCCTAAATTTCTTCAACTTTCCATCAATCTCAGTTTGTGTTTTACTGGCCTGATCAGAAAAATGAAAGTATTGCCTAAGCAAAAGCTTTTATGATTTAAAACAGCCATTAAACCTCTTATTGTAAATATATGCGAGTAATCCAGACCTTTTCGGTTGCGTTGTCTTCCCCGACATCCAAACTCTTTTCCTTTTTAGCCTTCTTTGAACCTTCTCCATTTGTCTGTTCATCTCCTTTCCTTTTTCTTGACTCCCTGATCTGAATTTTGAAGATGGGATTGCCTGATTATATTTCCCTTGATTGCATTGCGTGGGATTGTATTGCCCCAACATATTGCATTAACCATCATTGTCACAATTTATAATCTTTGGTTGGTCAATGACTACTGATCATGATAACTAACATTCAGGCAAACAAACATGAAGGATTCGCTTGTCTCTAATGCTCTAAGATTTGCTCACAAAATATTTATGGAGACTCTGTGAGGTTGAGTAGCCCCACCAGTAATTCCCTCTGCTCTAACACTTTTTCCCCACCTGTCTAGAACTCTAGCTATAACCAGGCATTTAACACATAGGATTTTAACATAGCACCTTTCTGCCTAATAGAAAGATCCATTTTGAGTTTTTTAAAAGAAATAACACCACATAAGAGAGATTAACGCATACTTTACGTCTGAAACACCACGAATAAAATATTCTAGAATATTTCGAAATATTTTTAAATTTAAACGGATGAATGAAGTGAGGCATTTTGGACGTACAAATACCACTTACCCGCTTTCTATCGCCGTTCATAACCTCACCTATACTATTATCTGTCTCGATCTTCTTCTCTAGTTTCATCTGAATGTTTTACAACCGTTTAAATGTGAAATATTCGGAAAATAAATGATGAATCATTGAACGTATAAAGATACCATTCCTTATTTCTGTCGGCGAATTTTTAATCAGCCACGTGGGTTGTATGAAAATACCCACGCGCCGCGCGTGAACCCACGCTAACGATTTGCGATGCGTACGAAAGCACAGCAAACCCAAGGAAATTAATAGAAACATATGAATGTATAAATGATCTTGGCAACAGTAGAACGCACACAACGAGAGAAACTATAATTTAAAAATATTCATTCTAGTTCACTATTTTCATAACAACCAATATTAAATACGCTTGCTATTTACAAATCGTTAACGTTAATACTGTACAAGTGGACCTGCCACTAATTTTTTTTTACATTCATTTCAAAACAGCATTCTAGGAGGATTCACTGTCAACAGAAAACTATTACAGTCAGAAAATGACTATCAAACAATTCAGTTGGCACTAGACCCCCCGACTATTTCCTCAGGAGGAAAACACCAGGTTGATTTGTTTACTAAATCATTGTCAGTACAGATCTCGCTATCCTAATTCGTTTTCACAAACAAAATTGACGTTTTTTTAAGATAAATTACATTGTCTCGTATATTTGGAACCATGAACACCGTACATCCAGTAGACATCACCATGCTTTTGTGCAAGAAAATTACTCTTCTTTTCCTTGGGGTAAAGATATATTCGTTTCGACCTCTCCAACGTGATCATCTTTTCCTGATCGCATATAAAGAAGTCATTCTCTTGCCAAACGCCTCTATATCTTTCACAATGCTAGATTGCGTGATAGATTCACCATTAAGTTTTGGAAGAGAATTCTTGGATAACTGCCTGTAAGTGCTTCTTATACTCTCGATACCTACAAAACACAACAATTTCGTCCTTGGTTGAGCCAATTCTATCCCTTACTAACACCACCGATACCATATAAACCCCAGTTCACACGGGCGATTTTTGCTGCGGTTTTTTTCCTTTGATAAATACAAACGAGTGGATGTTACGAATGTTCAAGTAAGGGCTGTAAGGCCGCCTATACACAGTCACAGAGTATTCATAACTATTCACTTGTTTACATCTGTCAAAAGAAGGAAATGGCACCAATAATCGTAGCAGACGTCCCCAAAGCAAAAGTGTGAAGTGTAAACGGCCACAAAAGAAAACTTCTAGAGGTTCTTCTTCAAACCTGTCTTTGATTTTCTTCATTTCACGTTCCTCCTCTTCGTCGAACTTCACGATAAATGCTTGCAACACAGGCGTCGCGAAATGGATATATTGTGCAACCTGTTAAAAAACAAACAAGACCATTATATTTGTCTACCCGCATTAACTTATCCACATGTGATCTTTACCTCTCTTCGGATTGTGTTTTCCTCGGTATCCTCCATTATATAAATTTTTGCTAAGTCCTTGAAGAATTAAGAAATCTGATTTAGAAATCTAGCATAAAGTACGCAGAGGTGTGCTCTCAAGTCAAAGGTTTACATAAGATGGCTATAGTTTAAAGATATAATTGATTAAAGAAAGAAACCAGACTCGGTAGGCAGTGTGAATTTGTTCAAATTGTTTACTCTGTCTACCGGGAAGTATTATTTCCCTCGTGTAGTTGCAATAGATAGAGCCAAGATTATAATTTCATAACCAGATAATAAAATGTTTGCGTACACAGAACAGCAGGTGAAAACTAAGTTCTTAAAGCAGGCTAGCAACGCTCGCGTTAAAAACACTTCGGTTAACTCGAGGCTAACCTTACCTCAGCAGGTCCCAGTCGAAGTCTAATCATTAATGGAGCATCTTCGTTGTTGAGTCTTTTAATTTCTATCGAAAAACAAAAGTATTTAGTTTATGGAAAGTTTTAAGAGATCAACTTTCACAACTGACACCTCATGTTAAACACACCTCCATTTTCATACTTGATAAATAACGAAAATTTGTCGCAAGGATCAGCAATCTGAAGAAGACAAAGCAAACATTTAAAAAGGAAATGAAATGTTTGCAGCACAAACCTAAGCTGTTTCAATCTATTTACAGGCACAATAATCCCTTCTCACCTGCCCACCTCTTTCTCTTTGTTTACTTTTAGATAATTAGTTTAATTCTTTACCAGCAACTGAAAGTTGTGCCTCCCCCCCCCCTGAACAACACACATTCTGAAAACACACCTGAAATTTGGTTAAAATCATCTTGACAACATCTGGTGTGGGTATCTTGCTTGTTAACCGTAGCGTTGTTTGAAAACCATAAGGGGGAATAAACCTTGTTGGCTAAAAACACAAAATAATTATGACTTGTTATCATTCGATTCACATTTATTGCAATCTGAAAGCCTCTGTTTTCTTTTTCAGAACAATAATAAGACTATGTTAATTTAGGGAACCTACTTCTAGACCTGACTTGGCTGGCCTCTTCTTGCGATCAGAATGACCCAGTGTGTGTCGTCGAGCTAGCTTTTCATCTGAGTTTGAGCGTGGTTTGCCTCGGGAATCCTTTTTGAAAGGTCTGTCCATGACTTTTTCATCAGTGGTCAAACTTTGACTTCTCAACTGAAAAATATTTGATGGCAAGTTATAGCACTGATAAGTTCTGTTTCAGAGTAGTTACTGGTCTAGTGTTACTAAAATTTGCAGTCAAAATGAACTGTACATCACCTACCTGTTTCATAGTTTCAGATCGTGATAATTTTTTACTCTGCACAACATGAAAAAGTCTAAAAGCACGATCATTTCTCCAGTACAAAGCTCCAAGTGTTACAGGGTCTTTAAGACCCCAATAAACCCGTAGCACTCCTTCAATGATTAACTTTCCATTTGCCTGAAATATAAAATGATACAACAGTCATCAGTTTAATTTATATGTTTCTTTTATAAGAGGTATTGATATTCTATAACCACTCACCTCTTTGCTGACTAATTGCAATGCTTTCTTCTTATCACTTTCATAATGTTCATTGTAGTATCGTAACTTTGGCAGCAGTTCATTCCTACAATTTTCAACAATGCAAAATTTAGCTATGATTTCCATTTAATGCCATACTATATCTAAAGCAAAGGTAGAATTGGCATACACTTGAAAATTACCTCAATGCAATCTGATCTGGTGGGAGTGTGGCTTGAAATCCGAGTTTTTGGTGGGACTCAACACCCCCTCGACCATAACCACCAGGACCAAACAAGAGACTATAACATGGTATGTTGCAGTATGGTATCCCTCGATGCTGCAAACAAATACAAAAAAATTTAAACAATGTTGCAATTGAAGCATTACACTAGTTTAGTTTTATCATATAGCACAGTAAACCTCTGACTTTAATGTTAGCTTTAAACACAGTAAATTCTGTTACAGTTGCTTTGAGAATTTTTACATAAGTTAATTGTATTATTAATGAGATGTAGATTCTATTCTGGCATCCATTACACCAGTTTAGTTTTATCATATAGCACAGTAAACCTCTGACTTTAATGTTAGCTTTAAACACAGTAAATTCTGTTACAGTTGCTTTGAGAATTTTTACATAAGTTAATTGTATTATTAATGACATGATAGATTCTATTCTGGCATCTTTACAAATTGTAGGCTGGGCATTCAGAATCATACTTTACTTATATTGAGGTTACAATTCCTGTCTGGTTTCAAATAATAGCATAGCAGGTCAAAGGTGGCAAATTACTGATCAAAACACAGATTGCTATTAAATATTGTTTTGATGGAATTTTATACAACTATTAAGTATTAATAATTGTTTATTGCCATTCAGAGAACAATAATCAGAAATAGTTCATCTCACTAACAGAAAATATTTGCCCCTATTTGTAAGAGACAAAGGCTTACACATTTGAATATCTTTGTCTTCCCACAATCACACACAGACAAAATAATATTGACTTAAATTACTTCACAATCACAACATTTAACTGGGTGTATGAATTATTTCAAACTAAGCTTTGAATAAGTTCTTATTTATGTTAAATTTACCATCCATAGGCTAGCAGTATGGGGCAATCTTCTGTGAATATAATCCACTGTGTTTGAATCCATATTTCATGAACAAAACACTCAACTCAAGGGCTTGGCAATGAATATTTTAACAGTTGGCTGCAAGCCAATCAAAGACACACTATAATTTCAAGCTGATTTGAATATTAAATACCAACATGTCAGGCTTGGCTGTAAATATGTCAGTCAGGTGATATCTTGTTAACAGAGATTTTTGGTTTAGCAAGACAACAAGTCGCAAGACCAACTTTGTAAATAAAATCATTGAAGTAAACTTCGCAACAGCAATTGGGAGTTACAACTAAAAACTGTAACTGTATTGTATAAAAACTGTCCAATGTTTGTACAAGTTTAGCAGCAATTTAAAAGAGAGTTGGACAATATAACCATCTAAATGTCATCTTGTAGTTCAAAGTAGTACCACTTTTCAAGCTGATTTTAGAAAATATTAATTTTCAAGCCAATAAATAGCATTACTTCACCAATGATGAGAAAAACTGTCTCTTACAAGTTCAACAAAGTACAGTTCACAGGTGAACTGTTAAGGCTTTTAATTCTACTAAAAAGAGTGTTGGATTTGGCCCAAACGTTTACCATTTTCTTTGCATCAAACCATTAACATTCTAAGTATGTATTCAAAGCTATCTCATTTCACATTCTTATATTTTATCTCCATGACACGAATATCATTTTTAACAGAAACGTTTCTCATGGCTAAGCAAAATTTCCATCAAAACATGGGCATTTTAAACCAAATCAAATGAAAAGATAAAGTAAAAATCCCAAGAATCAAAAGCACATTTCACTTTAAAAGGCTGAGGAGCCGCGTGACTGGTGTCTCTTAAACGGATTCAAAATTTGCATACTGTCATAACAAAACATCAGTCAAAAACGATTAAATCTATTAAAGCATGCGAACTATGGCTTAGATGATTACGACTCACAGGTTTTGTACTGTCTCCAGCACAATTTGGGCATTCCTCGGGATTAGTTAGTTCCAAATCGTCCATTTTTTAGCTTCCTGACTTTACAAAACAAAACTTGTTGTGGCCCGTTGCCGTATCTTTGCCCATCACGAGACAAAAATTCGATTCCTTATATAAAACTGTCTGACGCAAAAATGGTATTGGATTTCGCGTGTGTTAGTTTTAAACATGATACTTCCTTGTTTAGAGCACATTTACTAGTGCATCGGTGTGGAAAAACGTTAAAACTTTGTCGCTGAGTGGCGAAGTATGAAAAGCTTAAAGGGCAATTGTAAAGTAATTTGCGACAGTTTGGAACGAAGCCATAGAGCTACTTGAGAAACATCAACACGCAAAAGCCTGCATGTTTGCTTGAAATTTCGCAAAAAATACCTCGTATTTCTACGGCAAATTGCTATTGAACCCCTAAGCACATGAAGTTTGTTTATACTACACACTTGTGGCTGCACAAAGACACCTTTACGCGCCAAAATATCGAGTTAAAATAGCCCAAACGGATCCCTTACCTCAGAATGTTGACCTGGGTTTAAAATCTTGCCACATTCTTCACATTTTAAACATTTTGGGTGCCAGGACTTGCCCAATGAATGCTTCTGTTCGGCTGAAATTTATAAAAACATGTAAAATTTTCGACGTTTGCGGTAATCGTACACTTCACATCAAACAGACACCAGTTACTATTTATTTACTCGAGCTGAGTAAATCGTAGAAAATTGAGATCCGTAGTAATTGAGATGTCATTATAAAAAATCCTGTGTTTCCCCCGTTTCTGCTTGATCGAGTAACACACTTACCGAAATACACAGGTTTATCGCACTTTGGACAGTTCGGCATTACTTCTTTAGCGCAGGAATAGTCCAGGAAGCAAAAACCGCAACGATTTTAGCGAAAGTTTTCTTCGACAGAGCTCATTGATTTAGGCTTCGAAATTCAATTTTGAAATCGCCCACGCAGAGGAGTAGGTTCTCGCGTGGGCTTGGCCTTCCTGCGTGGGCGAGGCGCACGGAAGAACGTTATAGATCATCTGGAGCGTGACCTCGAATATTGGATTCGCAGAAATAAATCAAAGAATCAGGGTCCTATTTCCCGCATTTCAATACTTCCTGTTCGTTTTCAAATGAATACAGGAAGACACCGAAAGCGTTGTTCCATCCTAAACCCTGATTTAAGAAAGCTTTAATTTATTCTCGTGCATAGAGTCATACATACTTTACATACTTCTATTATAAAGCTTTGATGTTATTCTACTGGTGAAGGACTTGCTTCGCCCAATTTTGGCGCCCTTTTCGTTCTTGTATTTCTCCGCTTTCTTCATCTGGCTTTCTCTCATCAAAAACGACGCCCGCGTATGCCTTGGTTCTCTAAAACTTGCTGACCCTTTGGCTGACCGGCTAAAATGCTCGTTGCGGTCGAATAGGGGTGAACCAGGGGCACTGCGGGACTTGAAGAGCCTCGCTTCGGGGGGTGGGATCCAAGAAAGACTCTTTGGTCCAGGTTTACCGCAGTTCTCGTGGTAACTTGGCATGCTGCAATCAAATGGCTGTATGTTAATGTATTGAAGGTTTTGACGAGTACTTTCGTGCCACATAGGGCTGTAAAGCGGAAAAATCCTCGCTTCCGGGGTTCGGTCGACCAGCCTACAGTATAAGGACGGAAAATATTGATATTTTCCTGTCTGGAGCACAGACTCGGTAAATTTAGACATATGTAAAATCTAAAAATACATGGATTTTTCGTAGCAAATCGGTTGGAACGAGGACTTTATCAAACATTACCCTTCTTTAGCTCAGCTCAAGAATAACTGAATAACGAGTATTATATCTCATTTTAAAAGACTGAGAGTACATACTATAGTGACTGTCGTCTTGCCTAACAATTTCATGGATTCGAATGTATTTCAATTATCGTCCGTACCTAATTAGCATAAACTGCATATGATCAACACAGTTGACACGTTGGCAATGCACGCGTGGCCGGCATATGTTTGGATCACGGCTTTTTTTAAATCATTGCGTCACTTTTCATATGCAATAAAGGATAAGTAAATAATAAAACAATGTTTTGTAATGGAGACAAAATTTTATACAATAAATGCCTAAACAGCGCGGGGGGAACTGTTGATTGAACAATATGCAACTCGGTCACTTCCAAAAATAATCTTTAACGGTCGTCGCTAGCTGTGCGACATGTGTTCACCTGAAGATTTGATGATCTTTTAAACGAATTATCTTCACTTTGGAGTGATAAAACCAACAAATGAAGCCGGGATATCAACTGTATCTTCCGTTAGATTAGTATCGACAAGTCAGCCTTTATGTGAAATCTCACTTCATTTTAAAAAAAATTTGAAAACAGGCCAAGCAAGAATAAAGCAATTTAATTACAGTCCGAGTTACTTTAAAATTCATGAATCAAAACAAACATAGTTCAAAACATTTGTACGCGTTCTTCCAGGAGAAACGCGGTTTCAGGAAATTAATTGTTGCGAAAACTGAAAGATCAAACTGCGTATTATTCACTGCCTACCCTAGAATGCGTCATGATATTTCATTTGTATCTGTTGACAGGCGAAAAGTTATCTTTTTTTTGACAAATCAGGTGGAACGTACATTTTATTTTGTTGGAGCACATAATCACTTAATTATAAGGAGGGGATGAAAGCAGATGCAAAAAAATCTGTCTGGCCTTCTGAACTGAACTTCGGCTTAAAAGGAGTCGTTGTTGTTCTTCGTCAGTTGTTTCAAAAGAACGTGGACAATTCCGACTCAAACTTTACAGTCAGAAATGCTAAAGGTGCAGATCTTCTTATCATAAAAAAAATATTACCCATGACAGATTTGCTGCTCTTACCGGCATTATTAAACGATCGTGAATGCGGTAAACTGGCGTACTTTATAGTTTATTTCGATTATGTTTACAGCCACGAAAGCCAGAATCAAAGGAATCCTAAGGATCCATGCTTATCTTTATGATATAACTTGACCTAACCGTACAATGTTTAAACCTGGGTCAAGGTAGAAAGATCAATAGGACAATTATACATACAAGTTGACAATGTCAATGAGCCAAACATAATGAGAGGAATACTTGCATGTGTACGAGGATGAAAATTCTGGCATATTTTTGAATTTTGATCGCATCAAAATCCTCCATTTCACCTACCTTTGCTCACAATCTGTTTCATAATGAAAGAAGGCCTTTCGCACAGCGCGAATAATATCCAGCATTTCTAGCAAACTGTTTACCTCCGTCAACTCTATCGATTTTATAACCGTCGGCAGAAGCCTACTGCCAAAAAGCTTCTACAACATTTAATGCGACTTTGCTTGATGGCTCCTTGCACATGACAGGTGAAATGCTTTTAAGTCGATTAATAAGGGAGCGTGGATACAAAAAACGCTTCACAAGCTCAAAGCGCTTTTAATATTCTAATGAATCAGTGTCCGTATAAGTCTTAAATGGAGCTTTGCATATCTGTAGCTGATTAAAAATTAAACTCCATTTGAAATTCATTACAGATTGATATCAAATGATGTAGAATATTTAAATTGATGTCGCGGGAAATTTTGGAACGACATATATATTAATAAAGTTGTGTATTTTAGTGCATGATATTTTGTGCAAAGATAAATGTTATTAAATGTAAACAGAGGAATATGAAAGTGAAAGAAAACTTTCAAATTTCAAATGTAAATTGCCTCCAAACTTTGCCCACATGTTGACTTTGACTTCCTTGTTGCAAATGATGATTATATTATTATATCATTCAACTTGCTGGCTAGCTGCCGCGCTTATCTTCGCCAATACGGCGGAAATGGCATAGGCTCGAATTTGAATAAATAAAGTCTAGTCCTTAAACTAACTTTTTTCCATCCATCTGCTTCAAAATGAATTTCTGATGTCATCAATATTAAAAGCAAGTTGGCGTTGGATTTGCTTGAAAATTATATTTGGCAACGGTCTGACTGTTTTTGGAAGTGGATGATATGCATGTGGGAGTATTGGAACAGCATTGACGTTTAGCTAAATTTCTCAGCGCAAATATCAGTCTAGTTTCTCCAACGAGATGATCAGTCATTGATCGATTTTTGTCACTAAGACAAGCAATATTGAAAAACTAAGCGGTAGTTTATAGGAACTAAGCACTAATTCCCTTCTTTCGCCAGTTACTGAGCAGTTACTGTAGTTTCCAGACTTCGCGTAAAATTAAGCTGAAGTGGAATAGCCACGCAAGGTTATAGACACAGCTGAATTCCGTAGAGCTGACTAAGACGCTCTCTTGTAGTCTGGGAAAGATTTTCGGGACCCAAATCAGCCTGGCTATAGCTCATGTAAACACTATGTACTCGAGGCCTTAAGCCATTGAACATGCACAGACACAATCCCGACAAAAATTACGTCATCGAGTATATTCAGAGAAATTCATAAAATTTATAAAAGCCTCGCTTGAAACGACGTTTGAAGATCAGCTGCCACTTTCACACACCGCGACTTTCGAGCTGATCAGATGCACGTTGATGATATTTGAAAAATACTTGGCAAACATTGCGAAGATGAGTAATTAACTATACCAACAATCGTCATTAACATTGATGGAAACCCAAAATTAGGCGAGACGGATCGCTGTGTTGAAATCACTGTGCGATCGATTTCAAAATATAAAGAGAAATAAACAGTCGACTTACATGTTCAAAAAAGGCAATCCTTCCGCCACCAAAATTGGACTCTCTAAAAGAATATAAAAAAAAAACACGAGGTAAAATAAACAGCTCTTACTAAGGATTAGGCGAATGCATAAAAAAACTCAATTAAACGGCCGATAATGGCTAGCATTGTAAAGAAAAAAACCAGATGAAAATCTAAGTTGAAAAACATTTAGGTAATGACGCGAGTGCAGCCGTTTGTCCGTATGAAATTGCAGCAAGCGCATACTAAGGCGCGAGTGCGGAGCTCCTGATATAACTTGTCGTGATAGAAGTACGATTTCACAGCACAGGGTCAGAGGAACTTGGTATGGCGATTGTCAATCTACAACGTCTCTCTCATGATTCAAGACCGCGTCAAATTCATATACTTGACAGATTCAGTGTCTAACAACGCCACCCAGTTGAACAATCCTATTAGAACCACTCCACGAATCATGAATTTACTATAACACACGCTTTAAAGATTCATTTTCGTAGCGACGAATTGTATACTGCGACGCAGACATTCGTGGGATTATGATGTCTCTGAAAAACCTAAACTCTGTCGATCTCATGAACGTTGACAGCGAACAAAAAGGCTATAAAAAGATAAAAGTACAGCAAAGCTAACAATATTCTCAAACCTATTACAACAGCTACAGTTGAAGCATCCATTATCGCTGGCAGATTCTGAACAATGTCGATAAATCACTCTCATTTTAATGATTTGTTTGCTTGTTATGGTGTTCATTAATTATGTCTGCCATACAATGGGGGTTACCAGGGGTAAACAAATATTTGGAGATTTAGTTTGTTGTGTAACAAAGCGTCAAAGCCATTCCATGGACTTCATTATTTGAAAAATTATAGTGAAAATGCAATAGATTTCATTACTTTACGCAAAGTGCAAGTATTACGATACAAGCGTGATATTAATTGGTCGTATTGGATAGCCAATAAGGTGGGAAAATAATACCAAAGTTTACCCAGGAAGGATAGCTTGGACTTCTCAAACACTTCGAGAGAAAATTTGCTTAAGAATAATGTCAAAATGTCTCGTGAAATTTCAGGTTGTGCCCTATACGTCATCCTTTTTTTCAGTTAAATTATATACTGATGCACGGGCGTGACGATATCGAAGTCAAAACCGGAATCAAACATTGAAAAAAAAAGCGACTCGATGAAGTGAAAACTAGCCCTCTGTATTTCCGTATTCTGGATTAATCTACGAGAAAGACGTTGAGTTTCAAGAGACCAGCCGGATGTTTCAAGAAATAAGAGAGCAGGAACTCGAAGGTGATATTATACAACTTACATAAAGTGTCAGTCAATCATTTTACTCTTATAGGTAGCAAGAAGGAACAGCAAAGCTTTACAATAATATCTACTTTTACTACAACAAGAAAATATCGAATGTAATTGAAAATAAATGCAGGAATACACAAATTCTTTTGGCTATCGATTTCAGCAAAGGGCAAATATCGTTAGGACATTTCTAGTTGCATGTTATGGTAAGATTTTATACTAAAAGTACCCTGGGAAAGTAATATAAGCGCTCTTGATTACTATATATGCATGAGGATTCTGCTTCATTCATAAGGATTATGCTTAAGGTCTTATGCTTTTTTTGGAAATTTTAAGATGGAATACATGATGTACGGTTTTCATAAGTCATACATATATTTGTGTACAACAGATTTTCCATACGTATTTGATTGAAATTTTTAAAATAATGCCATTTATAATATGGTGTCATAAATCGTGTTAATATAATAGACTCAATTGAATAGCTGATTATCTTTGTAAAAGTAGCTTTTTGCGAAGGGTCAAAGTCAAATTGCACTTAAATTATAACAGGGTCATTGTGTGGCTGTAATGTTATCGTTACGTAGAGAGATGTTTTCAACCATTTCAGACCATTAAAAACATCATCTTCAATCATTTCTATCTTTATTAGAGAGACTATATAGTTCAGAGAAACGCAAAGCGAATTTTCAATTATTAGAAAACGAGTCAATAAGACAGTACTGAGACGAGACAATACTGAAATGAAATCCTGGAAGCCATGAACGACAGACGAGTCGAACAACAACGTTAAGTGTTTATTAGGGTCAAATTCATCGGCTTTGGAAACTGTACAATTTAGATGAATCGCATCACGGTTGATCGCGCTACCTAGTTGGTATCTAAGGAACCTTCGCAAGGAATCGTAAATCACCGTTATTTCAAGGGAGATTAGGGGCCACATATTTGCGATAGCAGGTAAAAATTCTAATCCTTATGATTGAATTTTAATCCTGTTAAAAAAACTGTTAATCTTGGCCGAATGACAGGTTACCATGCAAGCAATGGTGAGGAATTGCTACTGAAAAACATAATCCTCCTGCAATTTTCTCTTTAGGACGTGGTACACCAAGATTATGTCTAAACTACCTGATGTAGGTAATATATTTTACAATAAGCTGTACGTCGTGGTTTGTGTCTGAACTACCTGAGAAAGATATCTCAAACGTGGTGAATGTTCAGTGTAGGTAGTATTCTACAATAAGCTGCCGGTCGTAGTTTGTGTCTGAACTACCTTGAAAAAGATATCTCAAACGTGGTGGTCCAATGTGGGTAGTATTTTACAATAAGCTGTCGCGGTTTGTGTCTGAACAAGCTTGAAAAAGATATCTCAAACGCGGTGGTCCAGTGTAGGTAGTATTCTACAATAAGCTGTCGTGGTTTGTGTCTGAACTACCTGAAAAGGATATTTCAAACATGGTGGTCTAGTGTAGTGTCGTGGTTGACTACATGAGAACACTCATCAAATACGTTGGTCTAGTTATTGTCAAATCCAAACTTCAAAATGATGGTGGTATAGGATCTTGTGGTGAATCAACTGCAGATGTCAGAAATTATGCCTGGTTTCCATAAAGTCGTATTAAAGTGTCGTTAACATGTCAAGGAGGCTAATGTGATCGAATATTTCTATTTGTGCGCACTCAACAATGATCGGTTTGAATACAGAAATAAAGACAAATTTACAACCGGACTATTTCTCATCGGTGTGAAAGACTCGTTCACGAGTAAAACGAGGCTTATCATGAATAACAACAGGCGAAAACCATTGGCATACGCATCAAGATGTTTCAACACTTTAATTCACCGGAAATAATAACACAATGTACTTCCGATAGTTTAAATTGATAACTGTGCTTCTACATATGAACTGTTTGTAAAATGTCTGCATGAAGCACGGCGAGGCTTTAATAAATTTCTCGTTATCGTCAAACTGGTAAGTGCAGAAATTGTAAATAATTGCCTCTCAATTTACTAATAAATATATCTCTCTGATTTCCCACAAATGCAAGACTACCAGCCTACCGCACACAACGTCAATGCCAATGGGATAAAGTGAAATTATAAATATTATATACCACCACGTCCTTCGTTTAATTGATACAGCGCATTCTAATAATCTCTATTTTACATTATCATCAACTTTGGATTCACTTAGAGCTATAGACTTACGTTAGTATTGTATTTCGTTGTAAAATGCACATCGGATTTCAATGATAATAACAACGACGAATTAAACCAAAATCCTGACACTTTTGAGCAACGAAAGTGTTAAATATTTCACGAATGTGTGTGAAACGGTTTAGAGTATGTGAATAAATTTGATGCAAGCGTACAGCATCTGACAAAAAGATATGAATCTTTAGCGTTACTAGCAATTACAAAAAATATAACCGCTCTGTTGGAACGTACAAACATCAAAATAACAACAAAAACTCAATCACCCAATATAAACACGATTATGTTCAAAGTATGACAATGAATACTGAGCAGTCAACAGTAATATTGTGGAATGACAGTACCACTTTAGGGAAGAGCATTGCTTTATTCATCAGGGACTCAGGGTTTCGACCCGATACCGGCACGATATTTCAAGGGAAATTGGTCAAACAAGGGCAGTAAACGTTTCTCAAACCCTTTCAAATCCTTTCAAATTTAAGCCGGCGGGCGAACAGGCAATGGTTTATAATAATTGTACATATTGAAGCTGTTTTTCAAGAAATAGATAACAGAATAGTTTGATGTACATACGTTGTTTTGTTGAAGTTCCTTCAAAATTCTTCTGGTGATCGCGGGAGGAGACAAGAATTAACTACAGCCAGTTTAATGGTCGAGGAATGCCTTGAATCCTTGTAGACAAATAAATATCACTTTACATATTAATTTTGAGGTCAGGGCTTTGAGGTCAATGCGCAACCCTTGACAACAAAGAGAATATTAAACCGGAAAATACCAGAAGTGCACTCAATGAATTTAAATTTAAATTCGGATTCGCGAACTCACGTAAATCGAGTTCTTTGTTTCCAGAGAAAGAACTTTCAAATGCAAAAATTCAATTTGAGCTTCTTTAGTCAATGGGTCCTGGTGAGCTATAAAAAAATTACAGGGCGATTTTTTTTTAAATCAAAACGTCTTAAAATGCCGCAAACTTGTCATAAAACGCTAAATTTTGTTCCAAACTGTCGCAAATATTCTGTCTCTTCTAATTGTTCCAAAAGTGTTGCAATATCGTTCCAAAAGTGTTGCAATATCGTTCCAAAAGTGTTGCAATATCGTTCCAAAAGTGTTGCAATATCGTTCCAAACGTGTTGCAATAATATTCTAAAAGTGTCGCAATATCGTTCTGAAAATATTGCAAATATAAATTCTAATTTGTTGTAGAATGTTGCAGAAGTGTTGCAAAATGGTTCCAAAAATCCCCAGAGACTTTAGCTCGCGCAAAATGTCACGGAATCCTGGAAACTACAACAATGGCTGTAGCGAAGGAAAGTTTTACATATGAAAACAATGGAGAACTCTGCTAAGTTGAAGAGAAGTAAAAACAGTATAAATATTTTAACACTACCATGGCGAGATGTTATATTTCCACACATATTTTGCCACCTTCCTCTGTCCGATATATCCAGAATTCGCCGAGCAAGTAAAAGATTTAATGAGCTGTGTTTGAGCTACTTTCAGTACTGCACGGTTCTCGATTGCTTCCCTGTTTCAAAGAAACTGACGGAGCATGCATTTGTTGAAATAACCAAGAAATCATCCTGTTTGAAAGAACTAAGCTTAGAAAGCTGCAAGACGTTTAAAGACTCGTCATTGACGGTCCTTTTGGAAAGAAATCCCAATCTAATGTCATTGAATATTAACGGATGCAACAGTTTATCGAATGAAAGCTTGCTTGCAGTAGCGAGATATTGTTCACATTTGACTCATGTTTACTTGAGAGAATGCAGATGGGTGTCATCTAAGAGCCTTGTAACAATTGCCAAATCCTGTAAATTATTGAATATTATTGATCTAAGTGGTTGCTGGGAAGTCGATGATGAATGTCTGATTGCTTTGGTGATGTCATGTCCAAAAATAGCTCGCCTATATGTCAATGGCTGTTATGGGATAACTGATACGTCACTTCACGTTTTGAGTCGTCAGCTTGCGGAGCTAACAAGATTAGAGCTTGATGGTTGTTGGAGGGTCACAAATCGTGCGATAAAAATGGTTGGGGAATACTGTAGGAAGTTGAAATATCTTCATGTTAAGGATTGCCGTGACATCTCCGAGGTCAGCCTGGCCAGATTGCGGGTGAAGGGTGTGGAGATTAACACAAAACAGGAGGTACCATCATCACAAATCCTTAGACAGTATTTTAACAAACCATCAATGCACATGACACCCCTTCGATTTGATCCCACATAGAGATGGTATGTCAGAAAGTATAATCAGGGCAGTTCATCGGAAGAGGTTAAGTAAATCAGTCATTTACAATTTTCGAGTACAATTTTAGCTAGGAATTAACTAAAAATAGTATTGTAAGACAATGTTTAATAGCAACCTAGAAAGTTAATTAAATGAACATCCTTCATTTCTATAAATTAAGGCTATAAAATCATTGAAAAGTATACAAATATTAATAATACCCTACACCAAAATATATAATAATAATTTGTACATTCATTTTACAAATCACCCAAACAGTTGGGCAATGTCATCGGTCATCCTTTCCATTGGTTAAGAAAAAAATACAGTTCTGGCAGTGGTTGTTTGAAGGAACAAATACTCTTTTACATATTACATAGTGTAATTTTTCATGGAACTTGCGCTTAAATTGAGCAATTGCTTTTTGGAAAAAGCACTAAGTATGTAAAAGGGCATCAAAACATTCTGTACATAGAAAAACATATTCTTGATTAAACCTATTACTTTCTAATTCTATATGACGTACGTCTTATATGTTTAGTTTCCTTCAATTGATTTAAATTGTGCGTATTTGGATGAATAAAGGCTGATTCTCCCTAGCAGTAATTCATCAAATGATAGGTTCTTTAAATATAAGAGCACTGCGTTGTTCACTATAGATTTGTATATATATAGGCGGCATCTGTTATGACTAATTTAGTAAATCTACTCTACCGGAAAATTTCAACCTTGAATGTCAATGTTTGTTGTTCTGGCCTCCTGAATCCTGTACAAGAATAACAAAGTTGTAGATAAAGAAAGCTTTAACAAATTTGATAGCTCAATCCCATTTAGATTCTATAAAAAATATATCAAGCCCAATATTTTAAGAGGCAAGTCTCCAGTTGGTATAAATTCTTACCATTTTCCAACGTAATAATTTCACCCACTCATCAGCTTCCTGTCGTGAACTTGCAAAACAGTAAAATGTTCTATATGGCATAACAATCCTAAAATAGATACACAATATTCATCATATCTGTGCAGAGGATGTTAATAAAATTAGAAATTACATTCATAATACAAGATTTTTAAGTTTAAAGTTACTTGAAGCAATTAGCTTTTCCTTGCGTGTCATCTTCTCCAATCTCCTCGCATTTTGTTAAATCCAGTGTCCGTAATGGTAAATCATCCTGAAGGAAAAATGTTTTACTATATCAGTTGTACTTTAGAGAAAGCTTTGTCTTTTTGACTTGGTTTTAGGATACGGTGGTCATGCTGTGGAAGAAAGCTACATCTTTAACTTACACCTTTCACTTTATAATATTTTAGATCATTTCCATTAACAGCAAACCATCTTGTTTTCCAGTTCTAAGAAAAAATGATTACACCTAATGAATGAACCTTCAAGCCTGTTTCAGACGTCAAACTTTTCATTTGGCGAATCAAATGCAAACAAACTAAAACAAAGACTTCAGCTCATGAACATTAGGTTTGGCACATGAAAAGTTCGACGTCTGAAATGAGCCTAGAGTTTACTTTGCAAAAGCATCAATTCAAGGTCGATTTTAAAGAGATTGATTACCATACCTTAACACGTCCACCTTGCTTGGTGAGATAACCCTCACGTGTCGCAATCTTTAAAAGAGAGATTCATAATTACAATTACCTTTGAACAGCAAGTATAAAATAAATCCTCTTGAATTACTTACAGCACGGTTGCCTTTATCACGAACACTCTGATCTCGATCTTTCCCCCACTCAGCATGCACCCGGACGGTTTCATATTTCTCCGGTTCCTCCACATCCCGTGGATAAGGATATTTCAATAAAGTTAGAATCCCTGAAAAAAAATGGAAATTGAATAGCTTTCTTAGTTGCTGCTTTCCATGGTGTTTCAGTTTTAAACTATTTTCCCTGTGCGTGAAACAGTGTTATAACAGAAAGAAAGTTAAACTAAACTAACATTAATATAATAGTAGAGATATAGAAAATTTATAGTACATGCAGTACCTGAATCACCACCAATTAATGGTTTGTTCTCAAAATGGTCAACAAACTCCTTGAGACAATCAAATTTTCCCATTCCAAATGTATATTTCTTGCCATCCCAACCAATTTGGAAATGTTTCACAGAGTTTGCGCATCTAAAACAACAGCGATTGATCAGATTGAGAATTGAATATGATTATAAACACTGCAAGCCATCAGCAAGATCCTACCTAACTGACAATGAAAGTTGTCCTTTTTTGCTGGGTCTGAGAAGGTAGGTACCATCATTGCCATTTGCCATCAACAATCCCTCTGCCACATGCCTTGTCATATTTGGATGGTACCATCTACATATAGATGAAAAATGCATGGTGAACCCACTTGAATTATGGTGGATCTTTCTGTAAACCAATCCATTACTAACCAGCACCAGATATTTCAGGAAATATGGGGAAAATCACCTGACAGTTTTGATCAATGGTAAAAAAATCTGGCTATGTAAACTTAATAGCGTATATAGTTTCTCACGGCTCTTACCACCTGCAAAATCATCATAATTTTACAAGGAGCTAGTATAATGTATATCACACCCTTTTAGTGCCAGCAGTAAAACTTTTCTAAAGTACTTTGGTGTTAACATATAATACAATTCAGATAACTGAACATTTATTTACAATCTCGTTAAAGCACGCACAATCGCGTCAAAGCAGTCTCGTCAATATCATAAAGTATTTTTAGTACTTTTTTTTAAACGTACGCATTCTTTGCAATAGTATATGGACAATATCGATCTGTTGTTAACTTGAAACTCACGTCAAATCGTACAGAAAGATATTCATTTGTTCATATCACCAATTGAAATAATCATGTATTATACGCAATTATAACTTAGAACAAACCACAATTAGAACAAACTACGACGGTAGACGTATATTCATAATCTACTCACAATGAAAACAGAACTAAACAATGTCTGGCAATGTATCAGCACAATTAACAAGGAAACGATTGAAAGAAGTAAATAAACTTTGAAGAATATACTCACAGTATTTGTTCTAGTTCCTCATTACACATATTGTCTGATTGAAAGTTATCCTTCTCAAGTTCGCTCTCCTGATCAGGAGTCGCCATATTTTCACTTCCGATACACTCCGAACTTCACCGGTTCAAACCGGATATTGACGATTGGATGGTAAACAGACGTCAGCATATTTTGTTGTCTCCCCCGGTGGGCGTGACGTGGGTGTAGTGCACCCACAACACTGTCTTGTGCTACAGGGTATATTTTCAAACCACAGGGTGGCCCATGGACCTGGTTTCATGCAGGTAGATGAGGGCATAGAACTTGGGCCTTATATGTTTAATTAAACAAGTTGTTTGTTTGCACCAACTTCAGGGAAGCCACACCCATGTTATTTTCATTTTGAGTTAGTTAATAATTTACCTCAACAGTCCTAGTTTGTTCAAAGTTATAATTGCGTATAACACATGAACATTTCAATGTAGGTAATGAGTGCTTGCCAGATGTTAGATTCAGTATGTGATCATTCATCTGAGGTCTCATTTTTTGCCCAAATGACAATGCAAGAAGATAAACATCCACTAAAGTATTTTACCATCATGACAACATTTTCAAAATTGCTCATCACCCAGCATCCGCAAACAATGACAGACCACAAAAATCACGGTGGCAGACACAGTTACGGCACCAACAAATGAACAAATTATTGATATTTACATTGATTAGAACGTAACAATTTGACATATACATGCGATAATTGGGCAATTTTGAGTTCTAGCCAATATTGAATACTAAGTTCGTTACAAACTATGATATACTTAAGCAGTCTCTATTTACAAAAATTAGCTGCATTCATGCGAGTAAAAATATCATGCTAAGTCTATGCTTTCATTGTAAGGGGATAGATATTTTACACTACTACTCTACTAATGTATTTTACATACTTTATGTCAAAATTAACAGATGGTTTCAACAGTGGCATAGCTAGTTTCGATAATTGGGGAGCCCATATTCATGTATTCATCTTAACAGACTGTAAAGACAATTGATTTGAAAAGAAATTAATCCCGCATATCACGAATATATGAATATGGGCTCCCCGAATATCACGCTGGCTATGCCACTGAGTTTTAAGTAGCATGCTCCAAGAAAAAGGCCAAGGAATCTTCTATGTTACTTGAAAGTATGCTAAAACACTCTGAACTGATTTTTAGATAAATTACGTATACGTATAGGAAAGTTTGATTTGTTGGGTAAACAAATATTATGTAATCAGTCCCTTATAAAGGAGGCCTCATCAATTAAGGACTTGACCCTAGATGATGCGTTCTCCAATTACCCTTTTTTAAACAAAATTTGTTTGCCAAAAACAACTTGTCTTTAAATTGCTTAAGCAGTAAATCTGAAAAGCACCATGATGAAGTTATGTTTAGTACATCATTTTAAAGATTCAGCTTGAGGTACAGATTTAGATTGGATTAGAGCACCTAATGGCTGAGATTAGATTTAGGCTTTCCAGGATCAGGATTATCAGGATTACCATCTGCTAATTTGATACAATTATGCTGACCTCAAACAGGATTACAGGTTACCTGAAGTATTCTGTAATAATATATACAAAGCCTATTATCAACACATTTCTCTATTAAATGCATCACATGGTGGTCAACTTGAAATGGAAAGATGGTTATACTGAAGTGTTTAAAAAATTCCAGAAAATTTGCATGGTACCATGCAGTTTATTTACCACAATACCATACATATGCATCTCATTTGACCACTATGTTCAGTTTAACACCAATCAGAGCTACTCCATTGTCAAAACCTTGCACTAAATACGGTATTGTCCAGCCCGGTTAATTTCTGCTGGGACTTGCTGTAAACCTTTCTCAGATTGTGATTTTATTCGTTGCTCGTTCAACGAGTGAAGAGTTGGTATTTGTGCTAATGTTTCGGCGATTTCTCGCGGACTTTCGCCTTGCTGCGATGCAGTTGAAGATAGCACCGACTCGATATCAACCCTCTGAGCTTTCCCCGCAGGTTCACTTGCAGATTGACTAGCGGAAAGTTTTATTCGGTCTATAATCGCTGGCCCGTTCGGCTGTGATCCTACTATACTTATGAGTGTGTTAAATTGTTTTCTTGTATCATCTCTCTCGCGTTTTAACCTGTCATTCTCTCGGGCGATTCTATCTAATTCTTCCCTCAAGCTCTCTTTATCCTTCTCCAAATCCATCCGCTGCGAGACCCGCTTATTTCGGCTGCTTTGTGCATAGCCGCGGTTCTTGAGCGTACGCCTCCGTTGTTTTATCAACGCTATTTCATGGTCGGATTTTCCTCGTAAACGTGTGTTTAAATCTTTTACAGATAAGCTCACAAGCTCGTCATCGCTTATACCTGCAATAGGACTTCCAATACTCGCATTTTCTGCGATAGATGTGGAATCATTGACGTATTCTTCGCTTGCTTGTTTTTTATCTCCATAGGCTTCGTTTTGCTGAGTCGCCATTGCGAGCAACGATCATCACATATACCACAATCCAACGCGCCGCATTCATGAAAAAATTTATACAATTTTTTAAAATTTGCCTAAAAAACTGCGAAATTTCGGCGCTTTTTGAAAAGACTTTGTACGGACCCGTGTCCGGGAACGTTAGGAAGTCAAACTGGGTTCAAAAATAGAGTAAAGTTGGTAAAAAAGGGTAAAAAATAAGAGCATTTTAGTGGCCATTTTGGGATATAGCATTGCCACGTCAGCACATTCTTCTTTCACAAAATTTGGGTCCAATATCACGCGACAATTTTAATTAATTCTTCGTGAAACACGCGAAGAATATGCGAGAAAACGATTATCGTGAGAAATGGCTAACCATTTTAAATTTGAAAGTTTGAAATTATCTTGTATAGAAGTTTCATCATATGAAAAGAATGATGCTATTTCATGCCATTGATCAACAAATTATTATAGGGTGTGGTCACCTCCACACCTTATCCAACAATTTCACTTTCCTTCTCAATTTCTAGTTGATAGATATTTGCACCTTATTCACCCAGGGGGACACTCAACATATGCATTTGTTTAAAAATTTGGAAAACCTTACAAAGCCATATGTGATCAGGGGGGTTGTTTCATTAGGAAGAAACCAGCCAGGGGTGTGTGAGCTTCTAAGTACTTTATCAGCCTTACAAGTCAGTCACATTATTTACATGACTGTAAAGTCTATCATTATCAATCAAGCAATGATTAGCAATTATCATTTATGGCACACAAGTTTGGTCTCTCTCAAAGATTCATTTTAATTTCACATTATTCAAATGCTAGAATTAGTAGAATAATATAATACACAAGGTCTAAACTCAAAAGAGACTCCCACGCATAGAAATTCAAATAATTATTAATTGCTTTTTGAAACATTGAGCATTCTGTATCTTTGATACCTCAATGAAAATGTACAAGAAACAAAAAGCTTGTCAATAATAATCATATGAAACAATTCTCTATGTAAAAACAAAGGCTAGTTAACATATATATTAACAACATTATTAAAGAACTATTTTCTTTAGACAAAATGAAATGACAAAACGTTTCATTGTCCTACTTTATTTCTCTTCACACCACTCATTCTCTTTACGAACCTGAATGAAAAATTGATCAGAATTTCAGCTCAGTCACATGTGAAATGCTGTGAGAAAATGTTCAATGAATAAACACAGTTTTTGTGCAAAGTTAATGGTAAAAAAAGGCATACTTGTTCCTCCTCTTCTGGTGTGAAATCATTCTTTATATTAAATGTTTTTCTTATTTCCTCTGGTGTTTTACCTAAGAAATATTTGACATGTTAAAAATGAACCAAAAGACACCAAGTGCATGATGTTTTAAAAACATCATATATACCTTTGATCATATTTGCAACTGTTTTGCATGTAACATCAAGCAAGCCTTTAATATCTAAATAATTTGCAGCCTATAAAGAAATAAAACTCAACAATATTGTTTGCAATTTTTTTGTGGAAAGTTACAAATATCAGATAAAATTGCTCAACAACTTTAACAAAAATATTTAAATTTACAGCTATTCCACAATATGGCACAACTAAACGTTTGATAAAACACTATCATACCAGTATTAGCTCAAAAAGCGTTCCTTGGTCAACTTTGAGGAACTCCATATCCCACGGTTCAATATCATCTGTTCTCTTCTCCTTGTTCTCATCATCCTCAGGAGGAGGTGGATCATCTTTATGATGTGTTGCCCATTGAATAACCTTCTTAAGAATTGCTGCATTCACGTTTGGTAAAGGTACCGGATCTTCGTCATCTTCGTCCATTCCTAAGTCTGATAAAGAAAATTTCATTTAACTGCAATAAACTGACCAGATCTCACTATATCTCGAATTCTATGTGCATTGAAACATTTCAGGATGATCTTTAATAACCAAGTTAAAGATTACACTAATAACAGTCTTACCATCTAACATAGTTTTTATTGTGACTGATGCTTTGGCTATCTCCACATCAACATCAAATATCTCACCATCAGAACTTCGTAATTTGATGTTCGGCATTGTATTGTACGTAATTAGTTGCTATGATGAAAAAATTGACATTTACTCAAAAGATAATTGGCACTGTCTTCTAAGGATCTAAAGGTCTGTTCACACGATCCAACTTTGTAGAATCCAATTCACTTCTGACGTATGGGATTCGCTGCCCATATTTATTGCAAGTCAACAGACTATTAAACGTTGATCAGAAGTGAATTTGTGTGAACAGACCTTAAGGGAATCAACTTGCAGATGGGTAACAAGAGAACTGCTATTTCTTTTAAAGGCTTTTGGCAATATCAGATAGAAAAGTATAGTTTTCATGAAGATATTGAGAAGTATAGTTTTGATAATTGCTAAACCACATTTTATAACAATAAAGTTGAAGCTCTTTCTATACACTGTGCAGTTATTTTAGAATGATTTTAAAGCCTTTTTGAGCTTTTAAATATGAAATTTAGCCTTTATAAAAAAGGTTTATACATTATTTTGAACATATGTCTTTGCAGATAAAGATGTCTGACGATGGGGGAGAGTTATTTCGGTAATAACCCAGTAAGTCCCAAAACAAGAAATGCTCTTCTAGAAAGTACAAACAAAAACTGAAATATTTTCAATCACAATAAGCTAATATCTCAAGGCTTGTCATCAATAAACGTGGCGAATTTGCTGCGATGTCGAGGCTGTGAGCAGTTAGACATCGACTTCTATAGCAAAATCGGAAGAACAGCGCTTTTTAGGTTGGCATGAAACTGAACTGGGTCGCTTTATAAAACCCAGAGTGAGGTGCGTAAGGATTTATACCGTATAACTTTTTTAAAAAACAACCGTTTGTCAACGCAAGCTGTCATTCCGCAAATAGTCTTCAAGTGCTTTAAATAAGGAAAAGATTAAAGGCAAATAAAGTACAAAACCCGAGAGATATTTGTTAAAACTTACCTATAAAATATTTCAACCTTTCTTCAGTTTCTTGTTTCTTGTTCAGCAAATTCGGGGGGGGGAATGTTATAAAGCGAGAGGACTGGTGCGAGTGACAACATTGATTATATCATCATCAATAATTAATGATAATTAGGCTTAATAATTAAACCATGTTCAATAGATGATTGTTGTGCATATGTATTTTAGATTGGCATTCAGAGAATAACAACATCAATATACACAGAAACATTTGTTTAACATTCTTTATTATTTTACAATATATAAACTAGATTTGGTTTCTTTACCAAGTGTAAACTATATGTTTTTTCTTCTTGAAAATATCAAAATATTTAATGTGTTCTGTTAGCAAGAGTGGACAAGATAGTGTGTCAAGATGTATTTGTCATGCCAAGCTTCACTGCAATTGTTCGTGTTGTGTTTGTTATCACACAATGATTTTCACAACCACAGGCTGAGAATTTGACATGATCATGCGCCATATTTTATCAACCCATATTAACGGTTGATTCTTTTCGTTTAAATGCAGCCGCTTCATTGGTCTGTGCATATCTTTCCTGGTATTCCTCCCTTCTTCTCAAGTAGATATCCGTACATCTTCCCCTGAACTCCTCGTTGAAATACCACTCTTGAAAACACTTCTGCATTTCTTGGTTCTCAGTTCTGCACGCTGTCACCAAAGATAGTGTCCTACCCTTGGCACAGTTTGTGAATGCGTCCACATATTCCTTGCACAAGATTTTCGCTTCTTCTCTCATGATCTTAGGGATTAAAACCTCCTTTTCAACATGACGCAAGTTTGAACCCGAGGCCCATTTTGGAATGCCTTTTTCTACTTCAAAAACATCAGCCTTTTTCTGACTCAAATCCGCCATTTTGAATTTCGACTACCTCGAGCAGGGGGGGACAATTCCAGCAACATACGGCCGTGTGCTTGTGTAAAACTCTGGGAACGAGGATAATTTTTTGGGTAATATATAGACTAACTCCAACAAAAATTAGCACGAACTAAATTGTTCTTCAAAAGAAATTCGTCAAAATACACTTCCTTTGGGCTTTGGGGTTTTTACAGTCCAATGATATTCAGCTTACTCGTACCAAGAACTTTGTGACATTGCACTTTTTTATGCACACGTGTCAATCACGTGCTGACATGAAAGTGCCTCAGTAAGAGGCCAAAATACCCAAAGACATTAATTTCACAGTGCGCGTCAATTACGGTACGAAAAGTGTAAAATATTCAAATTTTGAAAAATTACAATATATACATATAAGTAGAAACAGACATTAATATTACACAATAATTAATATGTACAAATCTTTACGATAATATAATTTTTAGTCAGATCATAATTTATACTAGTTTGACCAGATGATCTAGGAATTATTCCGAATTCTTTATTCGCTTCATATCGGTGCATTTAGCGACATTCCCTTGGTGTGTGCGATACATGCCTAAACTTCTCAACATTTAGTTCGTCTCGTCAAAGAAAAACAAAGAATTACTTGTGCAGCAATGCACTCTGCAATAAATTTAGCGGTGATTCTTTTCCTGGTGCCTGGTGACTTGTGAATGTTTGGCGACTTGTGAATGTTTGGTGAATTGTGGATGTTTGGTGATTGGATGGGCGTAATTATCTACAACAAAAGCTGTGGGCAGATTTGATAGAGCATTTGAAACAACTTCGTGTACATACGACAGACCGTTAGTCCAGAATCCTAGGAGTATCATATCGAGTAAGCAAGATTCGAGAACTTCACAAAAAAGAGATTGCTGATGTTTTCACTCCCTAGGCTGTCTTATTGTTCTGGTAAGACTTCGAAGTCGCTCTGGGCCAATCCAAATATAAGGTCGGTTTGGTTCAGAGTAAATTCAGCCTCTGGTGATGTAATGACGTAGCGTCGTGAAGATGCGCCGCCAATCAAACGATAGACTCCAATACACACCATGTGGAACTCTTTAATAGCATGAGTAAAAAGCTGACCGAATGATCGACCATCCTGAAATTAGGAGGGAAAATCTTAGCGGGGCAAAGTCTTATGAAGTGAACCTTATATGAATAGAGCTAATTTGTTTACGTTTTCTCCCTAACACTGGATCAATAACAGATGATTAGAACTGATAGAGCAGACAGTATAAATAAAGTTAGTTTAGGTTTCCTTTTGTAGTAACACTGTATCAATAAGAGATGATTCTTCCTTGACCTCTAGGAGGAACAGTTTAGAACTGATAGAGCTATCCAGTATAGATAAAGTTAGTTTAGTTTAGGTTTCCTCCTGTAGTAACACTGGATCAATAAGAGATGAACATTACTTGACCTCTAGGAAGAACAGTTTAGAACTGATAGAACTATCCAGTATGAGACTAGGAGGAAGACAGTATGTTTAGTAAAAAAGTAAATTTAGACAAGTACCCCAAATTGTTTAAAAGGTCCTTCATAAATTGGGACTTGTACAAGTTTCGCTCTCTGTCTATATAAAGCGATGTCTGGAGTTTCCGCTACTCCACGGATTTCACGGCCTTCAGCGAATTGAGCCTCCAGTTCAGCGCTGACACCTCCAGTGACCAAAGCTCGCACCAGGTTTAATACGTCCGAGTTGAAGTAGGTCTAATATGATGGAAGAAAATATAATAGCGGTGAACTTACTGGACCACTCAAAAGAAACATCAGTTATACAGAAAGACACACCAGCTAATTCCATAAAGATTAGCTAGTACTATAAAGGATCATTTCTTATGGATCCAGTTTAACTACTGGAGAAGAACCTAAACTAGATAATGTAGATTCGGTTTTCATCCAGTAGTTACATTGGATCCATAAGAGATGATCTTTTAGTGCTAGAGAAAACTCAAACTAGATAATCTAGATTAGGTTTTCGTCCAGTAGTTATACACTTGATCCACAAGAAATGATCCTTTAGTACTAGAGAAAACCCAAACTAGATGATCTAGATTAGGTTTTCATCCAGTAGTTACATTGGATCCATAAGAGATGATCCTTTAGTACTAGAGAAAACCCAAACTAGATAATCTGGATTAGGTTTTCATCCAGTAGTTATACACTAGATCCACAGGAGATGATCCTTCAGTAGTATTAAATAATCTCTATGTACGGTGTGTTTCTCTTTTCGTAACTTACGGCTGTCATTAACGAGTCAAGAACAGAGACAGTGAAAGCATGACCACAAGCAAAAGGCTGTGTTTCATAAAAACCAATTCCGTCTTCATCCTCATCTTCATCATCTAGATACTGAACGTTGTTGTCAAATACTGCAAAAGAAAACAGCAAAATATAATGAAAAATACAGTGGAAAAGAAGACGAGTAAAAAGCCAGGGATAAAATGTTTGATAGGCTAAAGAACGGTGTCAATCTGGGAGTGTTTTCTTCTCCCACTTCCTTTTAATAGATCAGATAGCTAATACTTGGTCGTTTGGTAAGCGATATCGCACCCATTAAAGAAGAGAGGAATGGGTGAAGGTTTGTTCTGAAGAACATTAGGAAAATCTGAAGAAAATTAGGAGGTTCTGAAGAATAACTCTCATTTACCGAGTTCGGTTATCATCGGTAGAACAGCACTGATCTCCTCTAGTTTCGACACAGAGAGAATTCTGTTCGGTTGGGAAACTGGTGTAGTACTGTCGTCATCCGTTGTCAAATGAGCGACCATTTCTCTCTGTAACACTGTGGCAACGTCATCAAACGGCATAGCTTTTAAATTGAGACTGGCCATGATTGGCTCCTTATCAGCCAATGCCTGATCGTCATTTGCTGAATCTGCAGCTCGAACTATTGGGGAGAGCACGACGACCATGGCAGCTAAATTAGCGTTCACAGCATTGAGGTCTGCTCGGTTGAATGGCGAACCCTGGGATGAAAAATGGTCTAAGTCAGATTTTGGGTGATTCCCGTCCCCCTGAGATCTTTCTCAGGTAGTTCAGACACAAACCACGACAGCCTATTGTAGAATACTACCTACACTGAACCACCACGTTTGAGATATCTTTCTCAGGCAGTTCAGACACAAACCACGACAGCTTATTGTAGAATACTACATACACTGGACCACCACGTTTGAGATATCTTTCTCAGGCAGTTCAGACACAAACCACGACAGCTTGTTGTAGAATACTATACATACACTGGACCACCACGTTTGAGATATCTTTCTCAGGTAGTTCAGACACAAACCACGACAATTTATGCCGGTATAATACTACCTACACTGGATCAGTCTATTTACGTACCGGCAAAATATTAATTTCAGGGAAGTTACACAGTTGTTCCCACTCCCTTCTCAGATAAACGCCGTCGCCAACAAATACGATTTTCTTGAGCTCGCCTGGTTGCAGGTTACTTGCCCGCAACGGGATGCAGAATGTCCGAAGCCCTATAAGCGGGCCATCACTTTCAGCAAATACGCAAACAACTATATGATTGTTGAATACAATCTGTTCCGCTTTAGTGCGATCCTGAAACGATATGTACAAATCATTAGGTAACTGTGACTGCCACGTGGCTAACACGAGATTAACACGTGAATGGTATTATTTATCTTTTGGATTCCAACTTCCAAGCAAGGAAGAATCACTATAGTTGGTTAAATGTTTGCACGTACCACAGTGGCTGTCTCAAAATCGACCTTTTCACACCAGTAGTAAGTCCCAGTTGAATCAAACATGCTAAGCTTTCCATTTCCCATTAGATCTTGAAGTCTGCAAAAAGTTTAATTCATTATTTAGTCTTAGTCCATTCATACCTGATACTTGTCAGAAATTGAACTTACTTCGACGCAGCTTTTTTCATCGTTGGTTTCTTTTTATTTGGCGTGTATAACTCAATACACGTGTCGTTCTCGTCCACTGAAAATATCAAAATGGTTCAAGTTGTAAAGTTAATCTGCATTGCTGCAAAAAAAACGGTGAAACAACCCCACAGGAACTTGTATACAGCGATGAGTGTCTGTGGCATATGGCACAGAATCCATCCCACAAAGTAGCCTAGTGAGGTTCCAAAGTTACATAAAACGAATTTGATTACTTACTGTTGACAATAGCTGGAGGAACGACGGTCTTGCAACTGCCTTTGTCTGAAGGAAATAACAAAAATACATCTTACTCCGTGAGGAGATTCTTTGGTGTAAAAACCAAAGGGATTGTTTTCTCCTTCAACGACAATGTAAGAATACTTAGAAATATGGCATCAAAATGATGCTATTACCCGAGCATTTGCATTCTTCGATTTGTTCAGGAGAGTTGACGTTTTTGTGACAATTATTACAATACAAAAACACCCTGGAAGAAAATATATTTTAAACATCAAACACTATTCAATTTACTGGTTAAAAAGGTTGAGAAGTACGTATCACATATCACACCATTTACCTTTTTACTTCAATGGCTGAGTCCGCTATGAAACAGCCCTTACTGCCTTGAACAACTCTTGCGTTCTCATCGCACGGATTGAGAACGTAACTACAGAAAGGGGTACCAAAAGAAAGTGAGTGGGATACGTAAGTTATAGATGAAGCATTAAGTTGAGATCTGCCGCGACAGAAATGGGGAAATCTGTTTATTTTTACCGTAGGGTTCCATCTTTTGCTCTTAACTGAATCGCAAGTAAGGTGAGACCAAGCTTCTCAAAGCAAAATCTGTGAGGAAAGAGAAAGAAAACGTTTCAGAATTGTTGCACGGTCGTGGTTTCATTTCCAGCATCATCTGCGTACTTACAGAACGAACTCGTGGAAGTCCATACCAACAAAAGCTGGCGATAGTGTCTCTGTATACATTTCCTTCGAGGCACCAAGAAGATAGTTTCCCTTCCATGTCACAACCTGCTCGTCTTCTGAAGGCTATGAATGAAATGATTTGTTGGGTGAAAAGCGTGCTTTCAGTTTGACTCTACCACCAAACTCTAATCAATGGTATGGATTTCTTAGTGTTTACCTCGCTTCTCATGGCGAAAATGTTCGCTAAGAGCGTAGAAAAACCTTGTGAAAGACAGCTCTGCGCTATGAATCCAAGTTTGAGCTAAAAAAATAAAAAGGATATCAAAGTTCTGTTGAATAATGTTCGAGAAAATGGCGTATAAAATCAGTTTGTTGTATAATTTGCATTACCTCACTAACGCACACCATATCATCACCATTGTCCATGTCCCAAGAGCGAATGTTGAACAAATGCATCTTAAAGAAAAAAACACCTTAGATTGTGCGGCCAAAAAACGTCGCAATTCGTCGTCATTAGAATCAATATGCTTCCATGTTGCAAAGACAGCCAAACTCCAAAGTTTATACCTTATTGTGATACTGTAGGAGCTGAATAACGACTCGTATTTTTGATGAGAAATTCTTTATTGAAATAACCCTAAATCAGAAGTAAATATTATCGAGATATTCGTTATCATATACGGACTTGTTTATTGTATATTCCTGTATTCCTAAGATTTTAAAGGCTGATTTAGATGACTTTAAGTACCTCATTATATTTGCGGCGTCTTCCGCATCAGGATTTGAGCAATGGCGGTTCGCCAAAATCAAGACAGCTGTTGCTTCCCTCATCTAGAATAAGGGAAAGAAATATCATGATTATAAACACTCAACACGAAAAAATACACTAGCTTGATATTTACGCCTTATGTCAAAGAAAAATATAAGTCGTTCAAAAGCATGATATATCTAAACTTATAACATATATTTTCCAATGAACACTTAGGGACAGTTTAATTTATTTTACCTGAACTCTCTCACAATCTCCACCATCCAGAACAGTTCCTTTGAAATACGATACATTCACTTCGTTACGCTTCAGGACAGCTTCTAGCTCGCTTGAGGGAAACGAGCTGTAAAAAGTAGCGAGAAGTATTTTAAATCACTTATGAGTTATCAGTGACAACGGTGGCCATTAGGGATACTGAGATGTCTTTTCAGTCAGGCAGTTCAGACACAAACCACGACAGCTTATTGTAGAATACTACCTACACTGGACAACCACTTTCAAATATCTTTCTCAGGTAGTTCAGACACAAGTGTTTTATTAACACCGTACTTACGGATAAAGAAAGACAACATGTTCATTAACGTCATCTCGATCAGGATGTAAAAATTCACGTAGAAAGGTTTCAACAGTATCTTTAGTTATATGTCCGCAGACAACAACATGGCTAAAAAACGAGAAGTTTTGGAAAACTAGATCAATAAGAGATGATCCTTACTGGACCTTTAGGAAGAACAGTTTAGAACTGATAGAGCTATCCAGTATAAATAAAGTTAGTTTAGTTTAGGTTTCCTCCTGTAGCAACACTGGATCAATAAGAGATGATCCTTACTGGACCTCTAGGAAAAACAGTTTAGAACTGATAGAGCTGTCCAGTGTAAATAAAGTTAGTTTAGTTTAGGTTTCCTCCTGTATAGTAACACTGGATCAATAAGAGATGATCCTTACTGAACCTCTAGAAAGAACAGTTCAGGACTGATAGAGCTATCCAGTATAAATAAAGTTAGTTTAGTTTAGGTTTCACTGGATCAATAAGAGATGATAATTTGTGGACACTTACTTTACACCTTCAGTAGTTTTGAAAGAACTGTTGTATTTTGATTGCGACGCGAGGAACGCCCCGATAACTGGAATCGCGGAGGTAAACATGACAAGACCAACACAAATGAATATGCAGATAAAAATTTTTCCGAGATAAGTATGGCAGTAAATATCGCCATAACCAACGGTCGACATGGTTACCTAGGACATAATTATCATGGTTAGTTTAAAGAAGGGATATAACGAAATGAAGCTACCTTACTTACCAAGAGAAAATATAAGCAATCAAATGGATTTAAATGTTGTCCTTCGTACTCATGATCTCCGAATGGATCACCTGTATTCTCGAGCTAAATGGAGTAAAACACTTTTAGCCATTATACAAACTTTCAGTAAAATTATTAGGTGTTCAATAACATTATACTTACCATATGGACCATTCCAGCTGAGGTTACCCAGAGGCCAACAAAATTTCCAATAACACTTGCCATTTCAATACTTCCGCTAAAGAAATTTCCCCGAAACATTGAATGAGATTTGCCGATATGAAAACTAAATACAAAACATCCAAAGGTGTACAGAATTTATCGACTTACGCGCTGTGTAAAATTCCCAGAATTTGTAAAACTTCCGAAAGTCTTAAAAGCTGAAGAGCCCTCAGGAACCTCATACCTAATTTGTAAAATAGACAAGAACATTAGTTTGTTTCTCATCAAAGTTGGATGACATCCAGTGGACCACCACCTTTGAGATATCTAAGGTAGTTCAGACACAAGCCACGACAGCTTATTGTAGAATACTACCTACACTGGACCACCACGTTTGAGATATCTTTCTCAGGTAGTTCAGACACAAACCATGACAGCTTATCGTAGAATACTACCTACACTAGACCACCACGTTTGAGATATCTTTTTCAGGTAGTTCAGACACAAACCCCGACAGCTTATTGTAGAATACTACCTACACTGGACCACCACGTTTGAGATATCTTTCTCGGGTAGTTCAGACACAAAGAGATATATTCCGGGTGAACTTACCAAGCCAAGTCTGTTCAACGACGATTGATACGAAAACTTGAGGTACGGTGAAAAAGTCGATAATTGACGTCAACTCAAACCAAAATAAAAGCTTGTCATTTGCGGCCAAAAACTAAATGGAGAGGAATATTTGATAAGTTGATAAAGAGTATAAAATATATTATATAAACCTTTCTCACATCACTGTATAAGAAAGCAATTATAACTACTGGACTCACCCTGACTATAAAATGAAATATGAAAAATGTGTTGAGTGCAATTTCAAAAATCCACAGTTTTTGGTCTCCCAACTTCAAGCAGTGTTCAACTGGACTATAAATCAAGGTGAAAAGAGTTGAGAAGAAACTTGAAATCTGCAACGCATCTATAGCCTACTCTTCTTAGAGGTCTAGTAAGGATCATCTCTTATTGATCCAGTGTTACTACAGGAGGAAACCTAAACTAAACTAACTTTATTTATACTGGATAGCTCTATCAGTTCTAAACTGTTCTTCCTAGAGGTCCAGTAAGGATCATTTCTTATTAATCCAGTGTTACTACAGGAGGAAACCTAAACTAAACTAACTTTATTTATACTGGATATCTCTATCAGTTCTAAACTGTTCTTCCTAGAGGTCCAGTAAGGATCATCTCTCATCCGTGCAGTGTTTCCACAAGTGAATTGGAGCAACCAGTTGAACTGAAAAATGACAGACACACGTCACTAAACAAGACTTTAAGACTCACTTACTATTGCGACTCGACATAATATAAAGCGATGTATGTCATACTAAACAGAAACGATAAGATTGCCTGAAAGGAAAAGAAATAAAATATTGTAAGCAGCTTGTTCTATGGGAACTCAGCCAGTCTAACTGTCCAACGGCTCATTCGAAGTTCAACACAATTTATGGTGAGGCTTTTCCGTTTCCCCTGCATCTGGGACATTTGTTGGCATACTTTTAGTTTGAACGAACTGTAGAAAAAGTGCCAGTCCTATGATGGCGACCAATTCACAATTAACATTTTCATTAGCAAGTTCACGTTCGGATCCCCCCTCTCTATTTTATAGCAAAACCAGCTTTCCAAGGGCGGAGAAGCTTACGTGCCGACCCTCCAAAATACATCAAAAGGGGCAGGGGGGGTCAAACCTGATCTGCAACATGCATGCAATAGGAATGGATGAAAGGAATTGAAAATGGCTGGAGTTTTTGATAAAAACACAGCGTAGTTAATACCCCGATCAGAGAAGTGCTGTTGCAATTAAATTGAAAGACTTTTCGAAGACATTTAGATATAGTCTTGGTCTCACTACTCTGTTAATATGGATATTTGTTGACAAATCTTTAATTATACTATTGTTTCTACCCGCAGATAGAAACAACCGCAGATGTTAAACAAAACATATATATATCCTGGAGATGTTGAACGTTGTTATGGGGGCAGACAGGTAGGATTGGTTATGCACCATAGTAACGTTTAACACCATTAAAAATTCATTGTCTTCGGCTCTATCTCTTTCTAAAAACATTTAAACTAATAGTTAATGAAGATTATTTTTAACACGACATTTTGACGTTTCACAGTTCGCTTGCAACATGCCTAACTGTCGTGTTTCACCCAGGTTTAGTAGTGAGAACTTAAGAACAATTTCCTGTCGTGTTGTATTGCTTTTAAAAGTTATCATTAGCAGATAACTTTTCGTAATTACCTTGCGAACATATATAACACGGCATGCTAAACACATGCAAAACTACTTTATCAATATATCTACTTTCTTGAACTGCTTAAAACTAAGGGGATACTAGATGTGATACATTCTTGGACATGTGTGATAACTTTTGCTAAAGAAATCGCATTAAGAGACAGCTTTATAAATTATACATACTAACAAAGCTTTGAATAAAGATATACTGTTAACAGGAATAATTTGTGCAGACATATAAGCATTATAAATGAATACAGCTTGGTCTTTTAACATGTGTTACTAGAGATACAATGAAATAAAAACAGCTACAACTGAATAAGCTCTTCTATAAGTAAACGAAACGTAACTGGTCGCAGCACACTGGCAAAAATCATTCGGTTAGCACTAGGCCGTATGTACATGCAAATCGCTATAATACAGAAGGATATTTATTGATACATTGCATATATTAACATCATTCTTACCATGACTTTGCCTTTCAAAGTCTTGGCGTTGATAAGCGATCCAGCGCCCTCCTTAATAGCAATATATAGTCCGCCTTCGTCCTCATCGTTGTTACTCGGAGGTCGTTTGGTCGCTGATTTTCTAGATTTCGCACTATTTGGAGGAGTAACAGTCGCTGTTTTGGAACGATTTCGCTCGCAAAGTTTGACAAGAAGTTTTCCACATAGGATGAAGAAAAGTCCGCCAAAAAATATTGTCACGCTCGTAAGGATAAAGTAATGCCATTTCCGCTCGTCTTTAGAGACCAATTCGTCTTTGCAATTATCCGAATCCAAGACCATTTTGCGTTTGTTTTACAAAGATACCTGCATTCTTCCTTACGTACAAGTTTATTATATTAGGCTTTGTGATTCAATATTGAACCGTTAGCATATACAGACGCTGTAGCGACCGAAGTAGTTCCAGTCAGATCAATTTTCTCGTTCAGTGAAACAGCAAACACATCGATTCTGTCGAAATGATATCAAAAATTTAGCGTACACAACGCGGTGCGACTCCAAACAAGAAATTTAGCTTTGATATTGGATTATATAGCATATAGCTATTATTAGGTAAAGTACAGAACAGACTGAAATGTATGCATCATTGCTCGCAAGCTATAGACAGGTGGTCACTCACTCCATGACAACAATTGTCAACTTAAACCCGATTTGCCGAAGTCGAATAAACACTCTTGTATGGAAAAATTAAATAAAAATTTAACCCGTCCAAGGCTTCATTATCAACATGCTCGCAAAAGGCAGCAATTGTCACTTATTGATTTTTTTTAACTGCTAGAGTATCTTTGTTTACAGGTATGTCTAAACAAGTGAAGACTGATGGCAATCATTTGAAATCATTACTCAAAAACTACAGAGTGCTCGTATGCCATCATAAACTTCGATATCCAAGTCTCTTTTCAATTACAAATCAATGTACTAGACCTGTTCCCGATGAGTCCGTTTCAATTGACAAACATTTCAAACTGCAAGAAATTTAATGAAATTTTTCAATTGTAATAATCAAGGTATTTCATTGTCTGACAGCGCAGGTAACAGTCTTTCAGCTGTCCTGAACGAGAATAATTTAAATCCAAATTGGCTTGCCAATATCAAATCGACAACGTGAATACTTAAGTAAGTTTAGTTAAACAAATATTGGTCGCCATTTGACAAGATTTGTTGTCTACGAGATGATCAAAAGTTATTTTTTTCCTTTGTGAAAGAAAGATATTGGATTTCACGAAAAAAAGCTTTTTTATTTTAATAAATCGTTTCATTTCCTTCGTTTTTTTATCCGGATTTTCCGAAGATTGTTTGTTAGCAAAATAACAGAGTCTGTGCTGAAGTCATCTGGGTTTAATTAAAACATATATTGCCTTTTTAGCGGAGCTTTTTTAGTCATGGGCTTCCAAGTCGTAGAACCAACCATTTTCTCTTGCAAGGGGGGGGGGAGTATGCTCTAACCCACTAACTCCAGCCAATCGAATCACAATTTTTAAACAGGTTTCTATACTCATCGTTATATGAAAACCAAAAACAAATTAGCAATCCTCAAAATTTGCAAAGATATTCAGAGGGCAATTAAAACAGTTTTTCTATTAGAAAAATAAATTATTCTCAACTGTCCTTTACGGAACAAATTCAAACACAATTTTCCTTTAAGGAACAAAAACTAAACATTGTCTTTTATATACAAGAATGTCACCACTTCAGGAATTCAAGCAACTTTAGGCTCCTAAAATATTGTTGAAAATTCGTTTATGTCTAACCTGGAAGGCATAGAATCGCAACAAATCCAAATCAAGCACTATCTGGAAAATACAGGAAACACAATCAAAGTAGTTTTTTTGAGAAACTTTAATACTAAGATATTACACTGATTAAGCTGTACAGGTTTAGATAAAAACAACACACCCCTAAAACACTACACATACGTATTAAATAACAAATGTTCGCAAATTAAAGTGTCCCAAATCTTGTCTTTGAACCACAAAATATACATGGAACCTAATATACATTTGTCCATCATGTGCATATGTTGGAGTAGAGGGCGAACGGTAACGAGATATTTATGTGGATGTTATGTTTTGGGTTTCTAACTACTGTGGTTTCGCTGTTCCTTTCTTGCCAATCAAACTCTTGTGAATATGAGGAATGACACCTGGAAGGGAAATTTAGGAGTTTAGATCCATGCAGCAAAGTTTATCAGGAACAATGTTAGTTGCATTTAGGAAAAAACCCCTGCTATTTCAAGATTGTGAAGATCTTTTTGGAGCAGAATGTGCATTGATTGTTCATTACTTTAGTATAAATGAAACTTTCTAGAATGTGGACAGCACAACTCTAGAATACCTTGCAAGGTTAATTAACTATTAGCACAAGGGAAACAACCACATGAGAAAACTAGTTTGAGATGATGGTGTTGGACAAATGGAATATGCTTTGTAGATAAAAGATTGAAACTTATGGTACACTTGGATTAGTCTATAGTTTCTAGTGAAATATCCCATGTACTTTGTGCCAATGCCAATGGACTGGCAAAAAGAAAGATGCAACACTTACCACCACCAGCGATAGTAGCTTTGATAAGCGAGTCAAGTTCTTCGTCACCACGGATTGCAAGTTGCAAATGCCGGGGCGTGATACGTTTCACTTTGAGATCTTTCGAAGCATTTCCAGCCAACTCAAGAACCTGTCCAAAAATACCACAAATTAAGCGAAGGATGGTTTTTGTCAAGCTTTCAAATCCACCCATCATTTTCTTTCCAAAATCAGCATGTGTGCAACGAACAACCACATTTCATTTTAATTTCACATCGTATGAACCTTGCTATCCGATCAAAGATAATGCTCTTTCGGCAATGCAGGCAAGCATCAAATTTTTTATATTTTCACCAGCAATTGCATAGGCAAAGAACTAGCACATGCTATGTGCTCTGCATCACAATTACCCACCATAGCTGTTCAGCCCAATTGCAAATACAGGTTCATATAACTAAAGTACAAGTTGAAAATTCCTTCAATACAAGGCATTTTCGATGCTGCTTTGTATATTCTAACAGATATTTATCATATAAAAATATTTATTTTCAATGAAGAACGCGGCAGCCATGTTGTTGGTGTCCGTGAAAGAATGGAGGGAATTTCAGGCGGGAAAATTTCAAAACTGCATTACCGGTTTAATACGACTATAAATTCATCGTTTCCACAACCAAATTTTGCCAAATTTCATGCGAACTGCCTTTCGCATTAAGGAAATTTCATCTAGCGTGTTTAAAAGAGCACTTTTTATAGAGACGCACGAAATTTGACAAAACAATACTACCAAGCCAAACAATACTCTACAACGCCGATGAAATGTCCGAAATTTAAGATTTTTAAAGGGGATTTTACCTCTGCCGTGAGATATTCCAAGATAGCTGCACTATAAACGGCTGCAGTTGCCCCGACTCGACCATGACTTGTTGTGCGATTCTTCAAATGTCTGTGAATACGACCGACGGGGAACTATGAAGAAATTCAAGAAAAATATTGAACCATCTTCATTGTTAACTAACGGTAGGGATTGCAATAGTCTTTAATCGATTATAGATCACAGAAGAAGCAAACGTTTACATACTTGTAAGCCGGCGCGAGCTGATCTTGATACGGCTTTCGCCTTTGTTTTGGAATCTTTTCCTGCCTTGCCTCCAGCCTAAAACATCAAAAATATTGAAATTTTAACAAGACTACGAAGCAAAATATATGAAATAATGTTCAATAGACATCAATTAAATAGTATTTAGTAAAATGGTCGAGTTTCGAAGTCAAATAGACGTTGGATGCAATGGATTATATTTACTTACCATTTCGTAATTTCTTGTCTTCTACAATGATGTGTCAGCGAAACGAAAGAGGTAACCGAAGAATGCTAAATGCTTGCGTAACGTCAAAAGTGCGCCAAAACCTGCTGATTTGAAGGAACGATCAACCAATCAAAAATAAAGAAATATCACCATTAGCCAATCAGCAGCTTATATCTGCATCAGGTGATCAACCGAATCGGAATATATAATTTTTAAATTAACCTTGTTGAAATTTTTCAGCGCATAATAAAATCATTCAAATTCGGCAAATTTATTCAAGCGATTATAAATAATTACGGTGGCATTTTCCACACTTTATTGTTTTTTTTTGTTTTGATGGGTAGATAATGAGCATCCTCGCTCTTCTATATTGTGAATACAAAGCTTTTTGTGTAGAGAAACACAGCACAAATTCTTTTCGAAATCGTTTGCAGCTTTAAAAGTTGAACTCTTTTGGGACCACACTCTTCTTGGTTCCCAAAAATACGACGATTATATATGCAAAAAATTAATGTATAAAAATGATTTATGAAGGCACTGGAAAGGGAGATAAATGCAAAATTGGATAAAAAAAAACACAGAAAAACCTATCGCATCTGCATTAAAGCCAGACACTAATCTAAGATGCCTGTCTGTAATTCAAAAAAGGTTTTTTTCAACAACTTCCCACTTTGAATTCATGAAAGCTAAGCTTTGCTGCGCTTCCATAATTCATAGTAACCATGGATAATCAGGGATAATAATGTGTGTAACCATGTGTGTTTTTATTATCCATGATAGTAACCATGCGCGGACGACTGGACCTAATCACGTGTTATTTTTTAGCTCAGTTTTTCAGCTGGTTTATTGCACATCAGTACATGTCATTTCCAAAAAAATGCTGTGCAAAATTTGAGAAAAATTATTGATTTGAGTATTTTACTGTTGCACAATTTGATTTAAAACCTCTGAATAAAGGACAAATATAAAATACAATTGACACACTTCGAACTTGACACTGGTTTGAACCAGCTTTAAAATTTATACAATTATCTTATTATTTACATATATTTTGTTAAACCACTTCTAAAACTTGTCAAGGAATGATTATATTGATTGCCCTCAAACGACCTCATTCCAAATGACCTGAACGGCAGGAGTATCACAGTGACATCATCCTCTGAGCCAAACTGCACCGCACATGTCGTTAGCATCTCGACAGACTCCTCAGGCTCTAACGAACCATTCAATATATTCACTGTCTGATCTGTGTTCATTACAGCAGAAATTCCATCAGTGATCAACGCTAGGAAACTGTCAGTGTCCTGATTAATTGTAAGCGTTTGAATTTCAGGAACAGCAATAACACCAAATGGTTTAAGATCAAAATTTCCAAAGCACCTTGTCATTGATAAACGACCATTAACACGAGGTGTCATGAAACCATCAGTTTCAACTGAAGCACGATTGGCTAGCACTCTGTTCTTTTCATCAGTTGATGATGGTGTGTGATCCTTAGTAAGTAGGTGTGCTACACCCTCTCTACATAAAATGGCGCGACTATCACCGACGCTTGCTACCACCAATTCTTCACCATTCTTTAAAACAGCAACAGTGGCAGTCGATCCAGAACGGATTGTCTGTTCCTTGTTATCTATACAGAAAGAATAGTGTTGCATTGTTGTGTAAACCTTTTAAGTTCAAACCAGCAGTTCCTGGGAATATACTGTAACTACAACCAACTATCAAATGAAATCAGTTTACAGGCTGTATAGCTTATCTCTGTGAATTTCAAACGACGTTGAGTATACCACCAACAAAAAGGTCAGTGTTTTGCTTAAAAAATTGGCATTTAAAATATTTACAACACTTGTCTGAATCACAGTGTGATATTTGGTTAGTTACAATACATATCACGTATTTACTGGATGTTTATAAATTATAAAATCGTTCACAACAAAACGTATTAACGTACCGATTTTGTCTAATTCCCTAGCCAAGGCCACGTCACAATCTATAAACCCTCTCCGCAATGCTGTAGTAAGAGAACACCGGCCTTGATCGAGGAATTTTTTTACGTACAAATGCAGATTGTTACGCACAAAATCGACAACAAACGAACCGCCATGACCATCAAAAACGCCCAGGAATAAAGTGTCTGCCGAGAGTTCTGTCACTTGAAATCTATCTTCGTTGAAACCTTTGAAACCTTTAAGGCTTTGGTATTTAATAGTGTTCAAATCCACACGATTTAGCAGACATGAATCATCATTTTGCCAACCGCCAATGTTGTCATTCGAGTAGAGAGTCTGTCGGCCACGGTCGCTCCAAAGTCGAGGTTTTTTGAACGGTTCTTCGCTGAAAAATCGATAAAGCAAATACACGAAAGGCTCATAAGTCTTTCTGGTGTGTTTTAATAGCGTTTTCGGAACACCTCGGGCAGTAAAAGATAGCATTTCGCAGCCGGAAAATCGCAGAAAATTGGCGCAAAACCCTCCTCTAATTTCTCTTCAATAATTAATATTTCGGTTTGTTTTGGTCACGTGACAATGCGGGAAAATCTACGTGGTTACACGTGCGGAAAACTACGGCCACGTGGAATGAAAGAAATAAAAGTTCTTTGATGTTTTTCTAATTAAAAACTGTATAACAAAAGCTCATTTGATCGTAGAACGACTTAGAGTAATATGACTAGCCCCTTCTTGTACCATATCGTCTCTTTCAAAAGTCTCTTTTAAAATGAAACATGTTCAAGCAAGCAGTTTGGTGTACAGTTTTACCAATTTTGGAATTAACCAATCAGAGCGTTTTACAAATCTTCCGGTTAACCAATCACATTGTTTCATTAAATCTATCACCCAGCCAATCAAAAGGCTGTACAACTTGATTGGGCAGCCAATCACAAGTGGAGAAAAGCGCGGGATGTCAAGAAATCCCAAAATGAATTCGATAGACAAGACTAAAGTTTTTAATATTCGTTTAAATTAATGTACATTACGCGTAATAAATGTTATATTATATGCTTTATTAAGTAAAACTAAATATTAGGTCATAATTTATATGTTAGTACTAATAATTGTTAATTCAATATTAATAATGTATATGATGGTTGGATGAAGATGCGAAATATCTAATAGTTTTTCACAAACTAGATCACAGTATTTAGCGAGTACAATAGATGATATAGCTGGAGATTGGTTAACTACAACTTTGCTCTAAACATAGTCCAGCTCGGTTGTACGAAATCTGGAGAGCACTATCCCAAGCTAACATTATGTTTTTTGAATCGCCCTAAAACTACCTGAAGTTCTGTCATAACCTAAATAAACCTTGGTATTCATAAATTAGAGCTTCAAATAATTATCAATTATTGGACGAGGTCGAGCAAAATATCGTGATTTGTCGGTGGCGAGCAGATCAATTATTTGCCGATGCCGAAGGCAGAGGCAAATAATTGATCTGCGAGCCACCGACAAATCACGATATTTTGCGAGAACCGAGTTCAATAATTGTTTTATCATTCACCACTCAATTTTCAATTCATTCACCACTCAATTTTCAATTTTGAGTTCGTTTTATCGGACAGTTCGGCAAAGCGAGTCGCCATTGTTTATAAAATTGACATTAATGCGCATGCTCAGAGTATTATTTGCAGCTGAGTGTTATTTGCACGCAGTTAACTGCAGGTAAATTAACCAATCAAAATTGAGAATACTATAAAGTGAATGATAATAAAATTTGTCGGACCATTTTTGTACGGTTATTTTTGTTCGATTGAAAAAATACTACAAGGTGGATAGCGCCTTCCACCCTTTGTACAACCGGCTTGAAACAACTATATTGTAGTATTCTAGCTAGTAATCAGAATGGATTCTGAGACATTATTATAATGATTCAAATATCTGTAACTTCATCCTTATCGTCTTCTGGCATGGTGAGATTTAGGATACCATTAGGATGGTAGGCTGCACCATTGTACGACGATTCATAGAAAGTGCCTGGCATCACGCGAGCATCCGGGGTTCCATCACGAAACATATCCATTGAAACTTCCTAGAATAATAGAATGTAATTTACGTTGAGACAGGCTTTCAATGAAATGCATATATGAAAAACAAAAATTGGCTACATTATTTTTTTTGGGGGGGAGGGAGTTACTTCTGCCTTTGTTTGATCTTTACTGGACCTCAAGGAGGAACGGTTTAAAACTAAAAGAGCTATGCAGTATATAAATAGAGTTAAAATTGCAAAAATCATTGTTTTAATATAAAGTTAAAGTTTAACAACTTTAAGGTATATTATTTGTCTAATATTATGTTGTTATATTGTCTAATGTTATAAGTTGTTATATTTTTAATGTTACTTACTTTAGGAATAAATGTATGTTAGCATAATTTAGGATTGTTTATTGTTAGAAAACATTGTCGCTCGCCGTAGAGTTACCAGACGCGTTTAAATCAGCAGACTTGGTAGGTTTAATATTATTATGTATTGGATTAGTTATGCCGTTAGTCGGTAGGTTTGGTTTGTCTGTTTCATCTTCTTCTTCTATTTCTTGGATTACTGTCTAAATGTTCAGCATATAAAACATTTTTATCTAAAGAACACGTTTATAACGAACTAGTTTAGTTAAAAGCTGTTTGATCAACTACATTTATTAGCGATTAAAAGATAGAATTCATCATTCCAAGTTGTCTGGCGTTAGACAAAATGAAATACATGCAACTGTGCCAGTGGACAAAATATGCATGCTTTGAAAAATATCGAGCTTTGTGTTATTAGAATTATATCCTAAAGCAATAATTTTTTGATAACACATTACAAACAGTCTTTTAAAGCCACGTTTAAATGATAAAAAGGTTAACTCACTCAACATTTGTTTTTATCACGAGTATATTTATTTTACGTTTAGATAACTCGCTTACCTGGGCTTCGTAAATTTTAGCACTGCTGCTGTTAAAAAATATAAACAAACAACTGGGTTAGTTAACACCGGACACCATGCACAATAGGTCGCTTTCCAAAGAGACGGGTTCTGTACATGAAAGGACAATTCTTGAATCATAATCTCCGAGATCACACTTACCTATTTTTATCATCTTCGCTCCTCCAGTTGTCATAAGGGTCCATCCAAACTGGATTTGATCTATAAAATGATTTAAGTATATTCCGTCAAAACTTAGCCGTTTCAAAATAACACAAAAACATTTCTTCATTAAATACCTACCCTTCGAACACGTGTAGATTTGTACCGGGTGTTGCAACGCCATAGGTTTGATCTTGAGAACCTGTTAAGACATGATATTGAGTGTCTTCACCTCAGGGTGATAAGCGAATTTCAACATAAAATCATTGTCGTATAGCTAGGTCAGAAAGGTGACTCTTCAACAACAATAGATAACTTGTTTTGACACCTCAGGATTTATGTGTTGTTTTTAAATGCGTTTGGCGTATTATGAAAGCATCATGTTTGACCGTGGCCATAGTCTGGTATACTATAGTCAGATTTGAAAACAAGGATTTCCTGAAAATCTTACCAATCGCTTTGGCTGCTCGTAATTTCCTGTTGTGACTTCGTCTCATGAGACAAATGACACACAAGAAACATAATAATATAATAAACAAAATCACAGCTAGGACAATAGCGGCTGCTAAGATGGCGTCAAATCCTTCGCCTTCGCTATCCGGCTTTTTAGGCTAAAAAATATAGAAAATATATTTCAATCACTGCACAGGCAATGCTGTTTACCATAAACTCTTAACCAAAGATATTTACCTCAACTGCATTCACTTTGTATTTTTGGAACAGAGCGATGAGCTTGCCATAATTCGTATCGATCAGGCTATGTAGAAACAAGAAATATATAAAAATCATCAGTATACATTTGGTTATAAGGTTGATTTTAACATCCTCAACCGTCCAGCATTACCAGTACTGCATGCAAGACCTACTTTATAGCCGTATCTTTGCTGACAACCTTGTTCGTTTTAGGATCTACCGCGTGCATGAAGATATCCGTCCTAAAATAGATTTAAAGTTGTTGTTAAACGATGAAATGAGAGAAAAGCTTTTGTTACCTCAAATGAGTTATGAAATTGTATCCGAGTATAAGGAGAGTTACTTCGACAAGTCGTATCTTCCATTGCTCTGAAGGTGATATTGAATGCTGTCGACATTAAACTCTAACCCCGTTGCTTCGTCGAGTGCTCTATAAGAGATAGAAAACAACAGATGAAGACTTGGGCCTTTTTGAGAAGATAACTGGAAACAGCAACAAAGTGAGCTGATACTCACTTCTTTATCTCATCTATATTGTCTCGAACGAACTTAGTATCGTTTATACCCAATGTTAGGCGAACCCTTTGATCATCAACTAACACGAATATCTAGATAGAATTTTGATACAGAAATTAGATCAGTGAAAAATTATAATTTTATCAGTTCTAAACTGTTCTTCCTAGAGATCCAGTAAGGATCATTTCTTATTGATCCAGTGTTACTACAGAAGGAAACCTAAACTAAACTAACTTTATTTATACTGGATAGCTCTATCAGTTCTAAACTGTTCTTCCTAGAGGTCCAGTAAGGATCATCTCTTATTGATCCAGTGTTACTACAGGAGGAAACCTAAACTAAACTAACTTACTGAGAGCATATTTGCGTTAGAAAAAGATCTTTCGATTTTACCGTAACGTTAGTCTTTGCGACGGTCTTGGAATCTTCACAGGAATATACAAACGAGTATTTCTTTCCAACGCCGCTCGCAAAATATTGTTGCTGTCCGGCAAGAATCCATCCAGTTTCCGGCTCAACCGTTAATAGTTCCGCTGGTTGGAGGTCGACAGCTTTGTAAATTAGTTTGCTATTGTTACCAGCGTCTTTGTCGATGCACTGAAATGGAATGAATGGTTCCAACTATTATTTCAGTAAGGAAAGCTTATGAGAAGAAGGGAACTTAAAGAAGAGGATATGAGAGGGATATATTTGAGTAAGAGGGGATACAGAGGGACATTCCAGTAAACCCTAACCCAATGAATACACTTTAGCTCGTTCATTAAATCTGCTCACCGTGATTTGTGTAATTCTGCTGTTGTACTCTGCGTTCTCTGAGACGCCTGAGAAAACACGGAATGGCATGATAAATTGGAACAATTAAGTTGGTGTAAGAAATGAATAAAAGAAAGCATACATGCATACATACATATTTTTTTATTTGATAAAGCAGGTTAAACAATCGGTGGCAGCCAAGGCTGATGGGGACCTGAATAGCATATATGTTGTGTGTTATACATTTTTACCTGCTTTATAAAAGTTCTCTTTAAAATATGGCTCGTTGTCGTTGGTGTCAGAAATAGTTATCGTCACCAGTTGTATATTATTTTCCACCACTAAGAGATTAAAGAGATTAACTGATGTAGCGATGAAAAATCTTAGCATGACGAATTTTTAATCAATTATAATCGTGGTCTCATGCAAGCAGAAGTGCAATACCTGAACGTTTTCGACGACTGCCTTCCGGGGGCTTCAGAGTTGCGATATACTCCGGCGTTTGCTGTAGTATAAAATAATAAATAACTTTATAATAAATACTAATAAATCGTTTGTCTAATCTTTGTTGGACTTAAAGTGAACCAAAATGTCATTAAACTTGCCTTGGAATTAAAGACAGCCACGTAAATATAGTAAGTACTGTTTCTCTCACGATCCTAAGAATGGTTTGAAGATCATAGATTAGAATCACATCACATCGTAACCTGATAACTTTCGTTTTATGCACAGAAGACACTCACCAGAACTTTCTTTGTTGTAACTTCCCCGGACTCTTCATCGAGTGCAAACACATCTGCACCAGTTCCTCCTAAAGAGAGCACAAATATTTTGTAAGTTTGAACTGATATAGAGCTAACCAAATAGAAATATCCGGTATAAATAGACTCAAAGGTTGAGTTAGATGTACTAACCAATGATATAGTAGTAAAACAAAGCAGACGCATCGGCATCTGAGGCCTTGATGCTGCCAACTTTTGACCCAGAATTCTCGTTTTCCAACACACTCAAGCTCACGCTTTTCTATACAATAAGGAAAATTTTATTTAAATAGTGATTGCTTTAATATTCAGTTCATAATTAACCTAGGCTGTATGCGCGCTTGAATGGATCAACAAGAGATGGGCCTGGTGGACAATTGATAAAGTTATCCCAGTAAACTGTAAACATACTATTAGCTTATATAGATATTCGTTGGCATACCTCAGGGAAAAAAGGAAGATTGTCGTTGGTGTCCTGGACATTTATCGTGATCACCTTGATGTTAGATTGCAAACTCGGAACACCGTTGTCATAAGCTTGGATACCAATCTAAATACGTTGATTATGAAGCTTTGATTCAGTTTGGATTTCGTGTTTCCAAATGAGTCACCCTCGTTGTTACCTTATATTGTTGGACAGATTCGTGGTTAAGTCCTTTGACTATGAACAGTTCTCCTGTTTGATTATTGATATCAAAAACACCGTCACTATTTCCGCTGACGATCCTGTAACCAATCTTGGCGTTCTTTCCCAAGTCTGCGTCTGTTGCATTGAACTTGGCAACAACAGTTCCGTTGGTTGCATTCTAAAAAGCAATATTGTCCAGTATAAATAAAGTTAGTTTAGTTTAGGTTTCCTCCTGTAGTAACACTGGATCAATAAGAGATGATCCTTACTGGACCTCTAGGAAGAGCAGTTTAGAATCGATAGAGCTATCCAGTATAAATAAAGTTAGTTTAGTTTAGGTTTCCTCCTGTAGTAACACTGGATCAATAAGAGACGATCCTTACTGGACCTTAATGCTATTAACCAGGTTGATTTCAGTTTAAGCTACCTCCATAATCTCAAATATCGTACGATCAACGATGAGAACAGGATTCTCATCGTTCGTGTCAGAGACGTCTATTTTCACGGTTGCATTGCTCGATAAACTCGGTGTTCCATGATCCTTTGCAGATACAACCAAGGAGTGAGTATGCACACTTTCTCGATCCAGTCTCTTTGCAACAGTCATAACACCCGTTGTCTCATTGATGGCGAAGACTCCTGGAAATACAACATTCAACCATCATTAGGAACAGTTTAGAAGTCCGTAGTTCCTTACATATGTTTTACCATACCTTCATCATTTCCAGCTACAATGGAGTATGATATATCACTATTCTTTCCTATGTCTTTATCGTCTGCTGTGACCGTAAGGATTTCCTCATTCAACTCGAAGCTTTCTGGGATTTTCTTGCTGTAACTGCTTTCTCGAAACACAGGAGCATAGTCGTTGTAGTCATCAACTTGGATAGTTAACTACGGAAAATATTTTCATTTCATTAGATCTCTTGTGGCAAATGATGCTGAATGTAATATGGTTAGTTTAGTTTACTGGACCTCAAGGAAGAACAGTTTAGAACTGATAGAGTTATCCAGTATAAATAAAGTTAGTTTAGTTTAGGTTTCCTCCTGTAGTAACACTGGTTCGATAAGAAATGATCCTTACTGGACCTCTAGGAAGAACAGTTTAGAACTGATAGAGCTATCCAGTATAAATAAAGGTTAGTTTAGTTTAGGTTTCCTCCTTTAGTAAGTAACACTGGATCAATAAGAGGTGATCCTTACTGGATCTCCCAAGAAAGAACAATCGGGAAATTATTGAGCTGCTTTTGCAATCATTCTTATACCTCTGTCGCTGTCCGTTGAACTGTGTCATTCTTAAATTTGTTCAACGTTCTCGCCTCGATAGTCAACTCGTATTCATCCTTAGTTTCCCGATCCAGGTTAGTTGTATTTGCGACGTTCACGATCCCACTCTCGTACCCAATCCCGAAAACTCCATCATCATTACCACTGGTAATGACGTAATAGATTTTCCGATGCGCCGTCTCAAAATCGATGTCAGTTGCATTCACTTGAATGATGGTATCATTAGGTACTGCGTTTTCGTTCACTCTTGCTGACCAAGACTTCTGTGTGAAGACGGGCGGGTTATCATCGGTGTCTGATATAGTGATATACAGTGTAACATTGCTACTTTGCTTTGGAAATCCGTTATCCCAGGCCGTCACGGTTATTGTGAACGTGTGGTGCTTCTCAAAGTCCAGGGATATTGCAGTTTTCACCTCTCCAGAAATTGCTAGAAAAATATATGCGTATTTCTTTACTGAAGAGTTCTCTCAAACTCTACCAATGACTGTACCTATGACGAGCCAATCAACAGGCAATCAATGGCCAACCAATCAATAACAAGCTAATCGATGACAAACCAACCAATGACGAACTAAACCGTTACCAACCAACCGATGACCAACTAACAAATGACCAACCACCTGACCAACCTAATGATACAACGATCAGCCCACCAATGATCAGCTCACCAGTGACCAACTACCAAATGACCTACCAATGACCAGCCAACCAATAAATGACTAACAATGACCAACCAATGACCAATCAACTAAGGAACATCCAACCAGTAACCAAGCTACCAATGACCAGCCTACCATTGACCAACAAATCGACGAGCAATCAATCAAGCTGAACAAATCAGTCAACTTACATCCAACAGAAAACACAGCATTTCCATTTTCCAAATTTCCTTGCTGTTGCATTTGGTAACTGACTTGACCAGCGGGCCCCTCATCCGCATCAGTGGCTGTGACGGTGTAAACCTATATTTAAGATAGGTTCTGGTAAATATCCCTCCCCCGAGTTCTTGGGAAGAAATTTAGTTCGACCACAACCGACTCACCGATGTTCCTTTTGCAGTGTCTTCGGCAACAGTGATGTTGTACGCTGCGTTTTTAAAAACGGGTTGTTCGTCGTTTTCATCCAAAACTGTTATGGTTATATTAGTTGTTCCCTCTAGCGATGGATTGCCATGGTCCTTTGCCTGGAAAGATATAAAATTTTCAGTTCTAAACTGTTCTTCCTAGGGGTTCAAGGATCATCTCTTATTCGTCCAGTAAGGATCATCTCTTATTGACCCAGTGTTACTACAGGAAGAAACCTAAACTAAACTAACTTTATTTCTACTGGATAGCTCTATCAGTTCTAAACTATTCTTCCTAGAGGTCCAGTAAGGATCATCTCTCATTGATCCAGTATTACTACAGGAGGATACCTAAGCTAAACTAACTTTGTTTATACTAGATAGCTCTATCAGTTCTAAACTGTTCTTCCTAGAGGTCAAGTAAGGATGAATCCTGTGTTTCTACAATTCAGAGCTGTCCTTCCCAGAAGTAAAGTCATTGTGATTTTCCGTTAGGCCGGCTAACCTTAACTGTCAAAAAATATGCAGAAACATTCTCCCGATCCAATTCTTTTGTCGTTGAAATCTCTCCGGTCTCATTGTTAATCGTGAACGCGGAACCTGAGGGTAGAAGCAGAACGACTCTGTTTATCAACTTCGTCACCAATATATAGTTCAACCTTTTTTCACACAACTGACTCAAGCTCTTCAAATATACATACCAAGATTTCCATGTGAGAAGGAATATGTTATCTTTTTGTTTTCTTCGCTATCCCTATCATTTGCACTCAGTCTGACAATGGATGTACCAGCTTTTCGATTCTAAAATTTTTAATTTTTAATAATAAAAACTGCAGACACTCAAAGCACGAAACAGCAGTTGTATATGGTCTGGCTATGCTGCCTTTTCTCTCTTGATGTCGTTCAATGCGGAACATGGAATTCGAAGATACTCTCAGCAAAATTATTGTAGTTTATGGAAAGATAACATACCTCAGTTACAGTGAAGCTGTACTCGGGCTGCCCAAATTCTGGACGATTATCGTTAATATCAAGGACTTCAACCACAAGCTGGTATTCTCTGTTAAAATAAACGCATTTTATAAAAAACAAATATACAAAAATATATAAAAATTCGAGTTAGACTTAATTCAAGCACGACAATCACACTGACAACTGAGTAAGAGACAGCTGAGAGATCATTCGTGCGATATTTTAACACTCGACTTACCCAGAGAGGGGAGGTGTGCCTTTGTCGCTCGCCACGATTTTTAGCGAATAAATTCTGACGGTTTCGAAATCCAATTCCTGAGCTACAGTTACCACACCGGTTTGAGGATCCATAGTAAACTTTCCCTGCACGAAATAAGTGTTTGGTAAAAGCTCATTCAAACGATTGCAAGAGTGAGTTGCAGTCAAAAGAGAGCTTGAATCAATGTTTACCAACCTCACTGTTGCCATCAGCAATTGTGTATTCCATTGTCCCATTCAGCCCTAAGTCATTATCGCTGGCACTGTTGTTAGCCACTGTTGTATTTAACGTGGTGGCTCCTTCCTCGATCTTTTTCTTGTCAACAGCTGAAGAATAGGAGTTGTTTGACAAAATAAACTTAGCTAACCGTTTCTTTGCAAACCTACCGATTGACTTTGGTGTAAATGAGTATTTTTTCTTCTTACATCAAAGTGTTACAGAAACGCACAGAAAATAACACTGCGAGAATAATTTCCGGTGTAATTAATATCAAATAGTTCAAAGGACGTTGGATGACAGGAATGTAAATGAAAATGCAAAAAAAAAAAGGAAGACACGTACTTATCTCAAATTTAGGCGAGTTATCGTTTTCATCCAGTATGTTTACAATCACCTATTTTAAAGAGAAAAGACACAGTGAAATTATAAGTGTGAGAGTGTCAATTCCAACCAGTTCTTCCAAACAGTCTTTCCATCAAAACACAAGGTAAAATGTTTGAAGAGGATTTATTTACCATTGCATAAGCAAACATCTTTGGATCGCCACTGTCTGATACAGATACCTGATGGTTATAAGGAAAAATTTTCACATATCATATTTACTTAACATACACAAATGCATGCAGAAGTATAATCAAACCTACATTCAATGTGTAAACCGACTGGGATTCTCTGTCTGGTGAGCTACGCGTCAAGACAAGTCCTTCTGCATTTACTGAAAACATTTTTCTTGTATTTCCAGACACAATTGAATACACAAGCTCTGCATTGGCGCCGGTATCTTTGTCAAATGCATGTAATTGAACGATAGGATAATCAATGTCAGTGTTTTCCAGCAAGGAAACTGTGAACGAAGTTTGGTTGAAATACGGAGGATTGTCGTTTTTATCCTGAACGATAAAGACACAAGATCAGTTGGAAATATTTCATTGTTTGTATCATTGAAACACTTAGGTTACTCTCATGATATCAACTTAAATTGAAGCAGGGTTGTAAAGATAATAGCACACGAGAAAGGCTGCAAAAGTGATGAACGACAAAGGAAAAACTAAGTGAAACATCGCATTTACCTTGATTGTGATTTTGACCACTTTTGTTGTATTAAGAGACGGAGTCCCCTGATCCATCGCCATTACAACCAATGTGAATTCAGATTGTGTTTCAAAATCGAGTGGTCCCGTGTTGGTAATGTTGCCGGTTACTGTATCGATGGTGAAATTTTTCAGAGGATCGCCACCAGTAATAGAGTATTTTATTTCACCGTTTGCACCAATGTCAGCATCTGTTGCCTTAAAGATAGATAAATAATCGCACGATTATAATCGAACAGGGTACAGCTCTATCAGTTCCAAACTGTTCTTCCTAGAGGTCCATTAAGGATCATCTCTTATTGATCCAGTGTTACTACAGGAGGAAACCTAAACTAAACTAACTTTATTTGTACTGGATAGCTCTATCAGTTCTAAACTGTTCTTCCTAGAGGTCCATTAAGGATCATCTCTTATTGATCCAGTGTCACCACAACAGAAAACTTGAAAGCAAATAATAAGGTTCATCTTATTTATCATCTCACCTTAACAACGACAAAAAACCCACCACTCTTGTTTTCGTCAAGTGTGGCAGTGGTCACGCCCGGCGGATCGAATATCGGAACATTATCATTATCATCGGTGATTACAATAATCACGGATACTTCAGTAATCTTGTTTCCACCATCTTTGGCTTCAAGTCTGATGGAGTAACTTTCCTTGGATTCAAAATCTAACTCACTCGCTACAGAAATCGTTCCATTGTTTTTGTCCACGGAAAACCTTGGAAAAAAATATTCAAAAATTGAAGAATGGAACTGTAATGCTGTTATAAATTCTGAGTAATTTGCATTAAAAATAGCTTAGCATTGGTTGTATCATGTCCAGACTTGACCAAGAGATCAGAACAGTCATTTTCGGCTCTAAGGGGCTGTTTACATGAGCTCGGTTACTCGAGATTTAACGAAGCGTGAGGGGACTTTGAAGTATTGAAATAAGTCTTTATGACACCAAACAAGCACATGCTACTGTTGTGGTGATTATACGACTGCCAGGATCATGTTATCTGCTCATTTCAATACCTCAAAATCATCTCACGCTTCGTTGAATCTCGGGTAACCGGGCTCATGTAAACAGCCCCTAAGGTACTTGTTACCATTTCTACCAAGGCTAATTTAACCAAATATTTAAGATTCGTACTTCTCTGCTCCATTTCCTGACAGAGAGTAAGTTATTACTCCGAAAATTCCATCATCTTCATCGTAAGCCTAAAAGACCCGAAACAACATTAAAAACGACAACAAAAATAAAAATAGTGTTGACGGTACATCAGTCACATGAGTGAAGTGTGGTTAGAGCCAGGGAACGAGGTTACCACCGCCATAAACATTTAGTGTCGCCAACTTCAATCTCCTGAAGCCTTCCTTCATACGCCAACCTACCCTAATCCTTCCAAGTTCAGCGCCAATCTTTGCACCTTCTGCCACCGTTAAGTTGTACTGACTTTCATTAAACTTTGGGTCATAATCATTGATGTTGGTGATGTTTACGATAATCGTTTGATTGGCTGAAAATTTCTCAACAGAGTCAGTCTCGGACGCAATTACCTGGAAACAAAAATTGAATGCAAATTCGATTAAGACGTGAATATTAATATCCAAGTTTTAAACAATGTGAATTCGTGATTTGTGTTTAGGTATTTTCCATCAGGACGATTTCGACCTTTGTTTTTAATGCTTACCATGAACGTATATTGTTGCTTCATCTCAAAATCAACTGTTTTATTTAGTTCAATACGACCAATCCTTGGATCGATGCGAAACACATGGTCTGTGTCACCCGATAAAGAGTATTGAAATTTAGCATTCTTAGCCTAAAGACAAATAATATATATTGACCACATTATATACTCATCTGAAACCTGATGGTGAATATAACAGCATAATATGTCAAATTTGTCCCATCAGAATGTAGGATTTGTTACATTCACTTGAGCAAAAATACTAAAAATATTTATTCTGGATATCTTAGGTTATTTTAAAACTGTCAATCCAAGCAGGAAACATTCCTTGATTATCAAGACTCACAAAAAGACCCCACCTCTCTATCTTTATCCTCAGCACCCATTTGAAAGAATATCGTCGTTCCCTTGGGCGTGTCCTCCGGGATGCTGGCTGTGTATGTAAAACCCTCAGTCCGAAATTCTGGTTTGTTGTCATTGAGATCCTGGATTGTGATAAATACTGTCGTGTTCCCTGTCGCATTTCCTGGGATTTCTGTCGCCTAAATTCGAAGAAGAGAAAAGCTTCAACCACAAAATACTTCCCCAATTAGAAGATAAATAGCCTTGCATATTCGCCTTTCTATAGAGAGCAATGCAATGCATCATCACCTCAACCGTCAGTTCAAAGAAATCGATTCCAATGTCTCTGTCGATGATGGAATCGACGTATATTGTTCCAGTAGAATTACCAATCTTGAAATAATGACTGTTGTCACCTGTACGTCAGAAAGTGATTGGTTAGAAATGATTAAGGAAAAGAGATGCAATACACTTCGTCTCATGATATTTAAATGTTTCAAGAGATTGGTATAACTTCACCTTGAACAATTGCATATTTGACAGGTTTATCAATGCCACGATCTCCATCAAAAGCTGTGGTTTTTATGACTTCTGTTCCCTGAAAGATGGTAGCAAAATATCCAGATCAAGATTAGTGAAATATGAGAAATAGCAAGCATGGGTTTTAATTGTATCGATGTATGTGCAACTTGTCATTTGCTGTTCAAAAACAATCGCCATTAGTTGCAGCAGCAGATGATGTTAGACTCTGATTTTAACAGTTCGGTAGCTAGCTTGTTGTCACTCAAACTAAATGAAGAAAACCTCGTTACTCACAACTGCTTCATTTTCATCAATGTCTTTTCGATACGATGATTTTTCAAATTCAGGAGGCTGATCACTTTCATCTTCGACTTTGACAACCAAAGTTGTGGTTGAGTTTAAAGACACGAGCTTTCCATTATCCTGAAATATGAAAGAAATAATAAAAAACAAATTCAAATAGTTTAAAACTATACTGTTTTTAAATCGATGTTCATCGTTATTACCTTCGCTAAAATGTCAAGATTATAACGATTTCTTTTCTCATAATCCAACGTTCTATTTGTCTTTAGTTTTACTTCTCCACTCAGAGCATCGATTTCAAATGGCTGAGAGGAAAGATAATCAATTCATTTTATGTCCTGCATGAACTTTTTACGTTCAATGGTTCGCCGGGCCGCCGGCCATATCTGAGATCTTTTCCAGGCAGTCAAGACTCAAGGCGCAAACCAAAGTCAAGAAACAAAGGTAACATAAGTACCTCGCAATCAGTTTTTTCACATTCCTCAGTAAAATAATAGTTAACGTATCCATTAATTGAAGTGTCGGCATCGTCTGCTTCAACTTTCCATAAATTATCACTTGCGGTGTTCTGGAAGTTTTAAAAGATTTTCATATAAAACTATGTAGCTATATCAGATGAAATTTATAAACTAAACTGTAATCGTATACTGGATAGCTTTATCAGTTCTAAACTGTTCTTCCTAGAGGTCCAGTAAGAATCATCATCATCTCTTATTGATCCATCGTTACTACGGGAGAAAACGTAAACTAAACTAACTTTATTCATACTGAATTTAGTTCTACATATCAGTGGTCTGTATTATTTTTTAAGGAAAAGTAATCTAAACGAATTAGGTATATTTAAATGGAATCCGTCCTACCTCCTTGATACTGGTGATGTATGGTGTTTTTAGAAAGACGGGACTGTTGTCATTCACGTCACGAACAGACAAACTCATGTGTCTTTTAGACTGCATATATTAAAGCAAAAATGCGCTTGAGAAATCAGTTAAATTTTACAGAACAATTTTACAGTTGAAAACCTCGGCTAGGTCGAAAACCTAACTTGGTTTAACTCCTATAATGGTTTATGTACATATATTTTACAAACCTCTCTCCCAGAATCTGCAAAATAATCTTTAACACTCAACTTAAAAACATAGCTGTCCCGCGCCTAAAAATCAAAGGCCAGTTCAAGTTTGAAAATGTCGGTTAAACAGTTCTAAACGTCTTCTTGAGAGGCTCATGCAGTAGGGATGTATTCCTTATCCTCGTTTGAACTAAAGGTGGTGAACTTACATATACTCAGATCAAAAACTGTGCAATACAAACCTCTCTGTCCAATTCTTTTTTTAACAGTAAATATCGCGTGAGGGGACTGAGCCCAGTGTCATTTTTATTACCATATTGATCGACAATGATAAATAAATCTTGGCCAACTCCATCTAAAAGCATTGTCACCTTCTGACCCTCGTGGTCCACCGCAGTGAGATTGGCAACAAGAGTTCCTAGACATTACAAATGATGATGTGAGTTAGAGCTAGTGAAATCAGCTGACGTTTATTCCAAGAACTATAAATAATCATGCATACCTGCTTTTGCATTTTCGTCAACTGTAAACCCATGAGGAAGGTCTTGAAAACGTGGTATTTGATTTACTTGCCCTTTTGAAATAAAGATGGAAAATATGAACTAAATATCATACAGCGCTCAGGAGGATTATCAAAATAGAATTTCATTTTTCAATGCTTTATCGATTATGTATCTATTGTTATTCATTATGAAACTCGTGAAAAAAAATTTCATAGTTCTACAAATTAACTACATGATTCTCACATAAATTTGAAGCTTATATTTTAAGAGATATCAAGCTGTTTCAACGGAGAAATTGTTTTCTATTTGGCAACTATATACTGAGTATAATTAAAGCCGGAGTCCTTTTTTGTTCTTTCAGACCAACTGGGTTGGTTGTTGAAAGGATTCAGGCCGTCTTTAGTGCTTGTGGTCAAATCAAAATAGCAAAATGATTTGGGTTACTTGTGGAAGCATATATAGCTGTACAGCCTGTACATAAACAGCAGAATTTCAGACAGAGTTTCTCCGACAATTTTTTTACACATATATATAGTCATATTATCAATCAAAATCATATTTAGTGTCGGGAAAGCGTGTACGTTTTCATCTTGCATACAATTTGATTTCAAGAAGGCTACGAATCAAAGCAATACACCTCAAAACAAAATGTTACAGGATCCTAGTGTCGCCGGAAATATAAGTGCATCAGTCAAATTTATTGAGGTGGAATTTCGTTGCCTTTCACATGCAAGATCCAATTTTGTGGGATCTAGTTCACTGCTTCGTGATATGGAACCTATTCTTTCATTGATAAAGCATACAGTTCTGCATTGGCTTTAGTTCTTCGCTTCCCATATACATTGCAAGTCCAAAAACTTTAAAACATCCATCAGAAGTGAATTGAACCTCAACCTCTGGCCTAACCGTGACCGAATTGTTGTTCAGTCACTGCAGCACTATTGATATTTATTACACGACTATATTATATCCACTATAGACACATTTCTTTCAGATAAATTTGTCTCAGATAGGTTTTAGCAAATGTAGTTAATATTTTCGTTAAGCTGAATACTTTGCGTTTGTCAAAGGTTGGGTTGACTTGAGTAATATCAACGAACAGGTTGACTTGAGTAATATCGACGAAAAACCGTCTTGAAGAACGCGAAATCAGTGAAAAGACATGCATGCAGCAAAGTTTAAGCATGTATGCAAATACCATCCAGGTTAATTATTCGTTTCATTGGATTCGCTCCGAAATAATCGTAATAGGACTACAAACACAAGCTTATATCACGAGCAGATTATGGCCAGGAAGGTCTAGTCTCTTCGTTTTAAAGTTTAAGACCTTGTTATAGGACTTTAATACTGTTTTTCTTCTTCATTTGAAATGGTTATACGTGTGAAATTGTTAGCTGTTAGCAGCGAAAATATGAATGCATATATTAGTTCTTTGTTTGTCTTATTAATCGTCTATTACGAAGCAACAACTTCCCCAATATATAGACCGGCAATGAATATAGCTACTCATTTATGTTTGAAAATCAATGTTAAACAATCCGGCAGCAATAAAAGGTGAAGGTTTTTCACTTAAAATTACGCTCCACTTCAGTTGAAGCTAAATATCTCTGTTGCTAAGACTGAAGCGGACGTGATGTCTAATGATGAATACTAAGTTTGCAATGTGGACAAATAGCTATAAGACACCTTAGTTGCCTTGACGTAGCCGATATAATTTGCAACATTTCACTTGATGAAGATTTGAAGATCTTCATTATATAGCTACTGGTAAACATACCTGTGGTAAATTGAAACAACGATATTAGAGGAAGGACAAGCATCGCAGTTGATCCAGCCATCTTTCGATAACTTTCACTTAAAATGATAGCCGCGTCAACAGACAAGTGAAAGTTCTGTACAAGTGTACTTGAACACGTTGAATTCAATAAATTTTCTGTACCAAAGATCTCTCTACAAAATAGATTCAGTCGCCATTCTTACGTTATGTTGTCAGAGACAATAATAAGTGTGGTTTTGGAAAGTTATTATCGTAAAATTTATTCATTATCCCACAATAGCATGCAAGCCCTGTTGTCAAAATAATGCAGGTATACTAACCTCAATTTCGCTCAAGTATTCAACATAAATGAGACGTCAGTAAAATATGGCTTGTACAGTATTTCACTTACCAGAAAGACAACAAGTTCTTCGGGAAAAACAAAGGCTTATATATTCCCCAATAAATTTCCACCGCTTGTTCAAGTCGAATTGAAAAGCTCAGCGGGAATTCTTTTCAAAAATACTTTCATGCATATATAATTGAATATTATTAGTTTCCAGCACACAGTTGTTGCAAGACAGAACTGTGGTTTCAGCACGAATTGAGCTGACGAAGAAATGCTGTAAGACAAGCGTTGAAAGACCGAAGGTTGTTTGATCAAGCTTATGGATCATTTATCTTCTTGCTTTCAAAAAAATGTCGATTATTGAGTTTAGGGTATTAATTTGACAGCAATGTCTGAATAGTTTGGAGGGACCCCATGGGAAAAGGACTGAAATTTTGTTGTAAAAATTGTCAATATTCTTCTTGGTAAAACAAAATAACAAAATATCCAATCGAAGTAAGATAATATCGTTCTTTAAATATTATTTTGCCAAATACGAAAACAATACTAAATTGGTGTGAATAATTTTTGAATAATGTAGATGCATGCCTTTGAGGAAATGAGCTCAGACTGTGAAAACAAATAATACAAAAATTCAAAAGTACCACAAACAAAAGTAACAAATAATTCATCAGAAACACAGCAAATGTTTTAAGTAAAAATTACTGCAAAGAACAAGCTCTATTGTTGCTTAAATACAGTACGTGGCCATATCTACTTTATCAAATAATAACGCGAAAGTTTAGATAAGAATTATCGCGCTTAATATAGCTCATGTCTGTCAATTTTATTTTTAAAACAATACATTTTTGTTGCCTGCAACAACGAGTTTGAACAAGCACAAGTTTAATTGTTTTTCGTATAAAAAAGTATTCACCGATTACAAATGTTTTTTTCAACCTAAAGATCTCCGTGCTGACAGGTGACATGCACAAAATTAATTATCATTTCAGTGAAATTCTCTCTGACAGAAGTGACTTGTTTAGCTAGACGATTTTGCGATTACATTCATTTCCATATAGCTGAAGAGAACCTCACTATTATTCACATCAACATGTGTTTCTGGACTTCCTATCGCAGAGTACTTATAATCAGGTATCCTAGCAACACGTAATCTGACGCGTACCCCACGGGTTTACCGCGGCAACCCTCCCACGCGGACAGCTGGAAGCTGGGAAAGACGCGCGACTTTTCAAAAGACTGGTATGGACTTCATGAGCTGACTGAGTAATCAATGAGCTGACGAAAGCGCGGTCCTGGAGCCTAATCATATATTATAAATGTGTTTTTGAAATAAACATTACAGCACACGACTCACATCAGCTTCCTGCCAAGGGCACCCGAAACCACCTGTTATTATGCACGAAATTCTAACACACACTCATATATATTGCACTGTCGTAAGCATCGTCAAAATAGCTTTTTAAACGTTCAGACATTTTTGACTGAAAACCTTGTCTTTTAGGGATAGGATTTGATAAAAATTGTGAATCGAAGGTGAAGCAATTACTGACTATAGTTTGGGTATATTTGAAAAAGACGTAGCGCTGGAAATCTGCAATTGAAGAAAGTTGTACAGTAAACACAACAGAAGCTCTGCTGTTTAAGAAGGTAGTTATATCGACATCTTGACTTTGGTTGGCGTGGGTTTTTGCATAGATTATGTCATGCTTGTAGAGTATGGTGACAATGTAAACTACGATTCAGTTCTGTCTTAAGGAAAAACACAAGTTCTGTCAAGTGTTGCGTATTCCCATACTGCTCAGAATATATATAGGTAAATAAATAAATTAATTAAATAATTAATTAATAAAATAGCGGCAAGAGCGTAATCATTTCATGCTCAGTAAATCCTAAATAACACGAATTTTGATTAGGATTGACGTGATCAGGATTAGGTTTCAGATTAGGCTCATAGATAAACTGAAGATAAAAGACTTTTCACCCAAATGGACCTTCTTTTTCAGTCCCATTCTAACTAATTCTTTAGACTAAATCATTTTAGACAATCTTTCAAAAGGAATCTGACGCAATGGCAGTGGAAGTCAAAACGGCTCATTTTTGGCGCGGTAGTTTTGGCGAGTTTCTCGGCACACTAATTTTCGTCTTTGTTTCCTGTGGGGCAACGCTGCCGGTAGGTGGCGCTCTCCCGGTCGGGGATCAAGCCTGGACATTCGGTCTCGCGATGGCGAGCGTCATACAGTGTGTGGGGTATTCTAGCGGAGGGCACATAAACCCGGCTGTGACCGGGGCGTTTGTGTTTACTGGAAAAATCACGTGGTTAAGGGCGTTGGCTTACGTCATAGCCCAAATTTCAGGAGGTGGGGAAAATGTGCAAATGGTTACATTGTAGCAATAGCATTCGATAGCATTGTAAAAAGAATAGAATTCATACCATCATTCCTTTTGACCAATCCTCTCCAGGTATCGCAGGCGCAGCTATCTTGTACGCGGTCACACCTGAAAACATGAGAGGGAAGCTGGGAGCGAACGATCTTCACGGTGACGTAACAGCTGGTCAAGCTGTAGGTGTGGAAGCACTGTTGTCGTTTTTGGTAGTTCTCACTGTATGTTCAGTGACGGATACGGATCGAAAGATGAATGATTACGGATTAGGGCCGTTGGTGGTCGGTTTCGCTTACAGCGCGGCGCACTTCATGGGGGTGAGTTGATGAGCTGGATCATTAGCGAAGATCATCTCTTATTGATCCAGTGTTACTACAGGAGGAAACCTAAACTAACTAACTTTATTTATACTGGATAGCTCTATCTTAAAAAGCTGACAAATATCAATACCTTTTATTTTAGATTCGCTATACGGGATGTTCTGTGAATCCAGCTCGTTCCTTTGGTCCTGCAGTAATCATGAACGAATTTGATCATCAATGGGTAATATTCCGCAACTCTTTCAATATTTTTCACTGTGTTTAGTTGCACTGTTGAGACTGAGGTTAAAATATTTTTAGAAATCAAGCCTTGTTCAAAGTCGATCATAGATATAAAATGAACATGCGCTATATATTGATCTAGATATACTGGACTGGACCGATGCTAGCAGGGATTATAGCTGGTCTCGTTTACGAAACCTTACTTCGAACCAGTGTCGACGCACGTGCGTACCAGCTTTCGCCACGTGTCTGCAACCTCAACTGCTGCAATGTAGCAAACCGGAGTAATGTCAAGGAGGAAGCAATCGCCGGGGGGAACTACCCGACCGGGGGGTTTAGCGCAAGCAAGTACGTGAAACGAGATAACGAATTTGATGACATTCTCAATTTCAGTAACACTGCAAGCTCAGGCGGAGGAATGTACAAAATTTAATGGACTGAAATGAAAAACTGTAAACAAGGACAAATTCAATGGCCTGAGATTCAGACGGAAGATAATCTGAACAAGTGTACCAGCCTGTTCTTTAAAGGGGGGTTACATAGAGCGAGTCGCCAAAAGATTATTTAAACCAACATGTACAGATAATCCAACCGTTCATAGTAGAGTTCGCTGACTGTTTATAGGACACAGGCCCCTATAATGTACGCTGGTACTCCGCGCAATATGCTAATGAAAAAAATGGGGGGTTATAATTTAAAACAGTTTATTAAAGTTAATGTTCCTGGTATTGACTAGTTTTAATTAGTGCACAGGTTTAAATTATATTCCATTAACTGAAATTTTTATACTAATTACAACTCGAGAAAATTTACAGTATCATTTTTACTCCGATAAAATGCCTCGAAAACCTAAATTATAATTTAAATTTTGTACAACATCTCCTTCGATAGAGCCACTGTTACCAGACACAAATTGCAACGTAATTTTCAGCGGAGAATTTGAGCCAAGTTTATGCTGAAGATCTTCGACTCTGTTCTGAATTGCCGTAATTGCCTAATGCCGTAATTTTTACGATGCTTTTTGATATGCAGTGATCCTTGGCAACACAACTCTCTGCCCTAAATTTCGTTGCAAGACGCGCTTTAATAGAATTTACTGGAGCATTGGACCAACTGTTCATATTTTCAAAAGTACAACAGAGTTAAAAATTTAGAAATCTCGGTCCTAGCAGGATCAAAATTTTTTTACAGACTGAAGTTTAATTTCATAGCATTATATCTCCTATAGTTTCGTCTTGAAATGGCCTGTTTTTTGTTCAGATTAATAACCTTCAATTTTACAATTGAGACAGATTTCAGCAAGGATACATCTACCACAAAGTTGGGTGTATTACTCTTCTTTTCTTTGGCTAAATTCGCCTGGTTATGATTGTCTAGAAAAATAGTAAAAAATCATAATTTGTTAGTTTTATCAGCTCTTGCTTACAAGATCCAGGGTTACTACAGAAGGAAACCTAAACTAAACTAACTTTATTTATACTGGATAGCTCTATCAGTTCTAAACTGTTCTTCCTAGAGGTGCAGTAAGGATCATCTCTTATTGATCCAGTGTTACTACAGAAGGAAACCTAAACTAAACTAACCAGACTATAATTATATGCTGTTAATGTATGACTACAAAATGTGAATGCATGACTTACATGTGAGATTATATGCTACTGTGTGACTTACAATGGTTCCATACGCAGTTTGGATGATTTTGATGGTGGCTCGTATGCAGAATGGGAGTCAAAACCACCAATAAAATCAACTAAAATAAATAAAAAGAATTTCACTTATTCAGTGAATTAAAATGACCTGAAGCTAAGATAAACGAGCAATCATTTTCAATGCAGAATCATATTTATCTGTAGAAAATTCAATTTAATTGCTCATTATTATCACTTACATCTGTCATCCTCTTCATGCAGGTTTTTTGCCAGGAAGAAGGCTAATGGAAATGCTAAAATCTGTTATAAAAAATAAATCACAGACATTAGTGATGTTGCTTAGCTCAAAAAATAACAAACAGACATAATAAACAGCAAATCAGACAGCAAAAAGACTTATACACTTACTGATAACATGCACTGGATGCCAGCTTGAATTGTCTCCACATACTACAGGAAAAAAGTACCAAAAATTGTCGACTACAAAAGTACATCTTATTTTGATACAAATTAAACAAATATACTGTAGATGACTACCTCAAACTGAAGAACACACCCTGATGTGACCGGCATTTTCTTTGCCCCATTCATAGTTTGATTGACATGACGTGTGCTACAACCAATGCCATTCTCCTTAAACCAACTGATATGCTCGGTTTTAAAGCTCAACCAATCATCCATCTACAAAAATAAAAGATTAACATCATATTTTCCACACATGCTAATCTCTTAATCTTGAACTCTAATCCTCCACACATTAATCCTAAGAAGACCTAGGCAAAAGATTCAATTACTCACATATGTTACCACTCCAATCTCTAAGTACAAGGAGATGACAAAAAGATTTAACCCAAGCCAAACTAGACACCAGACACCATACTACAAAATACGAACAATAAAACTCTGCTTCACCTACACTGCAATCTGTTTTGCTTTCAAAACAAATACAAAATGTAAAATTACTTCTTGACATGTGTATTTTTCTATCATTCTACCATTAATACACTGTTAGGGTTGGAGAACGCACGCAAGTAAATCTTAGGACAATAAACCACGTTTTCTCTGGATAAATTCTTGTTCTCTCCCGAATTACAACAGTCTAATAAACTATTCATTATTCCAACCGTGCACAGATATTTTTTAAATACCAATTCGAAGGAAGCAAGTTGTTTAGATAAGGAATCATAGGAGATAACCTTTAGCTCAAATACCCGTATATATTATCAACGATTATCTGGTATAAAAGGTATGTCTTTTGTCAACAAAGCCTAAATTTGATGATAGCCAGACTGCTATCAATTATACATTCAAAAATGAAATCCGAACAAAGACTTACTCAAGACAGCTGAAAACTGCGATAAAAACCTGCTTTGTCTGGTAAAACCGTTTGTATTTTGAAGTACGAACAAGGCGAAATGTAACGGGAAAAACAGCCGCGAACAATTAAAGGTTCCAGCCCCTATGTCAATATTAAAAGCATTCCAAAATTTGACATTCATCCATTTTCAACTGCAAAATTAGGCGAACATGCAAGCTTCAAATTCTCCCCAAATTAAGACCTAATGGCTTCCCGGTTGCATACGAAAACTTCTGCCGTTTAAATCTCTGTAGGAAATCCATACAACACAGCTAGGGAGATTTTGACAGGATAAAAATAAAGCTGTGTATTTATATCTTCATTACCCACCGTAACAACATACTTCGATCTGTACTGATGGACGCCGAACAACCCGATCACAACAAAACATAGATGCATAAAATTTCCTAAAATCGGCGCCCACATAAATCCGAGAAAATCGAAGATCTGTCTTTCGATAGTTGCAATCTAAAACGGTTAAAAATACTTATAGAAAACGGCAAAGTTTTAAATAATATTCTGTATGCATACAGCGACGATTTATTAATCCTCAACGGATTGTTTTCATTTTCTCCATAAATAAACTATTAGTGCCTTGGTACCGGGTGAAGTTTTTAGGCAAAAACATCTAAAGTGCACACGCGATCGCGCAAGTAAATAAAATTTATAGAAATTTCGAAACGTTTTTCGAACATGATTTTAATAAAATTCAAGCGACATTCGACTGAGCAAAACAATAGCATTATATTGGATTACTTACCAATTGCAATATCTGTAGCACGCCTATGGCCTTTCTCACCGAGCAACAACCCATATTTGTAGCGATTTCGTTCACATAGGTAGAAAAAGGGGGGAAAACGAAGTTTTATGAACTAAACATTCGTCAAACAACTTGATACATCCAAAATACATAAAATTAGAAATTATTCTCGGATGCCATATTAGGTAACACACTCCTTATATGGGTAATGACCGGAAGCAGAGGTGAGCGCGCGCGGAAAGGGCATGTCGATGGCAACTCTTCAAATCTCGTTGCCAAAAGTACAACTTTGATTACTTTTCAAGACGTTTCTGAGTGCTTTAACCTTAATTTATAAAGCATCAATACGTAGAATGCATTATTAAATATAATTATGGCTAATCGAGGGTATCAACTTAGGTAATTAAACGATTACAAATAAAAGCGCGCGCATTGCGCTAAAAGGGTGATAAATCTGCGAAGGACGAAGTAGCGCCCACTACCGGATTTGGGAGCGTTTTATTCGAGCCCGGTTTTGGGCATGAACGCGGATATTATTCTGTGAGATTTGGATCAAACTAAAAAGGGTACTTTTCAAAGCGTTTTGCCGAGAGACAAAACAGTTCTTTCAAGACGACGGGTCAGTGAAGTTCATCTTTGATTGGACGAACTAACAAGGAACGAGACACCTAAGCTGACTTAGCTTGATTCATTACCTCTAAACTGTTCTTCCTAGAGGTCCAGCAAGGATGACCTCTTTCTAGAGGTCCAGCAAGGATAATCTCTTATTGATCCAGTGTTACTACAGGACAAAATGCCTAAACTAAACTAACTTTGTTGAGTTTGTTCAAACTCAATAGATCAATCAGTTTGTTTCTGCTATAGAGGTCCAACAGTAAACATTTCGTATTCAGATCAGGGCCTGCCCAAACAGGAAACCTATACTGCAAAGTTATATCTGCATACATCACTTTGTCTGATTGTCCGAACACCCACGAGAAATCCGCACATACCAAATGGTTGCGCGAAAAGTCCCTTTTATTTTAAACTACTTAACCGACAAGTTGTTCTGTCCTATAATTATAAATAGTCCAACAGCTTAAACGTATGTCACCGCAAAATCGTCTCAACGGATGCAATTCAAAAACGATTTATCGTTTTCAGGATGATACAGTTTTGTGAACGCAACTCTCGTCAGTAATGCCCATTTTTGTGCATCTCTCAGTTTGGAGAGAGTCTCTTGAAAATACCAAGAGAAATCCTTCGATGTTTCTAGCGCTGACTTTCATACCAGGCTGAAACGACAACAAAGATTTCTTCGACGTCTTTGTCTGATTCTGAACTACCACGCTTCATTGTTGTCGGCCATAAAAGGGAACTATCGCTGAATACAGCGTTATCTGATTAGCACAAAGATGAAATGCTACTAGAAGGTCAATGAACTGGATCAGACATTCAGACTTTTGCTAACATTCCCTCATAAGGTCTAGATGTTTCTAGGCAAACGGTTTCCTCTAGTCTAGATTCCATACAGCACTCGTCTTTCACTGCCTGTCTTGTAATTCACGAAGTCCTCAAAACTGTTTTTTATTCAAAAGAGTGAACTAACCACTTCTAGACATTCATATTATCATATACGATTACCATTGTCATGTGCACTGGTGAGCAAACCTAAATATTCCCAGACCAGCAGAACTCAGAAGTGTTTATACTCAAAGTTTTAGAGCCCTTAAATAAATACTAAAAGATAAGATTTAAATAATCTTTGATGATAAATACAATATCCCTGACGTATAAAAAAAAACATGAAACGTATCAGGTTACAGCGAAGTTGGCCACTAATTATCATAGCACGCGATGTTTGTGACAAATAGGGACGTTTAAAAGGCAAATGCATGATATGAAACATGCGCTGATATGAAAAGATGACCAAAAAGACAGCATTTAAACAGAATATTTGTGGTCGGAAATCTCATAAAAAGCACAGCAACGTCCTTTTGAAACACGAGTGTGCTTTGTGCGGTAAACTGCCACCATGTGTGGTGTTAAAGTTTTGTGTCAACAGACGTTATTCTCGTCAATTCCTTCCACACCGCGCATGCTCCCCATCGAGCATGCCTGAAATGATCCTCCCCTGGTGAAAATTAAACCTGTAATTTATATTGTATTAAATATTAAATATAAAGTTATTAGTACCCGACTGCCGGTGTGCCACCTTCGCAAAATAATCCTATCAGTGCCCCCCCTGCTCACCAGCATCTTTCTAATGATTCTTTGACTCGCCAGGGGGGTGTTATTCTCTCCATGCGAGTATTGAGTATTTCTCAGCACTCATAGAGCGACGGTTACAACAATTGCAAAAGTAATGACCAGAACAAGTACGAACAACAAAGCAACCATTCTTTTGAAATGACTATATCGTTCAATATCATTCAATTCGCCAGCTGATTTCCAAACCTCGTATAAAATCCCGCCCAATGCGCCGCCCAAGATTGGCGCTGTCCAGTATACCTAAATAGATCAGAAATAACTTAGCATCAAATGTGGTATAGCAACTGCCTAGGCTAGAATAGACAAAACACTTCCTGACGATGGCCCTCAGGTCGAAACGTCCCGAAGTGTTTTTGTCTATTCTAGGCAGTTGGCAGTATAACGACCACATTTGATGCTAAGTTGTTTGAAGACGCTGCCACGCTGCTCCCTGGTTATATTGGAACAGATCAGAAATGAGATCAATAATATTACCTCGCGGTTTTGCCTCAATAAACATTTGCCTGAATAAACACCTTCACTCAAAATAAATTGACACCTTTAGTCCAACGCATGAAAAACAATGAAAAATCAGTTGGTGTCAGTTGTGTTCGACGATATTTTGGTAGCCGGGAGCATCTGAAGGGTTTTTGTCACAATTTACACTCTTCCTACGTGTGCCTGACGCAGTGGAATAAGCTCTGATTAGACCATTAAACGCGTGCATAACTGCGGATATCGTAAATCGGAAAAAAACTCAGGAAGAAAAGAACACGAACCGCAATTAGCTAAACGCCAAACGCATGGTAATCTCACAAGCAATTTGTCGGGTTTTTTTGCGAAAACAACATATTTTAAGATGTTGATAGGCTCTTTTAAAAAAAACAACGATACAGAGTTGTCACAAATCACATATATTACCCAATGATCCACACGGTCGTAGTTGGCCCAATGATTTCTCAGAATAGCCTGTCCTAACAGGAACGATGGATTGAGGCCCCCACCAGTGTATGGAAACTGAAAATTATTAATTTTTTATAAGTGGTTAGTTCGCACATAGTTTATGGGTTTCCTTCTGTAGTAACACTCGATCAATAAGAGATGATTCTTCCTGGACCTCTAGGAAGAACAGTTTAGAACTGATAGAGCTATCCAGTATAAATAAAGTTAGTTTAGTTTAGGTTTCCTCCTGTAGTAACACTGGATCAATAAGAGATGATCCTTACTGGACCTCTAGGAAAAACAGTTTAGAACTGATAGAGCTATCCAGTATAAATAAAGTTAGTTTAGTTTAGGTTTCCTCCTGTAGTAACACTGGATCAATAGAATCATGAAATACGTACATCAATCAGGACACAAAGAGTGTATACGCTTCCAATCTTCCAAGAGCTTCCATCGTTTCTTCCACAACATTCTGCACATCGTGAAAAAAGGACGTGAAACAAGGCAAATATGAACAAAACTGCCAACAGAAATTCGATCACAAAGCCTTGTATGAGTTCAATATCGTTTTCAAATATTTCCGACTTGTTGTTTGTTTCATCACGACTTGACTTTGGAGTAACGAGGCGATAAAAGGCCGCTCCAGTGACTCCTGAAGACAGATGAAGATAGATTCAGTTTTTCCCACTTTGAGATGTTGGATTTTCTCCCGATATAATTATCCCTGGCAATTTAATTTGTGGTTGATATTGGGCTGCCGCAATTATTAATTAGTAACGGAATACGGTGTCACTATCCCCGGATGAAAAACGCGGTTAAACAATCAAGCCATAACTGTGCGATGTACAATATATTCTAATCAATCCTTTAGGGCCCTAAAGCTTTGAAATTTGCTTTCCTGAATAAGTTTGGATTTATAAATCAGAGAGAGCGATTGATGCTGAGATATTTTTATTCGTATCGGCCTTACCGTCGAGGAATATAGACAAGTCTGAAGTGCGGCCTTTTTGAGAAGTTATCTTTTAATGAAATATATTAGTCTTTCAGCCCGCAGATAACTGTCAGAAATAGTTAAGCAGTCGTGGAGATCTATACATAAATGAGAACTTGACAAAGATAGGCTATACGTTGTGATAAAATTCGCGGGCCTTAACCTTTTCTTTGAACTTTGCATTCGCACAACTAGGTCCGGCAGTCTTAAAAAGTCTAAGTATAGAAATAGTTAAATTTTAGTACAATTAGAACTGCATATATATTTCTAAGTCTAAGAGACCGAAAATTTGCATATATAAAATTACATTTCTCTTGCATCCTTTCTACAGGAGAGTTAAGTCCAGTTTCAAAGAAATAAATCCAATAATTACCTCCAAGAATTTGAGCGGGAATGAAGAAGACAAAACGAAGTCTGTCCAGTCGTTGTGTAAGATACAAGGCGATTGTCACCACTGGATTTGCACAAGCCTTAGTAATTTCCAAACTGCATTCACAAACCACGGCTAGAATGAGGCCAGAAAGAACTGCGATGAAAAGAACTGACGATTCCGTGTGATTTGGCCAAAGCGTCGTTGCGACACAAGAACAAAACACAAAGTAGAAACTGCTCGCAAACTCTGCAATGGTGCTGCCCAAAACACCGGTCCCGTAACGCGACAAATCCATATTTACAACCGTGTATCGCTTTAGCTTATATTTACATAAGTTTCGAGACAGGAATTACATAACCATAGCTTCTATATGAGAGTCGCCTTTCCTTTTAAACGCGTGGTACAAAAATCGTTGCTTTATAGTTTTATCGCCAGTCAAACCCCAGGAACACAGGATTGCTAATGGTTTTAGCAAAGATCGCGTATAAGTTAAAACCCAATATATCTCTAATCAGGCATTATTACAAATTTTAATGCCACCTTATAAAGCCAGCTTTTTGCCGTTAGTTAGACGGATTATATAACTAGGCCTCTCCGCTTCACAAATCACAGCCTCTTCAATACTTGTCAAACTCTCGTACACAAAACGTCTCTTCAACTTTTTTTAAACCGACTTTAGTGGCGGTCGGATTGTCTCAATCACGTCTTAATTAGCCGAGGGAAATACGTCTATAGATCTGAAATTCAAATTATTTTTTGAGACTTTTAAAATATTCATAAGATTTAATCGAAATATAAAAGCAATTCAATTTGTGCTAACAGCGAGAGGTGATTACATATTTTGCGGGTTGGAAACTGTCGTAGGTTATTCTCGAACATTGTCAAAATTTCACAAGCATGCAGAGAAAGATTTATGGCGTATATTGCAGATAGCTGTAATATGCTCCATACAAAGTAAACTAATTTAGCTTCGTTTCAAAGCATAACAATATAGTTAATCCTGGATTACGACCTAGACTTTCTGAAAATGTAAAATGTAAACCGTGCATAAATGCCAGGGGATTATATTACGTTCTGTGGCTTAATTCTGAAATTAAAAATAGTCGATCGAGTTAACCGAACAGTAATTCGTTTAAAGAAGTTTAGAATTGATATTCATAGCTACATCGAATAATAAAAGTTAGTTTAGTTTAGGTTTCCTCCTGTACTGGATCAATAAGAGATGATCCTTATACTGGACCTCTAGGAAGAACAGTTTAGAACTGATAAAGCTATCCAGTATAAATAAAGTTAGTTTAGTTTAGGTTTCCTCCTGTAGTAACACTGGATCAATAAGAGATGATCCTTACTGGACCTCTAGGAAGAACAGTTTAGAACTGATAGAGCTATTCAGTATAAATAAAGTTAGTTTAGTTTAGGTTTCCTCCTGTAGTAACACTGGATCAATAAGAGATGATCCTTACTGGATCTCTAGGAAGAACAGTTTAGAACTGATAGAGCTATCCAGTATAAATAAAGTTAGTTTAGTTTAGGTTTCCTCCTGTAGTAACACTGGATCAATAAGAGATGATCCTTACTGGATCTCTAGGAAGAACAGTTTAGAACTGATAGAGCTATCCAGTATAAATAAAGTTAGTTTAGTTTAGGTTTCCTCCTGTAGTAACACTCGATCAATAAGAGATGATCCTTACTGGACCTCCTAGGAGTTTAGAAATTAGAACTGATAGAGCTATCCAGCAAATGGTAGTCCTACTTCATTAATTTATAGTCTTTACTAGCCTCCAAAAGGAACAGTTCATCACTTTACCAGTAGTCCAAAGTTGAGTATAGTATTTTCACTCAAAATATACACGCATAGTCATGTTTTTAAACGATGTATAATATCATGAAATAACTACGTATAATTCAGCAAAATATTGATTCAATAAGTTGAATTAATTTTCATTTAAATAAGCGTTTAATAAATAAATAAATATACTTTATGGTGAATTTCTTGAATGAAGATCTGCTTTACTTCTTTACCTGTTTCATGGTCTCATCGGAAATTGAGTTACCAGCCGAGTTGATGCCGTTGTTGGCCGATTGCGCGCTGCTGAAATCAATCGCAAAGTGTGGAGTGAAAGTCCACCCAAGAATCACAATCCTGGCATCCTAGATAAAGGAGGATGATGAAATAATAGTTTGGATCAATAAGTGATGATTCTTCCTGGAACTCTAAGTCTAGGAAAAACAACCAATGAAGCTATCTATACCTGGCAGTATAATATGAGTATAGGCATTAAAACAACTAAGTAAATCACTTACGAATTCGAATCTCTTCGTAACACCGTTCATCTCAACTTCAAATCTCACATATTGAATATCAATAATACTCAACGCTGCATTGACCAGTTGTTGAAGAATGTGGGCTCCAACCTGTTTGCAAGAATACGAACGATGTCATTCAAAATATAAGACACAGCAAGCCAAATTTAAACTGTTCATTTTGGCCTAGTTTAGACCAGCGTGCTGGCGTGCGGATTGATTGGATGGATTGAATAGAATAGAGAAATATTGTGCATGAGTAGACTGTCATGATAAAACAGCGTTACAAGCAATATTTACTATTTTTGCTAGAATCTTTGAGATAAAAGTTGCAGTACGAGATATCATGTTAGATATTCCGAGATATCATGTTAGATATTCCGAGATATCATGTTAATTTGATATTCCGAGATATCATGTTAGATATTCCGACATATCATGTTAGATATTCCGAGATATCATGTTAGATATTCCGAGATATCATGTTAGATATTCCGAGATATCATGTTAGATATTCCGAGATATCATGTTAGATATTCCGAGATATCATGTTTGATATTCCGAGATATCATGTTAGATGTATTGTTAGATATTTGCGTACCTTAATGATAGCTGACACGCCCCTTAGGAAGAGATTGGCCGCCGCCAAAACTCCCTTGGCAACGCCATAAGCAACGTACAAGGCCGCTATAACACCTCCGTGATAAACGATTCTGAAACCAGTTCCAATGCAGATATATTTCTTATACCACGGTGCTCTACTACATTCACGCTTAGCTTCCTCTATCTTTCGTTTATGGTAGCTAAAAGTAAAAAAAAAATGGTTCGGAAATTTTGAACGAGAAGTATGTGCATTCACTTTAACATGCGGTCAGTGACTCACGGCGTACGCCAAAGACCGTCATATGAAACTGGACTCACATACTTCTGGGATGCCTAGGCTAAGACTTACTTAATTGTACCCAGGAGCTTGTCGACCTCGCGACTGGCATCCGAAACCTTTCGTTGAGCGCCTTCGATTTTCCTGTTGATCTCCCGGGCGCCATTTTGGATCGCTTGAGAGGCTTTCTGTTTGATCTTAGCGAACAAATCATTTTGCATTTCTCCGATCACGTGAACACTTGGTGAGGTCTTCGTCATTGAAATGTCCACTAGGATATAAACTTGGAACAAGTTCCAAAGATTCAGTCTGCCTTCAAAGAAGAATTTCTCCTGGTTGATTTGAAGCTTCACGGAGATCATTGCCCCAAATATCTCAATCTGTAAGGAAAGAACCATTCCGTTAGCTTTTCAAATAGTAACAGTTAAACCTGTATTAAGCGACACTGGGCTAAGCGGTCACCCTTTGTTGAGCGGTCGCGTGTGACAAAGTCCTATAATTTTCGTGATAGTAAATACTCTTAAAGTGGCTCCTAGTAAATACTATAACAGTGATCCCTCCATTGGCAAATTCCACGTTGGTGACCGCTTAATGCAGGTTCGGCTGTTTTTGAGTACCTTGCAATCAACTTACCCTGCACGAACCGTCAATAAGAAGTTCAGAAAGATTTTCAGTGATGTGCATTTTCAAGTGGGCTCCTTTCCTATCATCATCAGCGTCCACGACCTTGATGAGACCGCCAAGGTAGATGATTGGATCAAGCTGCAGGTTCGCATCAAGGGAAAACGGCGTGAACTGAATACTGAGATCAATTCGTGCCCGAATACTAAGGAAAGGAATCTGGAGTGTACCGTGGATTTCAACACCTGGATCATACCTACATGAACGGTAAAATAATATGCGTATATCAAAAATAATAACACATTGTTGTCTTATCTTCTGGTTTAACTTTTGCCATTATAATATGAAAGTCCATGGAAAGATTCAGTTGGATGTACTGCGGTAAAGAAGCCAAGATAGTTTATGTTTGTTTTAATAGAAAACAAACAACGTGTCTCTTTACCTTTTGCCAAAACAATCCGGATTTCCTTGAACAGAAAAGTAAATTTTCACCTCATCTGGAAAACCAACTTCGGCTAACTTTCTTGGTAAGCTTACGGCTCTTCCCGCGAACAGGTTGATCACGTCTTCCAGTAGAAGTCGTGTAAAATGAAGTTCAAATACGGTTTTCTGTGGCGTTGCAGGATCGATGCAAAGGGTCAAGCTAACATCGATTTTTGACGCGCTTGGTATATCAACGGTGATCGCACCAGTTATGCCGAAACTTGGTAATAAGCTTGCAAGGTTTATACCCAATGCCAACCCTAAACGTCTAATCTCCAAACGCTTGCTGATTCCAAATGGATTCTTCCAGGAGCCCTCCCAAAGTAAAGATATCGTAACAGTGCCTGTGAAGGTGAACTACAAAAGAAGAAGAAGAAGAGGAGGAAGGTAATTTAACGAACTTCAACAAAACAAGTGTAATAATTTTTCAATATCAAAATGCATTGCAAAGTTTTCTAAAATATCTTAAACTGGCATGGTATAGGCACTTTAACCCACCTGAACTTGGCCTGTGAAGACAGATGGCTGCCCACCGTTTCCCAGGTCTATGGAACAACTCAGAGAGAGACCAATAAGCGCTTTACTGATGATCAATTTCATTTTCGTAAACTTCCATCCTTTGATGGCTCCAATTTGAAGACCCGTTCCTAAGTTTATCTCCAGTTCAAATATAATTTGAGGGAAAGATATCTTGACAATAATCGCAACCTCCTGGCCTGCCGAAGCTGCCATTGCTGGATCCCCTGCCACCGCTGCAAAATGCAATTTTTATCAATGGTTAGTCGATAAAAAGTTGTTATGTAGAACAGCATTTTTACAAGAGACTTTCTTTGCAATTTATAGAAGAGTGAATGCACTAGTATCACCCATCAACCAAGAAATTACCTTCTCTTAGAATATGCCCAAGCATGTCCGTTGGTTTTGGTACAAATTTAGCATAGACAGTTAATCCTTTAAACTCCGGCTCCAGTTGAATGTAACTGTTGAATACTGCATTAGTAAACTCGTACGGAGCTATCGGGATTTTTTCGCTGACATAAACCACGGCAATATCGGATAATCCCAATGAACTTAGGAAACTGATTTCCGGAATCTGATCAACCTGTACGGCGAATCCAGCAATCAGAGCGGATTTTCCACCGTTTCGGATAAACGCCAACTCAACCTAAGGATGAGAAGAGAGTCTTTGTTAGTATTTAACCAACAGTCAAGTTCAATTAAGATCAGCCAACATTGTTGTTATTTGTCGAACTTTTCCTGTGCAAAATCGAATTCAACTAATCCTAAACAAAGCTCATTGATATTACGCGCGGCACTTGAAAAGTTCGACGTCCGGTACACTTTAACATCACTGTAACATCCCCCCCCCCTCCCTGTTAAACATTATGTTGGTTAAATGACCTGACTAACGTACCTCACTTTGCGAAAAAAGGCTTGTGGTTGCCGCAAAAGCGATCGACTTTGATCCAGCCTGTTCCCCAGTTCTTTCCCATACAAAGTTCAGTTGTGGATTGAATATTGTAAAGCCAGAAATCATCGGCGGTAAAATGGACGGATTCATCTCGACCTTTTTGAGCAGATCAGCGACAGAAGCCGAGCAGTCTGTGCCTTTGACATTAACTGACACACGTTGCGTTCCAAATTCGGCTGCGACAGTTATCGTACAGCTTGCAATAACAATTTCACCGCTAACAACGAGTTGCCATATCTTTTCAGTGCCGCCGGACTTGCCATATTGAAAGTGTATTGCCACATTCCCGATCGAAAAGTTTCCAAAAATCGTCCACACCCCAGGGATACTCGCATCCACTGAGACTGTGTCCACTTCTCCGGCTTCATTGAAAGCCAAAGCAATCTTGTCCAGTTGAATGTTCTTAAAGAGGTCAGGAAAGTCGGTTGGGAATGTGAAGTCAGCTCCAGCAAGAGCTTTCACGACATTTTCAACGTTAAAATCGGAGAAGGTGAACGTGATCTCTTGATTCGCAAAAGGGAACGGTATTGTTACGTCAACTCTTGGTGAGACATCTGTCGTTGCCCCCAGGGCGACTTGTCCGGATACAACGCCAGAAAGTGACGGTTCACCTCCTTTCTCGTAGTTCAAGTCCAATTCAAGATTATTTATGCGAATTTTATTGTCAAACAAAGAGACCTCGCTGGTCATTTTGAGTTTCATGTTCATTTTTGTCAGAGCCCAGCTGCCGTTTGGATTGGCTGCCTCCATGTCAAGCGTCACCAAAGCTATCGACAGCGGATCAGGAATGAACGAGGGCCAGTTTTTCAATCTCGTTTGTCCATTCAAGGTCACGGTAAAGTCGTTTCCCGGCAGGAATTCGTTGACGGCATCCCCGAGATCAAGTTCGCTGTCTTGTGAAATCGTAATATGTAATTGAGTAGGCGTGATAGAAATCGATGTTGAGACTGATTTCCCTCCAATTGGGACATCAAACGATGCCTGAAGAATAGCAATGATTCTTGATATAAAATCACGTGAAATATTTGAAGATAGAAACAATATAAGCCTAGCTTGAAGTAGTTTTATACTAACAGACGGATGATGCATCAAGACGAACTACCCATTCAGAGTAAGTAGACGAACTATACGGATAACTCCAGCTGACGGATGATCCGTCCGTTTGCCCGTGTCCTTTTTACACACAGAAGAACTAGAAGACGAACTATCTTTCGCTTGCTCAAGTTTGTCTAGACGGATGATCCGTCTCTGGTATATATCAGGCCAAATTGTGGGTAATTCACTTACCTTCAATCCTTTAGAATACGGAGCCTCTTCCGAGCCAATATCCAGCACTTCCAACGGTTCTGCCACATCGCCCGTTGACATAAAGAAAGCAAAATTTTTAACTTCGATTGAACCGAAGACAGGAACACTCGTAATATCCATCCTGAATAGATCTTTCAACATCTTCGATATGGAGAATTTCGCTGTGTAGACAGCGATTGTAACGGTCGTGGGGGAATCGCTGGCCTGGTTGAAGAGTACGTTCACGTCAAATGGTTCCCAATCGAGGATTTTCACAGAACCACCAAAAAGAAAGCCGTAGCCATCAAGAAATGCTGCACGGAGACGAGGATTTATGACCATGAAGGAATCAAATCCAGCTTTAGTTAAGTCGGTCTGCAAGCTGTTCGCTGGAAGGAATGAATCTTCTCGATTGAACATCTGTTTGATGTAAGTTGCGCTGATGTTGCCGGTAGCTTCCGCAGTGAAAGTGTAACCTGATGGTGGAAAAGAAACGAGATTTATTCAATGGGAAATGGAAAGATAAAAGCATTAAGTAAACTTCACAAAGCAAATATTGGTAAGGAGACGATACCTTGTTCATTTCTGATCAATCTCACTTTGACTGGAACATCTCCGACGGAAAACGTCGCTGCGATGTCGAACGTAAATTTCTGGGGCCGTGTCCAAACAAACGACAGTCCAGCCCGAATATTTGACAGGGTAAGGATGTCCTTGATAAGCGTGGCCGTACCTTTGTACGCTGCAACGATCTCGACGCCTTTCGTAGAGGTGTCCAGTGATAGCGACCTGATTATGATATTTTCCAAAGTCATGAACGTGGTGGACACGAAGTTTGCTTTTCCATTTGGAAGGACCTTCTCCAGGAGAATAGCAAGGTTGATACAATCCGTAGGGTTGGGACTAAGTTGGTAGAGTGTGTCTGTTTTACTTACGACCGCATTACAAGTATCGGTTACCTTAAACGTAGTTCCGTCTATAGCGAGTTGTTGGAATTCCTCAAAGCTTGGAAGAAATGTGCTTGCAACTGTTGCAAGGTCGCGGTTTCTTGTAATTGGTATTCCGGGAGTGGCTGGGGTTCCGGGAGTGTCTGGGGTTCCGGGAGTACCTTGGGTTCCGGGAATACTTGGTGTTCTAGAAGTACTTGGTTTTGCGGGAGTGCCTGGGGTCCCCGGAGTACTTGGTGTTTTGAGGGTATTTGGTTTTGCGGGAATGCCTGGGGTTCCGGGAGTACTTGGTTTTCTGGGGATACTTAGTGTTCCTGGAGTACTTGGTGCTCTGAGGGTACTTGGTGTGCGAGGAGTACCCGACTTGCCCGGGATAACCGGTTTACCAGATTTGATGGGAATATCCAACTTGATGCGGTTTGCTTTATTCCATCCTGGGTTGATATCATATGAATTAGATGATGGATAAGCTTCAACAGCCCAGTTGGACATCATGTCCCCGTCTTTATAGTTCCCGTTGTACAAAAGTTGATTTTCTCTATCAATTTCAGCCTGAGGGTAGATTTGCGGAGCATTTTCTTTCCAGATTTTGCTCGCAGACTCCTCGATCCGATCTTTCGCTGTCGCAGACCCTTTCAAAGGCGATCCTGGCCGAGAAGGAACGCCATTGACATTCATATGCTGTTTCAAGATGTGCTTTTGAAACTTGCGTCCCAGCATTTGATAGGACGAATCTTGCGTTTCGGGTTTTCGCGCGTAAACAGAGTTTAGTAAAACCAATCCTAACAGACATAGGCATTTGAATATCGCCATGTTCGCTAGAACACGGCGGTCGTTTGTCCTAGTTAACTGCGGTAACTTTAGACAATCTTAGGATAAAGTCCGTCGCTTAAATGCGTTTTAAAATGAGCTATTTTAATTTGTCTCTTGTGGTTATTACCCCTCTCCTGGTTGTTGTTTTGTTACGTTTGTGGATAAACACGTACGGTATTTGTTCTGATACAGTGGGGGGCATGCATGATTGGGGTAAACACGACTAAAATCGAATCAATTTTGAATGCAGAAGAAATGCTAAGAGTTAAATATAGTGTGTACTTTGCTTATAGCTACACCAAACTTGATAAAAATGCCATGCTCTTAAATTAAAAGCGGACATATAATTTTAAGTAGCTAAGTCCAACAAGACAGGTGCGAGCGTAACTTGTGTTGGGAAATCACGGTTCAATGATTTGTATATTTTTGTTGTTATTACAGGCAAAAATACAAACTCAAAAACTATATGAATTTATTATTTTTTTATTCACGTATTACATTTTCTACAATAAATTGACCTATGAAAACACATCCGAAATATTTATAAATCTACGTTTAAATATTGTATTATCCTTGAGATTTTCAACTGATTAAACTTTTTCATTTTCGTTCCGCTTCTTACTCAGGACCGGTTGAAATATTGATTTTAGAAGATTTATAATTTTGGCAATATCCTGTGTTAATTTGGAGACAAAAGAGCCCGTTGAAGTGTGACATGAACTAACGAAGCTTTCAGATTTAAAACTTGGAACTATATCTTTAGCAAGAATTTAAAAATTGTTAAAGAATTCATTGCTTTTTTTGCGATTCAAACCTCTTCTTCTTATTCAGAATGAGAAGATAACTTTCCAATCTTATCGTCGTTGAATAAAAAATTAAAAGGAAGTCGACAGATAAAAACATGGTAGCTTTAGACTGACATCTGACAGACTGACAGTTTGATTTTTACTGAGCTGATATTATATAGTGATATAAAATGTGGGTCGGTTTGAGAGAAACTGACATATAAGACTTAGCAATGAACATTGCATGGGCTTTACTATATATTGAAGAACGGTACATTTAGAACTGTATTTTTAAAGGCACCGAAAGATCGTTGCCGATGATATAAAAAGTTGCATTTCTTTTGCAGTTTTGGTATCCCCTCTATATACCAGAGTTAAATCAAGTCCCAGTTATTACCTCCAAGAATTTGACCAGGAATTATAAGCGGATAAATCAATCGACGTCTGTCCAGGGTTGTGTATACAAGGTACAAGGCTATTATCACTGCGTACACGCATATAGTAATGTTTTTAAACAATGTAATATCATAATAACATTAAATAAATACTTATAACTCAACAAAATATTGATTCAATAAAATAAATTCGTTGTCATTTAAACAAGCGTTAAATAAATAAATATACTTTTTTTAAATAATGAAAGAAATGTCGACGGCGACAATTGGATGGTAAACGTCTTGAATGAAATCTGCTTTACTTCTTTACCTGTTTCATGGTCTGATCGGAAATTGAGTTACCAGCCGAGTTGATGCCGTTGTTGGCCGATTGCGCGCTGCTGAAATCAATCTCGAAGTGAGGAGTGAAAGTCCACCCAAGAATCACAATCCTGGCATCCTAGATAAAGAGGATAAAATATTTTGGGTGACTCACCGAGTCATTTATTAGGAGCATCCATTTTAACAGTATAAATAAAGTTAGTTTAGTTTAGGTTTCCTCCTGTAGTAACACTGGATCAATAAGAGATGATCCTTACCGAACCTCTAGGAAGAACAGTTTAGAACTGATAGAGCTATCCAGTATAAATAAAGTTAGTTTAGTTTATGTTTCCTCCTGTAGTAACACTGGATCAATAAGAGATGATCCTTACTGGACCTCTAGGAAGAACAGTTTAGAACTGATAGAGCTATCCAGTATAAATAAAGTTAGTTTAGTTTAGGTTTCCTCCTGTAGTAACACTGGATCAATAAGAGATGATCCTTACCGAACCTCTAAGAAGAACAGTTTAGAACTGATAGAGCTATCCAGTATAACTCCTGTATATATTAACACTGGATCAATATATGCAAAAACAACGCATAAATAAAGCTATCAAGGATAAATAGATTACTAACTAAGTAAATTACTTACAAACTGGAATCTCTTCGTAACACCGTTCATCTCAACTTCAAATCTCACATATTGAATATCAATAATACTCAATGCCGCATTGACTAATTTTTGAAGAATGTCGGCTCCAACCTGTTTGCAAAAATACGAACGATGTCATTCAAAATATAGTACACAGCAAACCAGTTGTTATTCTTGGCTTCTTTAATGGTTTAATGTGCTTGTGTATGGATTGTTCATATCGAAGAGAGTAAGGCATTGAGCATTAACAGTGATAACACACAGTGAAACTGAAACGACTGGAAACGTAGATTTGAAAATGCAGGAGAACTGTTTACAAACTGCAAGGAGATTGCACGTCGAATGTCTTCTTCTTGGCTTACTAAAGCTTTATACCCGAGATATATATACAGCACACCGTTCGCACCATCCATTCCAATACCCGGATCAGGCTACTTACCTTAATGATAGCTGACACGCCCTTTAGGAAGAGATTGGCCGCCGCCAAAACTCCCTTGGCAACACCATAAGCAATGTACAAGGTCGCTATAATACCCCCGTGATAAATGATTTTGAAACCAGTTCCAATACAGATATATTTCTTATACCACGGTGCCCGACTACATTCACGCTTAGCTTCCTCTATCTTTCGTTTATGGTAGCTAAAAGTAAAAAAGAAATGGTTCGGAAATTTTGAACCAGAAGTATGTGCATCCACTTTAACATGCGGTCAGTGACTCACGGCGTACGCCAAAGACCGTCATATGAAACTGGACTCACATACGTCTGGGATGCCTAGGCTAAGACTTACTTAATTGTACCCAGGAGCTTGTCGACCTCGCGACTGGCATCCGAAACCTTTCGTTGAGCGCCTTCGATTTTCTTGTTGATCGCACGGGCGCCATTTTGGATCGCTTGAGAGGCTTTCTGTTTGATCTTAGCGAACAAATCATTTTGCATTTCTCCGATCACGTGAACACTTGGTGAGGTCTTCGTGATTGAAATGTCCACTAGGATATAAACTTGGAACAAGTTCCAAAGATTCAGTCTGCCTTCAAAGAAGAATTTCTCTTTGTTGATTTGAAGCTTCACGGAGATCATTGCCCCGAATATCTCAATCTGTAAGGAAAGAACCACTTTGTTAGTTTATCAAATAGTTATTTGAGTACCTTACAACCAACTTACCCTGCACGAACCATCAATAAGCAAGTCAGACAGATTTTCAGTGATGTGCATTTTTAAGTGGGCGCCTTTCTTGTCATCATCAGCGTCCACGACCTTGATGAGGCCGCCAAGGTAGATGATTGGATCAAGCTGCAGGTTCGCATCCAGTTTAAACGGCGTGAACTGAATACTGAGATCAATACGTGCCCGAATGCTGAGGAAAGGAATCTGGAGTGTACCGTGGATTTCAACACCTGGGTCATACCTAGATTAACGGTAAAAGAATGTGCAAATATCAAAGATGATAACATATTGTTGTCTTATCTTTTGAGCACAAGTGGTGATATGTACTAGCTCCTGATAATGTACTAAATCCCTGGGAATATGTCCAACAAAAGATCAAGAAATCAGTTCGATGTACTCCGGTAAAGAAAACCTGGATGTTCTATGATTGTTTGATAGAAAACAAACAAAATATCTCTTTACCTTTTGCCAAAACAATCCGCATTTCCTTGAAGAGAAAAGTAAATTTTCACCTCATCAGGAAAACCAACTTCGGCTAACTTTCTTGGTAAGCTTACAGCTTTTCCCGCGAACAGATTGATCACGTCTTCCAGTAGAAGTCGTGTAAAATGAAGTTCAAATACGGTTTTCTGTGGCGTTGCTGGATCGATACAAAGGGTCAAGCTAACGTCGATTTTTGACGCGCTTGGTATATCAACGGTTATCGCACCAGTTATGCCGAAACTTGGTACCAAACTTGCGACGTTTATACCCAATGCCAGCCCTAAACGTCTTATCTCCAAACGCTTGCTGATTCCAAATGGATTCTTCCAGGAACCTTCCCAAAGTAGAGATATCGTAACAGTGCCTGTGAAGGTGAACTATTTGAAAGAAGAAAGAGAAGTTATTTTAACAACCTTTAGCAACACGTTAACTCCTAACGAGAAACTCACCGAAACGTCGCCAGTAAAGACAGATGGTTTATCACCATTTCCAAGGTCGACAGAACAACTCAGAGAGAGACCAATAAGCGCTTTACTGATGATCAATTTCATTTTGGTAAACTTCCATCCTTTGATGGATCCAATTTCAAGACCGGTTCCTAAGTTTACCTCCAGTTCAAATATTATCTGAGGGAAAGATATCTTGACAATAATCGCAACTTCCTCTCCTGCCGAAGGTGCCATTGAAGGATCCTTGCTTACACCTGCAAAATGCAATTTATAAGTAGTTACTTTATTTATACTGGATAGCTCTATCAGTTCTAAACTGTTCTTCCTAGAGGTCCAGTAAGGATCATCTCTTATTGATCCAGTGTTACTACAGGAGAAACCCAAACAAAACTAACTTTATTTATACTGGATAGCTCTATCAGTTCTAAACTGTTCTTCCTAGAGGTCCAGTAAGGAACATCTCTTATTGATCCAGTGTTACTACAGGAGGAAACCTAAACTAAACTAACTTTATTTATACTGGATAGCTCTATCAGTTCTAAACTGTTCTTCCTAGAGATCCAGTAAGGATCATCTCTTATTGATCCAGTGTTACTACAGGAGGAAACCTAAACTAAACTAATTTTATATTGGATAATTCTATCAGTTACTATTCTAAGCTGCTCTTCTAGGGGTCCAGTAAGGCGATTCATCTTTTAGTGATCCAGTGTTATTACTGGGGGAGATCTAAGCTAAGCTCACGTCATAAACAGTGACCACTTTTCATGAAACAGTGTAAAATAGTAATGCACAGTCAACAAAGAAATTACCTTCTCTTAGAATATGCCCAAGCATATTAGTCGGTTTTGGTACAAATTTAGCATAGACAGTTAATCCTTTAAACTCAGGCTCCGTTTTAATGTAACTGTTGAATACTTTATTAGTAAACTGGTACGGCGCTATCGGGATTTTATTGCTGACATAAACCACGGCAAGATCGGATAATCCCAATGAACTTAGGAAACTGATCTCGGAAATCGCATCGCTCTGGACGGCGAATCCAGCAATCAGAGCGGATTTACCTTCCTTTTGAATTAACGCCAGCTCAACCTACGAATGAGAAGAGAGTCTTTGTTAATATTCAACCAACAGTCAAGTTCAAAATCATTCGGTTGGAATTTGCTGGGAGTTTTCCGTTGGGTGCGTTTCCGAAGTCGAACTTTTCATGAGCCGAATCGAATTTGAATCATTTTGAACAAAGGCTTTAGCTCAGGTGCGGTGTACAAAAAGGGTCGACGTCCGAAACGGCTATTGTCTTTTCTCGAAGCTAGTTGCATGGCTGTAGTTTTAGCATTTCCCGACGGAATTTCAAAATGAACTGCGCTAAGATTGCGGATAATCCCCTATTTTGCAGAGCATTTTTTTTTTAAAAAGATACAGTCCCCCCTATCTCCACTAACAAAATTGACAACTTCCCCCCGCCCACTCAAAGCCCCCACTTCCCTTTTAAATACCACGCTGGATGACTTGATTACCGTACCTCACTGCGATGAAAGAGGCTTGTGGTTGCCGCAAAAGCGATCGACTTTGATCCAGCCTGTTCCCCAGTTCTTTGACATATAAAGTTCAGTTGTGGATTGAATATTGTGAAGCCAGAAATCATCGGCGGTAAAATGGATGGATTGATGTGAATCTTTTCAAGAAGGTCAGCAATGGAGGCCGAGCACTGGGTGCCTTTAGCACTGACTGACACACGATTAGTTCCAAATTCGGCCGCGACAGTTATCGTACAGCTTGCAATAATAATTTCACCCTTAACAACGAGTTGCCAAATCTTTTCAGTGCCGCCGGACTTGCCATATTCAAAGTGTATTTTTACGTTCCCGACAGAAAAGTTTCCGAAGATGTTCCACACTCCCGGGATACTCGCATCCACTGAGACTGTGTCCACTTCTCCGGCTTCATTGAAAGCCAAAGCAATCTTGTCTAGTTGAATGTTCTTAAAGAGGTCAGGAAAGTCGATCGGGAATTTGAAGTCATCTCCAGCAAGAGCTTTCACGACATTTTCAACGTTAAAATCGGAGAAGGTGAACGTGATCTCTTGATTCGCAAAAGGAAACGGTATTCTTACGTCAACTCTTGGTGAGACATTTGTCGTTGATCCCAGGGCGACTTGTCCGGAGACAACGCCATAAAGTGACGGGTTACCTCCTTTCTCGTAGTTCAAGTCCAATTCAAGATTGTTTATGTTGATTTTACCTTCAAACAAAGATATCTCGCTGGTCATTTTGAGTTTCATGTTCATTTTTGTCAGAGCCCAGCTGCCAGTTGGCTTGGCAGCCTCCAAGTGGAAGAGTACCAAAGCTATCGACAGCGGATCAGGGATGAACGAGGGCCAGTTCTTCAGTCTCGTATTTCCATTTGTTGTTACGGTATAGTCGCTGTCCGGCAGGAATTCGTTGATGACATCGCCAAGATCAAGTTCACCACTCTGGGAAATCGTGAAACTTAACAGAGTAGGCGAGATGAAGATGGAAGTTGAGATGAATTTACTTGCAATTGGGATTTCAAAGGATACCTGAAAAAAGAAATGGTTCTTGGTATAAAATCCTGTGAAATTTTTAAAGATAAAGACAAACAAACTTGTGCAACGATGATAAAAGTAAAGTGTGTTGTTTTAGGAATAGTTTTAGTTGAATAAAATAGGTCAAATATTAGCCTTCGTGCAAGAGAAATATGTTTGCGGAGCGTATTACTGCTAGTAATGTTTTTAACTTCTCACCTTTAATCCTTTGCGATACGGAATATCAAAAATATCTTCCGAGCCAATATCCAGCACTGCTAATGGTTGTTCCACGTCGCCCGTTGATAGAGAGAAAGCAAGATTTCTCACCTCGACTGAACCTAAGACAGGAACACTGCTAATGTCCATCTTGAATAGATCTTTCAACATTTTCGATATCGAAAATTTCCCTGTGTAGACAGCGATTGTCACGGTCGTCGGAGAATCATTGGGCTTGTTGAAGAGTATGTTCACGTCGAACGGATCCCAATCCAGGATTCTTATAGAACCAGCAAAAAGGAAGCCGTAGCCATCAAGAAATGCTGCACGGAGACGAGGATTTATGACTGCGAATGAATTAAATCCAGCGTCAGTTAAGTCGCTCTGCAAGCAGTTCGCTGGAAGGAAGGAATCTTCTTGCTTGAACATTCGACTGATTGTGGTCGCGTTGAAGTTGGCGGTCGCTTCGGCAGTGAAGAAGTAGCCTGATGGTGGAAAAGAAACAGCGGTTATTAAACGAGAAATCAGAGGTAAACACACTATATAAACTTTGCAAAGGAAAAGAAATTAAAATGAATAAAACCTTGTTCATTTCTGATCAATCTCAGATCGATTGGAACATCTCCGACGGTAAACGTCGCTCCGATGTCGAACATAAATTTCTGGGATCGTGTCCAAACAAACGACAGTCCAACCCGAATATTTGACACGGTAAGAATGTCTTTGATCAGCGTGGCCGTACCAGTATACACTGCAGCGATCTCGACACCTTTCGTAGAGGTGTCCAGTGATAGCGACCTGATTATGATATTCTCCAAAGTCATGAACGTGGTGGACTCGAAGTTTGCTTTCCCCTTTGGAAGGACCTTTTCCAGGAGGATAGCAAGGTTGATACAATCCGGGGGGCTGGAACTAAGTTGGTAGAGTGTCCCTGTTTTACCTGTGACAACACTACAACTGTCGGTTACCTTGAACGTACTTCCTTTGCTTATTTCTCCTTTTTGAAATTCCTCAAAGCTTGGAAGAGGTGGGCTTTCTCCATTGGTACCTGGTGTACCGGGGGTACCTGGTGTGCCGGGGGTACTTGGTGTGCCGGGGGTACTTGGTGTTCCGGGGGTACTTGGTGTACCAGGGGTACCTGGTGTTCCGGGGGTACCTGGTGTTCCGGGGGTACCAGGTCGGTCAGGAATACCCGGTTTTATAGGCTTACTCCCGGGGTAAACCGGTTCTTTAGCCTCCAGAACCCAATCTGGTATAACGTCTCCTGGTATATATATATGGTTTGTCAGTATTTCGTATCTCCATATTTGCTCTTTAGTGTACTTTGTTCTTAGCTTGTTAGGATTTGGTTTCTTCCCTGGGTGGATGGAAGTTGAGGGATCTGGCGCTTTCAAAACCCATTTAGGTATCACGTCACCTACTTGATAGATCCTGTTCGTCAAGATTTGATATTTATCAATTTCCGCTTGAGTGTATGCTTGGGGACCGCTTTCCTCCCATACCTTGCTCGCTGACTCCTCGATCCGATCATTCGCCGCCGCGGACCGTTTCGAAGGCGATCCTTGCCGAGAAGGAACGCCGTTGACATTCAAATGCCGTTTTAAGATGTGCTTTTGAAATTCACGTCCTAGTCTTTGGTGGGTCTGATCTGGTCTTTCAATGCCTTCGTGTCTGCGCGCGTAAACAGTGTTTAATAAAACGAATCCTAACAGACATAGCACTTTAAATATCGCCATGTTCGCTAGAACACGTTCGTCGTCTCGTCTTAGTCAACTGCGGTAACTTTGGACAATTTTAACATAAAGCCCGTCGCTTAAATACGCAGCGTTTTAGCATGGGGTAGTTTAATTTCTTGTGGTCATTATATCCCTCGCCTGGTTGCTGTTTTGTCCCGGTTGTGAAGAAACACTGTACTATTTTTTTCCTTAAGCGGGGGGCATGCATGAACATAGTGATGCTTTATTGATGTAATCCACGGTTAACGTCGAATCGATTTTGAATAAAGAAAAAAATGTTGAGAGTTTAATATAGTATGTGCTTTATAATTATAGAGTGACGCTAAACTTTTTTAAAAATGACATTGTTGTTAAATGAACAGAAAACATATAAGAAGAGTCGACATTGATAGCGGGTCAGCGCAAAACTTGTGGAATTGTTTTTTGTTGAGAGACCACGGTCAACTATGCAACATCAGAAAAAAATATCTTCATTTTTCCATATCTAACAATTTGTAATAACATACATGAAATTCTACATGAAAAACATCTAAAATAGCTATGAATCTTCGTTAAAATATGCATTGCCTTTGAGATTTAATTCTATAATGTAAATTTAGCCAAGCGAATGCATTTGATAAACGAAACACAATATAAAACAAGCTCAGAACAGCATGCTCAGAACACCAAACCTATGTCCATGCAAGTGGTCTTTATAATCGAAACTATTTTAGGATTTTTACTGTATAAAAGTTTATATTTTAAATGATTAAATTGAAGCAAGGAAATAGCTTATAAAAGAATTACTAAAACATATAGAAATATTGTAATAAAATCGTATAGGAAATCTTTGTATAAATATTGTAAGGTGCAGGCGTATATTATTCAAAGCCTTATAGTTTAAGCCGATATATGAAAAATATGTAGCTAAAAAAAATTAAATAAAGAATTTTTCACTTGTTTGAAAAATATTTGAAACATTTATAGGCTTTGAGAACTTGGACTGACAAAATTTAAAGTTTGATAAATGATAGTTCGCAAACTGAACTGAAGATTTAATTTTATATAGCGAGTAATTAGTCTAACTGCTGCATGCATACGTGTGAAGGATATCTGAAGTCAATATATATAATTATATCATTTCAAATCTTAAATACAGAGTTATGACTGTATGTCACAGAACTCTGTTTCCAACAATGATAAAATGCCCGGCGGGCTAATGTCATGATGTGGAAAATGGCTAAACACAATGCCAACATCAATAATAAAACCACAATTCACAAAAATGCATTTTGCTAAACTATTTGGGAACTTCAATTAACTATACACGAAAACAATAAATTCTTGTTATACATTATAGTTTCAAATATACATATTATATTGTTACAAAGATACATCAGTATTCGACTATTCGCTTGAACAGGAACTTTAAGTAAAAATAGCGTTCTTTTTTAGTTCGTTCCGCTCCGAAAAACAGGACAGGTTGGAAGATCACCCGTGGATTTAAGTATATATATTTATAAAACTGCATGTCGTAATATTTGCTTCATGCAGGCGATGTTTAGACTCAAATAAACTCGTTGAAGTGTGACTTGCATTGACAAAGATGTCGGATTTGCAAAATGGAACTATTTTCTTCCGGTACAATGTTAGAAAGTGTTTGAATTAACGTCGAATACTGCGAATTTGGAAGAGTATGATTAAGAAAAACATGCCAGTAAACAGTTCAATGAATTGTGTCCGGGATGACTGATTAGTTAGAGATTGCATGCAAACATGTTTGGTAAAGCTGATAGGAAATGACTGGGGAAATAGTTGAACATGATGGAATGAACAGTTGACTTTCTTTAAGTTTATTTAGTAGCTGTTATATACAGACAGTCGAATGTGAAAGAAAGAGTTGAAGTACCGACTATCAAAGAGATACAGTCGATACAAAAAAAGTTCCCGAACCTCAGTAACGGTCCCCACGTATATCACAATACCCATCATTATCCATCATTACTCTGGCCAGTAAAAGTCATGTTAATGAATTTTTTGGCCAAGCGACACGCGGAACTAGTTTGTCCTTCATCACTCTTTGATTTCATTGCACGAATAAATCGACCGACGAGAGGGATAGAAAGTGATGGTTATATAAACACGTTGTGGATCTCAAGTGTGTCTCAAGTCAGCGTGAATCGCGTGGTTCGAGAAATTTTGAGCAGAATTCGAATATTGTTTTTGATTTTTTTCGTCTGAACACTCGTTAAGCAATATCTAAAATTAAAAAACTCCTTCACGTGCTTTCGCTTGACTTGCTTGCATCTAAAACGGTTTGCGTCGCCCAATTTCTTGCCCATTCTGACCTAACCAATACAAAAAATCACCGACGGATTTTACTAAGTCTAAGATGACGTATATAAACTAGCTAATAAGACTCCTTCCTGTGCACAAGTCATTTTCCGTGACCGATGTAAGATATTTGTCTTGACTATATATATCTGTATTAAATCGTCTCCGTTGACTGCACACATAAAGCAATATTCTAACGCACATGAAAACCAGCCTGTACTGTACTGTAGGCTAAACAGCATACAATAAAAAACAGTCGAGTGTGTATGAAATACTTCTTGTGTTTCAGTATTTCAAAGGCAGACTTTTGTAATTTTGTGGCCACACCAAATTGCATGCATGCATGCATATTATCAAAATTTATTAAATTAGCTATATTAATAATATAATTTACCCTATGGCTATGGCTATGGAAATATATATGTATATATAATTTTGAAGACCTTCCTAGGAGGGGGATTGACGGATAATTTAGACAAACTAGCTGCAAAATATAACAGTAATTTTGTTTGTTTGATGCTTTTTCACTGCCAAAATCAAAAGCTCAAAATCTACATGCTTTTCATTGATATCTTATCTTTTACACATGCCTTATTGGATCCATATACCTCTTTACACAGCCGAAGGTTTCTCAAAAATCCGTCAATATTTCTTAAGTATCAAGCCCTTTTCGGCTTGAAACATTATATTACGAGATTGCAGATAAAATAAGATCAAAAATTTCCCGATGAGCCGAAAGGGAAAATTTCGTCTGGAAGAAATTTCAAAGTGTTTTTCACTGAATGCTTGGCTGGTTACCAACTCATGTGACTTTACGGAAGAGCATTGTTTTATATCTCAAGGTGCAGCAAATTCATTTTCCGCTATCTCGCGTTTTTTTTGTCTTAATTGTTAAACTAGTCATTAATCCTTGTGTTGAGTCGCGACCACCAACTGCGCTGTTTGAAAACGCATCGTACATTGGGAGTAAAATATATTCTTCATATTATGTAGAAAGACCTTTGAGATTTGGGTTTCTCGATCAATATTTACAGGCTATTTACATTCAAGTATAGCGGAAAATCAAAGCTATATTCAGCGTTACCATAGGATGCGAGTGATTGTTGCAATTCCTGATTAATTGTTGCATTTTATACCAAGACTAAATATAACTAGTTTATTGCTTTAGCCTGAGACTTTGAGGCACGATTTACGCAGCCAAAATTCCTGTGTCCATAGTTGAAAACCTGCATTGGTAAATCCCAAGTTCCAAATGTTTTGCAGCGAGGATCAACGATGAAACAACCCAGTGTTAACCACCGTATTAGTTCGCTTAAATATTGCTATCATATATACTTTGAAACCTAGGATTTGCCGTTTGAAAAGGCCAACTGTGAACACTGAAAACTTGACAGTGTCAACAAAGCCTTGCGGCTAGCTAAATGCCGGTGGTTGAACGAACAATTGTTAGCTTTTAACATATAAAAATTGATAAGGAGTAATCCACGGATAGAATATATTTCCAATATCTTGCTGAAGGCAGATTGACCTGGGTTACCATGCGATAAAGATTGAAAATATACTCCAGACGCTTCTTCAAGAGAGCTTAAAATTTAAGAAGTTTAACATCGCGAACCTTATAGTTCAATCCAGATCAAGCACAGGTCATGCATGGCTTTTTAATATATGACTGTGTCCATTCAAAACAAACGGGAATGGTTTTAAATCAAAGCCGGACAAAGTAGAACAAAAAGATATTAATGCGTGAGTTTGAAAATTGAATAACATTGTCAAAATCGCTTGATTCTCAATATAATGTAACTATTATTATTAAAATCGCTTTGATATCTTCAATAATAATGTAACTATATATATATATATATATATATATTGTTTAGTAACATAAAAAATGTTCCTTCCTAAATCCACCTTACTAGAAACTGTCGACAAAGACCTGTGTGTTTTAATTTATCAACTGTCCTGCTTCCACGTTTCGCGCCATTATCAGGAGGTGCGGATCTAGATTTGATATATCGAGTGTACTGTAAGCTGTCCTTAACAACATCGCTAGGCTTTTCAACCTCTGAGAAAGAGTGGGAACGCACGCGAGTTAGCTTCTTCGTTTCGTGATGAAAAGAATTGAATTCACTTTCCCCGGTTGTGCCCGAGGTAGTCTCGTCTTGTATGCACGAGGCATTCAAGGTATTGTCAACAGATTTGGGTTCTAACAGCTGGTGGTTTTCATCGCTTTCGTTAACCTCTGACGTATATTCACTTTGTTCCTTTGCCCTTTCGGCAATAGCATTGCAACAGTCTTTTGTATTGCTTCCATCACTTTCAGAATTTGTCGTTTCGCAAGATGAACTCGTTTTAGCTGACTTAATAGCGTCGACCCAAGCCATCCTGTCCGCGAAACTTGCACAGTACAAAGACAATTTGTGCTCCGTGCTCGCAACCGTCCAAGGAAATCGTATTCTGTTGTGATTGCAGTCCACAACATCATTGCCATTACAATTATCGATCATTTCTTCTTCAACATCGACTGTTAGTTCGCCCAATTTCAGTAATCCAAGGGGAGTATGTCTTTTATGAACCTTCCTCTGGTGAAAACTCAGCGTATTCGGTTTCAAAACACAATATAATCGTTCGTGCTTTCCATTACGATTCTCGTCTTTACAAACAACATAACCTTCGTGAAGAATAGCCTT